TTTCGTGGTCCTTTTTATTTTTAAACCTTACTGCTATATTATAAAATTTAATTTTTTAAGAAAAGAAAAAGCTTTTTATAAAAGTAAAGTATATATATTTTCTTATTAGTAATTAAAAACTATTTTTTTAATAAATTTAAATAAATATAAAACTTATAAGGTAATTAATTCTTTTATTAATATATATTTTTTAAAACTATAATAAAATAAAGGCTTTAGTAAATTAAGTCTTTAAGAAAGGTATTATTTTAATTTTTAAAGTAGTTCTAGTTATTTTTAAAGTCTTCTTTTTACTTAAGGGTTTATTTATTAAAGTATTACTTTTATAATATATAGGATTTTAAATTTATATACTTTTAAGTAAATAGTATTTTTATCTTACTTTTTTTATATTTTTAAAAAGCCTTTTTAAATATTTATTAAAAATTACTTAACTAGCTATTATAAAAGTATAAATTAATATAAATAGTTATTTATTAAATATTCTTAACCTTAACCTCTCCTTTACTTTTTAAAAAGTTACTTTTATATTACTTAAATTTTAAAAAGGCATTAATAATACTTTAGTTTTTAAAAAGCTTTTTTTATAGCTTTTTTTTTTTCTTTTACTATTAGTAAATCTACTTAAAATAAGTTATACTTTTTTAATATATTCTTACTTTTTTAATAAGGGCTTTTATATTACTAGGCTTATTTTAAAATATAAAAGCTATAGTTATTTCTTTTTATAAAAAAGGTGCTTTTTTAAAAAGAATTTTTAAAAAAATTATATAGCTATAAAAAGTATTTAGCTATAGCTTTACTATTATAAACCTTATTATAACTATTATAGCTGCTTAAGTAACTTTTAATAAAAGCTTTAAAATATAATAAAAATAAGGAATCTAGTTAAGTAAGCAGTAGTAATAATAAGTAATTATATTTAAATTAAAGCTTAAAAAGCTTAAAAGTAAGGAGGTATAAAGCACCTTACTTATATAAGATAAAATTAAAGCTAATTTTATATAACTTTAAAGCTCTAGGGCTTTAACTAATTAAAAGGAGGGGTTCTGCCTTTAAATCCTATATACTAGCTGCTTAATTAAAAAGGAGGTAAGGCTATATAATAAGGCTATAGCTTATAACTAGCTTTTATTATATAATATTAATATTATCTTCTTCCTTATTATTATTATTATTAATATAATCTTAATATACTGCTTAGGTATTTTTTATAATAAGATTTTATTACTAAATACTATTTAATAGTAATAAAATAAAATTTATATACTAGTAGGCTTAAGTAAGGTAAAGTTATTTTTTTTTTATTAACTTAAATTTATTAAGCTAATACTAGTTATTAAAAAGCATGCTGCTAAGTTTAATAAAGTTAAAAAGCCTAGTAATTATATAAATAATTAAGATTTATATTATAAACTTATACTTAGTAGTGCTATAGTAAATAATCTTTTATTTACACTTATACTAGCTAAAGACTTACTTAACCTTAATTTAAAGTTAAGAATACTATAAGTTATAAAGTTCCTTTACTATTATAAATTTCCTACTAGTATCTTCTTAATTATTAAAATAATAATAAGTCTAGCTATAAAGTACTATTATTTTAAATTTTAAAGTAAAGCTAGTATTACTAAAATAGTATTTATTAACTAAAATTATAAAGAATTTTATTATTACTTATAGTAAAAGTAATAAATTTAAAAAAGAACCTTTAGTATTAGTAAGTATATAATAAAATAAGTTATTAAAAGTAATATAAGTAAGTATATTTTAAGCTATATTATTTTTTTAAGACTAGAATCTTTATTAATTAGTAAAAGGAATATATACTAGGATTAAGGTGTTATTAATTATACCTATTATGCTATTAAAGCCTTTATTCTTCCTTTTAAGCTTAATAACTAAGGAGATATATAATAAATTTAGTAATTAAATAAAAGCTATATATAAATACTATATAAAATAAATTAAGTTATAAAATAACTATAATATACTTAATTATAATATATAAAAGTAAAAGGCAGTATTTCTTTATAGCTTATTAAATATATAAATTTAAAGAAATACTATAACCTTATATTTAAAAGGTTATTATTAACTTTTATTAATCCTTATATTAATATAAAGCTAATTATAAAGGCTAAAAAATATACTTTTTTTTATATAAAATAGTTTATAAAATATTATTTTAAAAAGCTTAAGGAGTTCCTTATAATAAAGCTATAAGTTTAATAAAGTAAGAAGCTAGCTTTCTCTTACTAAATAGGCTGCTTAATACTTTTTAACTTTTATAAAGATATATACCTATATAGTAATAGCTATATTAATATTATTATTATTATTATTATTATTATAAATAATATCTTTTAGTAGCTACTAGGCTATAGTAGGCAGTAGGTTATTTAAAGTTATTATAGCTAATAAATAAGTTAGTACTAACTAATTAAACTAGATAGCTTTAGCTAGCTTATTAAAAATTAGTTAATACTAGCAGAATTTCCTTATTTAACTAGTAACTATACTTATTATAGGCATCTTGGCAGCCTTTATAAGTGTAATATATTATAAACTAGGGTTGCAGCTGGTTTACTTTTTAAGAACTAAAGTTATATAATTTACTATACTAAAAAGGGTATAGTAGTTCTTTTTATGCTGACTGGTTAGCTAGCTGGTTTTAAACCAGCCGTTCTAGATCATGGCCTAGGGGTTCTAATAATTTAAGGCAGGTACCGTCTCACTTCTTCTCTTATTCGTTTGCACTGAAGCCGGACTGGTCTCGCAAGTATGCCCTTCAGTCAGAGATACATCAATATTTCACTCAAGTAGCAGCTCAATACGATATCCCCAAACATGTTCGGCTTGCGAGTCTTGTTGAGAAGGCTTCTTGGGATGGGGCGTCCGGCATGTGGCACGTCACGGTTCGAGATCTTCATACATCAGAAGTAACAGAATGCCGCAGCAGAATCTTGATATCTGCGGTCGGTACACTCTCTGTCCCCAAGAAATGCACCATTCCAGGCGCTTCAAGCTTTGATGGGAAGATCTTCCACACGGCACAGTGGGACCATACATTTGACTGGAAGGGCAAAGACCTTGTTGTGGTCGGTAAGCTTTATACACCATCCTCTCATACTTCTCGTCGTGATAGTAACAAGTACACTTGTAGGAAATGGATGTTCTGCGACACAGATAATCCCAGAGGTCAGCTCAGGGCCAGGAGCAGCCAAAACTGTGACACAATTCTGTCGGCAGGCACATTGGCTTGCCGAACGCCCAAACCCAGAATACTCTGCCCTTTTCAAGTGGACAATGGAATGGGTTCCTCTGGCGATGCGAATCTACAGAGCAAAGCTATACTGGAACCAGGAGCGCGAGTTTGCGGGCTTCGACATAGGAACAGGAGCTGAGATCCGCAGAGGCTGGTCGAACGAAGCCTCTGACTACATCCGTGCGAATGCGCCCGCCCAATATCGAGACTTTCTCGTGCCCAAAACAGAGATTGGGTGCAAGCGGCGCGTCAACGATACTGGCTACCTAGCTAGTCTGCACCAGAACAATGTCAAGCTCATATATGACGACCCGGTGGAGGAAATTGTATTGAATGGCGTTCGGACGAAAGCCGGAAAGATTGTTCATGCTGATGCAATTGTGCTGGCCCAAGGTTTCGCGACGCAACAGCCTTTTGGGACACTGCAGATCTTTGGTGAAGGAGGCATCAGCATCCAAGACCATGTCAGTACAACGACTCTGAGATAATCGATGCTACAAGTCTCTGGCAGTGTCTGACTTAGTTTTCAGTGGAGTAAAACCAGCGAGGGAGTTCCTTCGGCATATCTGGGCACGTGTCTTTCAGCATTCCCAAATTTTTTCATCATGATGGGTCCCAACACTCTCAGCGGGCATCTCTCTGTTATCTACACCACAGAATGCCAGATTAACTTTACACTGCGAATTATCAGGCCCATACTCAATGGAATGAGGCAAAGGACCGCGGCGCTGGCAGCTTGCAGACCTACCTGCGATATCGTGTCTGTCAAACCTTCAGCCGAGAAGGAAGACATCGATACGGTTCAGCAAAAGGCCGGAAACCTTGTCTGGGCAACAGGGTGTACATCTTGGTTTATTGACAAGGGCACCAAGAGAAATTCCATCATGTTTCCAGATTGGCAATACAAGTTCTGGCTGAGAAGCGTCTTTATCGCTTGGGATGACTTCGTCTACACATCAGACAGGTCTAGTTCAAAGGCTGTGAACGAGAGGAACGGAAAGCGGCTGTATTTGGGCATCGTCGCTGGCGGCATCCTCGCATTCGGGGCCTTTTATTTCCACCGTCACAGGCTTTGCACCTATGTTTTGCCTTGCAACTGATTCAGCGGGCATTATAGAACAGGCGGCGGCTTACTCCTTTCGTTTCTCCCTTCATATATCTCGCTCAAATGAGGGGCTGTTGAAGTCAATCGAGACTGCTGTAGCCCGTCTTCAGACGAAACCGACACTTCTCTATGCACTGTCTAGCATGTGGAATGTCTGAGGTGGGTTACGTAGTATGCCTCTCTAAAGCTTCATTACTGCTTGCAATTACCCAGTAATTGAAGTCTTGCAGGATGAGATGAAGCCTTTACTCTCTTGAGCTGGTACCGGGGTTCTAACGTAGCTCAGAGGGGTCGAGGCGCGAAGCTTAGAAGATGATAACAATATCTGATTCGCTCGCGTATCTGCTCCGAGACTGAGAAGCCAGCGACCGACACGAACATTTTGGTGGATAAAATCGTCCAATTGCTAGCGCTCTAGCAAGCACTGAAATGGCCAGTACATATGTATTTGAGCACAGGTCAGAGAAGGATAGCCCCACGAATCGGATCAAGGAGAATGCTACGGAGCGTTGCTTTCCGGTGATCACGAGTCATTCATGGTAGGGAACTCTTGGCCGGTATTATCTAGGGCTGGAATGGGTGGTGACGAAAGTAATCTGGAGGAGCATTAAGCTTCACGCGAACCCACCGTATGATGCATCAGCGGGCAAGGTGGAATACTAAGGCAATTGGCTCTTCTCAGCAGCAGGTCAATAAAGCAACATCAAATTGAGTCCGAAGGCAGGGTGTTGCCTGACAAATGTGAGGCAAGTGTTTGACAGCCGAAAAGAGACTGATGATTGCACGTATAGAACATGATAGACACTGGGTGGCAAGTCAAACCTGGATACCATCTAAACTAAAAGCTTCTATAACGGATGTCATTGGACTAGAAGCTCGTCGCTCGCTGCACGTTGATTGGCTAGCAGAAAGCTATAACAAAAAAACGTCGTCTCTAATGTGGGTGACAGAGAGTTGCATACCCGGAATTTGCAGATATGCAACAGTGGAGGTCACAATGTTACGAGTGCTTCAATGGCTGTTGCTGTGTCTCTAGGTAATATAGGAGCCGCAGACGACTGTCGAAACCGCATGTATTGTATGGTCATGGTCAAGCCCGTAGCTCTACGAGGAGTCAGTTGTTCTCAACTTTGTGCCAGTGCTGACGATGGTAATGGTGTACCACGGTACTACGGCGGATGAATTTGCCCTCCGGGGGCGGGAAAGCAGCATCTATCATGAAGTGTTGCATGGTACAACTGGGTATATGTAGAGAAACGTTCCACTCCGATTCGTCGTCAACAATTTCTCCCAGGTCTCGTATTGCAGGCTCGTTTCAGAGGTTGCCGAGCCGGACATTCCAAAGGCACCTATCGGATCATATGCCGCCAATTCTGCGTGGCACGCTTCAGCAAAGAAGGGAAGGACGTTCGAGTGAGGAGGCCTTGAATGACACCCACCATCTTCACCGACAGGGACAATCTACAACCTAATCGGACGCCCTGTCGAGGACAAAGTAGCGGCGCCGAGATCTGCAAGCATGCTTAATTTTGCCCCCTGTATCTATCCACTGCATGCCGACATGTCATCGTATTTGGCTCTTTTTAGTGTAGCGCGTACACCTATCAAGTAAGAGAGACCTCGTAAACCGAGTGGTTCCAGCATGTGGTTCACTTTCGGGTCCTGGTTCCCCCGCATAATTTGCAGGGACACTACGTTACAAGAATTCTTAGACGCTGAGTTGTGTCCTGATAATCCCCAATCTTACTTAATCGAATCTCCTGTACCTTCCTGTTTCATCCCTCGATGTAATGCTTCAGCCGGTAGGAAGTTGCTTTATCTTCACGTCAGCGTTTGAAAGGGCCGAACGACAGCCGGTTGGTACGGGTATGCTCGAATACTTAACATTTAGATGGTAGTTCAGGGGGTTTCTGCCAAGTTGTCAGATACGCCTGCGGAATTGTCGATCTGAGGTTCAGAAAGGGTATAAAGTAGTGATCCATCCCCCCTTGGTACAATCTGCGGAACATCGATCAACATAGTCTCGTCCTTGTATATACTCTCATATTTCTAAGTTAGTAATAATTTATGAAGATGCGATCCAACGCTGTCCTCGGCCTTGCTACCTTTGGCGCCGTCGCCTCGGCTTTCGCCCTCCCTGCAAACCTCAAGACCATCTACGATAACCACAGGGCAAGTGGCTAGATAGACTTATGAGCATCGACTGAATGTACTGACCCTTTGCCTTCGTAGGCAGGAACATGTGCCAACAAGTTGTCGGGCACTTTTAGCGGCGGCGCGGTCTACTGCGGCGATCTCCCAGGTGCCATTTTCCTCAAGGGCAGCGCAGGCAACTATGACAACCTGGACATTGACTGCGATGGCGCCAACAACTCGGCTGGCGCTTGTGCCAACGATCCCACCGGCCAAAGCCAGACCGCATTTAAAGACACCGTAAAAACATTTGGCATCTCCGACCTTGATGCCAACATTCACCCGTACGTCGTCTTCGGCAACTCGGGCGGCAACCCGTCTTTCAACCCTCAATCTTCGGGCATGCAGCCTCTCAGCGTTATGGCTGTTGTCTGTAACAACCAGGTTGTAAGTGACAGCTGTTCCCAATTAGCTAGCAACTACGGCGTGTAACAGAGACTGATTAAAAGTCAACTCATCAGTTCTATGGCGTATGGGGTGATACCAACGGCGGCACCTCCACTGGCGAGGCCTCCCTCGCTCTGGGCAAACTTTGCTTCCCCAACGAGGGCCTCAGCGGCAACAATGGCCACGATCCCAAGGACGTTCTGTTCATTGGCTTTACCGGCTCCGGAGCTGTGCCCGGCAAGAATGGCGCCAACTGGGCGGCCAAGAACACCAACGACTTTGAGAACAGCATCAAGGCGCTGGGAGACAGGCTCGTTGCCAGTCTCCGGGCTTGAAGTGTCTCAATATTGAAGGAACCTTGATCGGCTACGACTTGGGATGGAAAAGACATGGTCCGCCGCTATACAGAAGAGACGCGGATACAGTAAATACATAGTGCGCCAATATAGGTGCGTATGATAGAATAAAGCAGGGGCAAGAAGCACAATAATACTATTGTTCGATCTAAAATGGTGTCGAAAAAGAACGCCCCGTTGACTGCGAGCTTGACTGCAAGCTTGGCTGCAGCATGTGACTCGGAAGAGCTTACTCACCAGGATCGAACCGGGCGAATCATACGCTGTCCTTCTCTTGGTGTACTCTGCCCACTTCGTATGACACGAGCAGACAAGGCTGCTCCTCATACTACTAATAGCAGTAGTGATTCTGAAAACCTGGGGATCGTGATGATGATTGGTGCGCATGGCTGCCGTATTGGGCCTGTGGATTCTCAGCGGAGATCAGCTTCGACAAGTGACCGGTGGTGATGGCTTAGAGCTCCACCGACTCGTCCCAGTTCTTGACTCAGGCCCACGGACATCATTGGTGCGCATAATAACCGACAAAAGCCGGAGCGATCGACAGACGTGCCGATGGCGCGCGTTGCTGGGCTGTCAACGCTCCCTGAGGGCTGTAACAGAGTGACGACAAGAACAGTATTCCGGGCATACTAGTATCAGCCAGCTCCAGCTTTTCCCCATGGAGAACCCCAAACTGGAGGCTTCTCTTGCGATACCATCTCATCATTGGACAGCGACCGGATGGCTCCGACGAAGCGTTTAAGCGTCTCAGCTGGCGAATGGGATCCCCTCATTCTGAACAGGGAGCCCGTTTTAGGATACCATTTCCTTCGGAAACGATGAGCTTTTTGATGCTGCCTAATCCCATGCGGGATGCCGATCTTCGGATGTCCCACGATGATATCATATAGATATATAAAGGAACCCCCGTCTGGCATCTCAATCCTGGGGAGGAATGACGGAGAGAGCACATTCAACAGACAGCACAAGATCTTCGTTCTCGGGTGCAACCGAGCATCATCGCCATGACCGTCCTCACCTCACCTCTGGCCAGCTATAATGTGGCCAACAAGCTGTACAAAACCACTCTGCTCAACACCGTCTGCCTCGTGGCCGGACTGTCGATCTTCTTCTTCGGCTATGATCAGGGATTGATGGGCGGTGTTAACACGACGCGCGACTATGCCGAGCGCATGGGCTTTGGCCACTGGGACGAAGACCAGAACATTGTCGTCGTCGATAAGCCGCTGCTGCAGGGCGGTATCGTAGCTGTCTACTATCTCCCCGGAACGCTGTGCGGTTGTCTGCTTGGCGGTTGGCTTGGTGATCGCTATGGCCGTATCAAAACAATTGCCATTGCCTGTGCGTGGAGTGTCTGCGCAGCCGCCCTGCAGGCCTCAGCTATGAATGCGAACTGGATGTTTTGCGGTATGTCGATGATTCTTGGACAATCACAACCGAACTATTACTGATGATGAGATGAAACAGCCCGCGTTCTGAACGGCGTCGGCACTGGAATCTTGAACGCAATCACGCCTGTGTGGGCAACCGAGACTGCTGCTCACACTTCTCGAGGCCAGTTCGTTTCCATTGAGTTCACCCTCAACATTCTTGGTGTTGTTGTAGCCTACTGGCTGGAATTGTACGTGCCTCCTCACTCAGGATCCCCAGTCTTGTGGAAAGTCTCCCTAATGCGGTGGCAGTGGTACTTCTAAATATCACGACAACACATCCTCCTTCATCTGGAGATTCCCGGTCGCCTTCCAGATCCTCCCCCTAATCCTTCTGTTCCTCATCATCTGGATCATGCCTGAATCCCCCCGCTGGCTCGTCAAAGTGGGTCGTGAAGAAGAGGCTCGCTTCATCCTTGGTCGTCTCCGTGGCAATGAGGGCGAGGACGGCCTCAAGGCGGAAGCAGAGTACAATGATATTGTCAACATCCACAAGCTTGAAGTAGACACCGCCAAGCAGCAGAGCTACTTCTCCATGTTCTTTGGCATTGGGTCTGGAAAGCTACACACTGGCCGGCGCGTGCAGCTGGTCATCTGGCTCCAGATATTGCAAGAGTGGATCGGTATTGCGGGAATCACCATTTACGGCCCTGAGATCTTTACGATTGCTGGCATCAGCGCAAAGGACAGACTCTGGGTTAGCGGGATCAACAATATCACATACATGGTACGTTTAGCCAACACCTCCTCACCTCAAAGATTCCATCACACTAACACGGGAGCAGTTCGCCACACTGATCTGCGTCTTCACCATCGATCGCATAGGTCGCCGTTGGACTCTGTACTGGGGAGCTGTCGGCCAGGGCATTTGCATGTTCGTCGCCGGTGGCCTCGCTCGCGCAACCATCAATGCCTCAGGCAAAGCAAGCCAGAGCCACATCGGCGGCGCTGCAACATTCTTTGTGTTCCTCTACACTGCCATTTTCGGCGCTACCTGGCTGACGGTTCCTTGGTTGTATCCGGCCGAGATTTTCCCTCTGCAGGTTAGAGCCAAGGGAAATGCCTGGGGTGTCGTTGGCTGGTCCATTGGCAACGGCTGGTGTGTAAGTGCACTTTTCATTCTCCTCTCCCGTCTGGGCTCTTCTGGTCTAATCTTCTCTAGGTGCTCCTGCTTCCTACGATCTTCAAGGCGCTCAACGAAAAGACACTCTACATTTTTGGCGCCGTCAACGCCCTGTCCATCCTCGTCGTGTGGGCTCTGTACCCCGAATCGAATCAACGAACTCTAGAGGAGATGGACCTCGTCTTTGCTAGCGACAGCATCTGGGCCTGGGAGGCTGAGCGTAATTTTGCCAAGCTCAAGGCTGAAAACCCGGATCTTGTTCAGGGCTCAACAAACCACGGAGTTGTAGATATTGAGCAAGTTGCCGAGCCAAAGGAGTAGGTTCGTCGACAAGAACTTGACGGTCTCTTTATACATAATTTTTCCTACTACTCGCATCAAACTATTTCGGCACGTGGACACATTGTCCGCTGGAGCTGGGCATGTGTTTAAACCAACCTCGATTACCTCACACTGGCGGCAGCAATGAATCAACATATCTCAAGTACAAGAGATGCAGCAGCTGAGTACCTGTATATCATATCTCATACATTTCAAATCCCATCAGTCATCAGGCCCCAGCCCAGTATCGATCCCAGGCATCTCGGCAGATGTCATTTTGCAGATGCTTCAGAAAGTCGTCAAACTTGACAGGCTCTTCTCCTTCCAATCTCATCACTCCATCCTTGATCCCCTGCCATCCCTCCACAGGCAATTTGATGTAACTGTGCCTCTTGTCGCAGAAGTGCATGACGGCGGGCGATCCCACCGTCTCAGGATCATGTCGGGCCTTGTAGCAAAGCTCGCAGATTAGGGTGGTTGAACATTCTGTACAATAATGAACCACAGAATGTCCCCACCAGGCAAATGCAGCCACGGGGTTACAGATGCCACCGTCGCAACTGCAAACGACTATCTCGGGGTTCCCAAGATCTCCCTCGTCTCTCGGTGACGACTTCTTGCCACTCCTAATACTGGCCATGGTTTCGTAGGGGGCTAGCCCTTCAATTGTCCCAACCATCTTGATAGCTACTACACCTTCCGAGTCTGTATCTTCAGTATCTTCATCGTCGCTTTCATCATCATCGCTTCTGTCGCTGGACTGATTTGCTCTCTCCCAAAGCTCGAGTTCCTCCTCCGTGACATGAGTGATTTTGGAGAACATTGCTGATATGACGATGCGCGCATAGCGCTGTATATCTTGTCCTTCCGGTAGAGCTTTGCTTAGCACCATTAGGGCATGGGCCAGCTTTTCCATATTTTGTCCATCGTTCCAAGACACTTTATCGGTTAGGCCTGCAAAGCAATCATCTAGGACGCTTTGGAGTCTTTCCTGAAACTCACTTGCCTGTCCCATCTTTAGACACATTGACGCAAGAACAATGCGGCGATAGACCAGGTCTAGACTCGTATAGATCGGCACCGACAGAGAAAGCGGCCTGTTCATGATGTTTTTGAGTGACTCGAGGGCCTCTTGCTTAACCTTGGGATCTCGCGAGCCCCGGAAAATTTCGTAGAGAACATCAGACATGACATTTACCAGTCGCTGCATCATGGTCTGCGGCTCCTCGTCCGTGATAGAGTACGGATACCCGCCCGAGGTGCTGGCGAATATCTCATCCAGGGTCTTGCGAGCATTCTCCAAATCTCCCTTGGCTCTGAAATAAGTAACCGCTAACTCAAGACGCAGCGGAGCACCAGAGTTGAGCCGGTCGAGAAACCGAATAGCATCCTGATAGGCATCAATCAGAAAGTCGACTTCGCCCTCTCTTATTGCGAGGGAGCGAAGCTTGTCATGCCGCTCATGTCCCTGGTTGCAATAGTTCCACGCCATCCAGGTCAGTCTGTCAATAGGACTCCAGCTCTTCAGCGTCCGAAAATATCCAGCGTAATCTGCCACCTTCTCAAAGAGCTCGATCTCTCCCTCAAGCGCATCCCCGGAAGTTGTACCGGTGGGATCGATTGTCTTCGCTCTTGCATAGGACTTGGCCGCGGCATCTCGCATCTTGAGCTTTCCTTCAAGCTCGGCCTTTGCCAAGAGAGCTGATCGCTTCAGTGAGGCAGGGACATCGGCCGTCTCGATGTCCTTGACACAGTCGGATATAACCTCAATCGCCTTATCCTTCTCCTGTAGCTTCCACAGAACCTTGGAACGCAGAATCGACGTCTTGAACTTCTCTTTGACGTCGTCCGTGGTACGATAAAGCTCGAATGCTTTAATGCACATCAAATCAGCTGGCTTATAGAAGCCGTAGTTGTAAAAGATCTCTCCCACCGCTCGATAAGCCGTTGCATTCATCTCGATCTCGTCGAAAATTCCTGGTAAGCCTAATGAACTCCTTTCTTCGCCGAGGCCTTCCGTGGCTTGATTCTCAGCATTCTCGTCACCGTTCAAGGTGTTTTCGGAAGCCGTAGCAGCCACTGCTGAAACTTCATCCGGAAAGTTCCTCTTGGCGCTGTCGAGAAGAAGATGGTCAAGTCCAGACTAAAATAAATGGTAAGTTTCGATATTGGGTGATTTGTAACAAGACATGAAAGGAATACTTGGTGCTTTAGGTTCAAACTTACAGTGCCTGACAGTCCATAGATGAGCTTATACGCAGTAAGAGCCTCATCAAGATCAGCCGCAGCGTAGAGGCGCCTAACATATCCCCTCAACATCCCGTATCTGCACTTTCGAGGATCAGCCGCAACGTCAGCCCACCATGCAGCTGCATCCGAGCTCAACAGAGATGCAATCTCAGGCACCTTGAGAGACTCTGCCCAGACAGCCATCCTGTCGTTCAATATGCTTTTGAGGCCCCGAGTATAGGTCATTCCGGTGCGACTGAGTGTTTCTGCAAAGTCGGTATGCGAAAGAGCCATAGCTAACCCTTCCATGACCTCTGCTTTCTCTGGGCTCGTATAGTCCTCCCACACGAGCTGGGAGGAGTGCGAGATCAGACGATAGGCCGCGTACAACCTCAAGCCGTCGCTGATCTTGTGGCCCGGTCCCAAAGGCTCTGGTTTGACGAGGTCAACACAGCCCAACAAGATCTGACGATGCGCCTCTGAGGCCTTCAGATGCCATTGAGAGTTGCCGCTGGCGGCATCTCTAAAAAATGCCCGCATTGATCTCTCTTTAAACTTGACAGGTAGAGCCCCATCGTTGTACATCTTGTCTTGATTGTCAGATGCAGCTTCCTCCTTCTCGAGATCCTCGATTGAGCCGGTAGAGGTGTCTTTGTTGGCAAGTTCTCTTGATTGAGCATCAAACGCAGGGTCTCCAACCTTGAGGAACTTGGAAGCAACTTCGGGGATTTCCTCCAGATCAAAACTATCATCCTTGGAAAGGTACACGAGCAGCGATGTTACTTCATCGAGGTTCAACACACGATATGCAAAGGCAATCCAATGCAGCAGCTTGGATGCAATTTGCTGGCGGGCGACAGGCATTCGGCGCTGGCATTCGTCCAACATGATTTCATATACGCCGTGCAATGTCTCTGGCATTGGACGCGCAAGCACCTGAAGAACAGCTCCCTCGCGGCCGAGTGCGTTGAGCCTCTCCAGAGTATGTTCAGCATACAGCAAGTCTAGCGATTTCATGTACGATTAGAGTCCCCTCGTTCAACGGTAAGTAGGCGCTTCTAGACTTACTCGGCGATACTTCTTCCACCTTTTCCGCAATTCTTTGCTGGACATAACGCGAAAACTTCTTCAGGTAGCTCAGATCGTTGATTCGATGCCACACGAGGGTCTTGAAGTCCTGCAGCTGCTTTTCCTTTGTGACTTCAATGTTGCTGACCTCGAATTTTTCCGTCAATTGTTGCAGAAGATCTGGGCGAGTCGTGACGACAAACGTCATCCTAAACTTTTGCTCTCTAGCAAGCCTAACAAACTCGAGGAATTCGGCAAAGTCAAACATCTCGTCCAGGCCATCAAAAAGGAGGAAAAGACGGTTTGGAGAGTCCTTGTTGAATGCTGGGCCTAATATCTTGAGCAGCAAGTCCCGCCAAACAAAGACGTTGTAGTAGACTTCGTCGCGGACCATCTCTGCGTTTATCCTCTCGCAAAGAGGCACGCTCTGGTCAACTACCTGACTAATGGTGTTGATCAGGCCGCTCTTGAACCAGCTTAGGTCTTTTTGCTGCTCTCGGTAGTAGAACTGTGTCACACAGGTACGCTGGGTCGTGTCCTCCCTCGCAATGCTGTAGAGCTTGTCGTACACTGACGCCGCAAGATGGCTTTTGCCAGTTCCGGGAAGTCCTGATAATGCAAGCACTGGCTTGAGAGCAGTGCTTTCTCCGTCTTGCTTGATCCATGCCTCCCACTCAGGCTGGGAAAAGACCCAAGTGCAAGTGTCCGGGATCAGCGTCTCCTTCAAGACCTTGTACTCATGGCCCTCTCCCTCGATATCTGGCATTCTATTTCGAACCTGATTTGCGGAAGCTGGCTTTCCAGCGTCCTGGTTGGATGGCTTCCCTTTGTGGTCATGCTTTGCGTTCTGTTCTGTGAATGCCTTGAGGAGCTTGGCAACGTCGCTACGGATACTCCCAGTATCTTGACTGATGTTGAACATGACCTCTTTTTGCTCCTCCAGCATTTGCGTGTGCGCTGTCTGGTTGATTTGCAGTTCGGCACTCATCTTCTTGAGTTCCTCGCTGTTACCAAGGATGGCGAACTCTGTGGCATTTTGTAGCCGGGCGAGACTTTTATCCATCTTCTTTCGAGCACCACCCAAGTCGCTGTCTTCACCCTCAAGCAGATTGGTGATCCATTTCTCTGCAATTCATGTGAGCATCACAGCATTTTTGGTGTGAAAGTTCGAATGCCCTCTGCGACACTTACTGAAACGGCCGAGTTCTATGTACTTGTGCGCATAGCCAGTCAATGTCAGAAAAGATGTAAAGACGTCCATCAAACAGTTCTGGTACGCCTTGTGTGGTGGCAGGCGAGTCTCCAAGATGACTACGCGCTGCAGGAAGCTATTCATGTCGTCAAAGAAGACGACGACGACATCATAGTCTGCTGATACCTGCCTGCAGGCCTATAGCGAGATACATAATAGAGAGTGTCAGTTTTGGAGATTCTTCCGGATCCACAGCCGTCTTCAGAAAGGGGCATTACCGAAAGAAGGTATGTTATCGCGGTACCAATAGCAGCTGCTGGAGGGAATGCAGGGACAGCCGCGCTGATGAGGTGCTGAGCCCCCTTCTCTATGTAGTCGATGTTGGCCGCGAAGAGACTGCGCAGCTTATCCACTTTCTTGGTGTTGTGTCGAAACTTATGAAACGAGTTCATCTCATTCGTTCCAAAATCGATCATGGCTTGAACATTGTTGAACTTGGGCTGCAGGTCAAACCCTACAATGCCCTTGTATTCCTTGAGAGCTTGCTTCCAGAGATCGGCAACATCGCGATTATCATTCTCCAGATCTTCCGGTATTACTTTCTTGTCTCCTCCATTAGTCGCCATGGCGTCAAAGACGGGCGGAGACTATCGGGTGGATCTGGAAATAGAACACTGGCAAAGATAAAATGGGGGAGGTATGCCTCTATGCCTAGGAATTTCCATGAAGCAGCTATCAATCAAGGTGTTAATAAACCCTCGCTGGGGTCCTCATCCTCTTTTAAAGTACCTTAGTTGAAACTACCTATAGCTCTCAGCATTGGCCAAAGCGTTTTCGGGTTTTTGTGCAGCAAAAGCTCTCTCAGCCTTATAATCAACTCCACAATACAACATAAGGTGCAGTTGAGTGAGCCTATCATGTCTGTTGGCGACATCCCTCATGCATGTTGCCCGCATGATTTCCGGCTGATGATCCAGCTTAGCAGCCCCCTGTACGCTTAGCGTGTAGGCAACAGACACGATATATTCCTCGGGGCCGTCAGCCTTCGTAGGACGTTGCACCGGTTTTGAGCGGTCAGCGAGCTATCACAAACTCCTTTGGGCACAAAACAAGGCAACATACCTTGCTCCTTCCAGGCATCATCCATCTTTCTGAGCATACTGAGCTTGCTAGCCCTAAGTAACCCCAGGTATTATCGAACAAGTTTATTCATATCAAGTCGACTCCTACTAGTGCTCGCTGATCTGAAATGGGTAGACTAGGTAATGATACTACTAATCACGAACCCCGCAGCAAACAGATTATTAAACGAGACGTTATCGCCCCGAATGCACAAGACGCCGGCCTCTTCCACCCTCTGCCTATTGCTATTTTTACATTGCATATTGAGCTGTCATTGGGTCGACAGACACTCCAAGGCGGAGATGCCGAAGCGGAGTCACACAGTGGGGGGTTTGAGAGAGGAAGACGATCCCAATGCGGCTCAAAGATTCGGTGCAGCAAATTGTCCACCAGTCGGTCGATTTGTTCAGGAGGGCTGCACTAAACGAACACGGGATGCTGATGGATCAAATGTGGCGCAACCCTGTGCAGCCTTCAATGCAACGGCAAGGTATGTAGAAGTGAGTTGACCTAGTAGTAGGTTGTCTTTCCAAAGTGAAGCTCGTTGTCGAAACGGACTTGTCAACTGATTGAAGTGGCTAGGTAGGTGGCTCTGATGCACGATGGTGAAGCTACCAGTGACTGTTAGGACCTAGGTTCAGTCGTTTCTCTCCAGAACCTGAATCTGCATGCAACCTGCTTCAATCCTTCTGCATGAGACTGTTGCGAGATAATTCTTTGTATTATTGTTGCTAGCCATGTCGCCTGTTCTCACGATAGCCTCGCATTGATCCAGCCAAGCTGTGGTTTGGCCTAGTGTTCTTGTCTATAGGTTGCTTCAACCATATGTTTTGTCAATACGTGCACATGCGCCAGATCCTTCGTTTGTCTTCTCACCCGATCGTCTCTTGAAGCAATCACCTTGGCCATTCTATGTGCAAGCAAGTCCCCCTGATACAGACGATCGTGGCCTGAGTATGTTGAGGATGGCAGCATCCAGTCAACCCTGAATTGGACTGAGGAGAACGTACAAGGTAGGGAGATAGATGTTAAACAGGTCAGCTGAGCAGTGCAATTGTAAGACTGCAAAGGCATGTCATAAGGTATAATCGACTATGCCTACTAGCAATCACGAAGACTAAGGAATAATCTTGGCAGCCTTCATCAAGCCAAAGGCTTCTTCGTAATTCTTGAGCACATTCGAGCGACTCTCGAACCCTGCAGCCCTTGCCTTGGTGAGGTCATACTGCCGATCGAACACGGGCAACGATGTGAGCACATCCATGAATTCCCAGCTTGTCCTCTGGATGACACCTGGCATCAAGCCATGCTGGGTCTCGAAGCTCTCCCACTCGTCGCGATGCTGCGCCATGTAGGCTGCCACACTGAAGCTGGCGGATTCCTCAGGCGGGACGCCTGCGAGGCCGAACATGTCGCAAATGGACGCCCATTTCTCAGCCCAGCTGTTTCCTGCAGTGACCGGAGAGTCCCCCACGTTGTAAACCTCTCCACTTTGGGCGTCTTTCAGGCCGGAAGCAAAGATGTGTGCTCTAGCCAATGTTGTTTGCCCGATTTCGGTATAATGGCTGTTGTAAGCAGCTAGAGGACCAGGATATGGAATAGTTTTCTTCTCTCCGGAAGAGTCTTGGTGACGATAAGCATAGAAGCTTAGGAAAATACCGAGGGCCTGGACATAGTTCATCGCGTTGCCGCCGCCGGGTACGAAGCCAATCTATATCAAATTTTAATCAGTCAACCGCCAACATCATTGACGCAACAGGGGAGGTCATTACCACTAGATCTGGGCGAATCTCGGCGAAGCTCCAACTCTTCTCAACGGAGAGCCTCTGGAGAGCATCGTACTGAGCATAATAGAAGACTTGGTCTTGATATGGCTGTGGAATACGCGGGTCTGTTTCCTTGGCCGGAACCTTCGGGAACCCCAGATGCGGAACATGCACAAACCCGTACGACTATGGCAGGAGGAGTCAGTATGGAGGAACCTATCCACTGGTCATGAGTGAGAATAACCTTGCCGCCTGTTTGCAGAGTCCAGAACTGTAGATTTGGACTGACTCGCTCAACCGCTTGGACTGCTGTTTCAAGAATACGGACGTTGACCTCTTTAAGAATGTCAAAGCCTACAAAGTCCGAAGTCCCAGCGGGTTGAATATATGCTGCAAAGCAGTCAGTTTCCGTCCACTTCGAATCATGCCTAGTTTGACAGGAGGTTGTGGGCTCGTACCAGCAAAGTACACGTCAGTGACGTTCTTGATGCCGTCAATCTCGGCCAGCTTGGCCACGACATCGTCTACGCTCGCGGTGAGATCCACCCCGTGAGCCAGCGTGAGGCGGCTATCATCTGGCAGGAAGGATTTTTCTCGATCCAGAGGCCGCTTTGTGAGTCCGATGACGCGGCTAAATGTTGTCGCTGTTGGATACGTGAGCGCTTCCCGCACAATGGCCCATCCGGTGATGCCAGAAGCTCCAAACACCAAGGCGGTGCGGTTTGCGATGGCAGAGACGGGCGACATGATATCTGTTGGTGTTGGATCTGAGATGAATTTGGGGTAAAGCTTTTCGTTCGTGGCTTGTTACTAGCCATTAAAGAGCGTGAAACCACACTTATATACACATCACCCTCGATCACGCAACGCATCCATCGAACGATATCCCATTCATCAATCTACATCTCCATCTAAGTCCACTTACAGATGAACATTCACATTTATCCGCATACCCACTCAAGCGGACTTCGTACAAGAGCCTCAAATGAAGTTGATGGCATCTCTGGTCATATCGAAGACGCCCACTTTCGGTCAAAGCGTCTCCGGAGCAGAGTGGAAGGCCGCCCTTCTGGAGGCGAGAACGAAGGCAGCGGAGCGAAAGCGAGCCTCCGTACCAGCAGCAAAAGTTCGCAATGGCTTACCCTCGCCGTGTTTATTCTGACCCCCGGTGCGCGAACAAAATGGCGCAACTCTGAGCCTCAGCTGATCGTGCAAGCATCAAGAGATCTTCCTGCTGTGATTTCTTCTCCGCCGCTCCGCCAGAGACCTTAAAGCAATGAGGAGTTGCAAGGTCCGCTCGCAATCTCCGCACCCTGGGTGTCTGGATATTGTGTGGCTCAACGGATCCCTAACCTCTTTTCTGGGCTGGATCGCTGCGGGCACAGTGAATTGCCTAATTCGTCCTGGGTCTTTCAGTTGTCCAACAAAACGAGATGATGGAATGCAGTGGCTATCCAGCCCAGCTAGTACCAAGCAATCCACGACTAAGTTTATCATGCGTCTGTCTTGGAAACAGATCAGTTTATCTCGGCATCCTGAAAGAGGTGAATAGGTAGGCCTTACCCATGAGCATAGGTACGGATGGTGTTACTACGAGGTACATGTAGTTGTTTCCGCTCCAAAGAGCAGCTTTCAGTCTTATGTAATAATCCACATCGCCTCTTGCAGGCGGAAGGCGTCGGCCCGAGATGCGGCCCGCCGAGCCAGAGCGCAGGGTATAAAATTTCGACTCGCGGCCGAGCCTTTCAGATTTTCTTTTCTTCTTTTCTTCTTTACGTCGACAATACTTCAGTATGTGCACCCCCAACTGCTCGCCTCTCGCGCTGCGGAAAACATCTTTGCTAACACACTGGCCAACAGGAGAATCATTTCTATAGTATTCGTCTCTCGCTTTGGTTCCCAAAAGAGCCATCGAATCCACCCTGGTTGATGATTGCATATCCTCGGCATCCAAGAGTGAATACTTTTCTGGTCCTCTCGCACCATCCGCAAGGATGGCGGCAAAGCTTTGCGCTTCTGCTGTATAGAGAGTTGTTTCTTCTTGATGATCTCGACCCTATCGACGGCTGCCTTTGGGCCCGTTGGTGGGGTGGATGTCGATGGACGTCTGACAGGCTGCTTTCCCTTTTATTTTTCATTGCATTGTCGAGGCTTGCCTTGAATGTGAAGAAGACTTTGATCTCTGCCCTCGAATATTTCACCTCTCTGGGCTGCATTGGATTCCATATGATGTGCTACTACTCTCTGAGGTTGGCCTCCCGCCAATAGCTTTCGCGCTTCATGTTGCGAAGCCGTTTGCCGAACCAGATGACTGGCAAGAATGTCGAGCAAATGGCCAGAGCAACGAAAGCCACGCTGACGAAGCAGTTCTGCAGTCCTAGGCCGTCCAGCCAAGGCGTGATGCCGTAGTTGATGGCGAAGCTCATCGTATTACGGATAATGATGCACGAGGCCAGGCCATCTGCTGATATCTCTCGATATGAGTCGACGAGATATGCAATCGACAACGTGATGCCAGCTGTGTTGCAGGCCGCCAGCACGCACATAGCAACAATGAGGCCAAACCAGTGGACATGGTGAGCGGCCTTTTCCTCGAGTCAGCATTTCCATTGTTGGACGATCAGAAATTACTTGCTTACCCCAACGCCCCAGAGAATCTGACAAGCCGGCACAAGTATTGTTGTCAATGCAAACAACCAAAGGCGCTGCTCGGGCTCAAATATGCCGCGATTGCGTCGCGCAATTTTGATGATGAACCAGTCCGAGATGATGCCGCTGTAAGCAGATCTGTGAAGTACACGACGCCGTCAGTTCACCTTTCTCTGCTCCTGAGCTTTGAAGTCGGCTGATTTCCTACCCAAGAACAACGCCCACGACACACGCAAGGTAGCTTAGGCCGACGATGCTAGGCTTAAAGTTGTAAGGAGCACCGCCGAGGACGATGGACGAGGTTGCATTCAGTATGTTGAACCAGATGAGATACGTGCCGTACGAGAAGCCCGAGTAGAAGACCACAGGCCACGCGATCAATCTAAGGATTTGCCAGGCGCGTCTATGCATCTGGAATGCACGCGGCTTGTCAAGCAGAGCAAGCTTGTGCCAATAGCTCTTCTCTTCACCTTGGAGTATAGCACTGTTGCTGTCATCTGTGGAGAAAGCTGTCATTCTGTGGCCCTCGTTGCCTGCAGCTGCCCCTGTTGACGAAGATGATGCTGTCTTTTCACTTGTAGCTTCACGAGCTTCAGCAGCGTTGACTCCCACCAACGGGCGATCGTAATTTGTCTCTTCCAGAAAGAAGAAGAGAAATACAAAACAACCGCCGCCGAAAATAGCCATGAAGTAAAAGGGCCATTTATAACCCATGCTATCATTGATGAAGCCGCAGATGACGGGCGCAAAATAGTTCGAAGTCGCCAAAATCCATGCATACCACCCCATGTAGGTGCCTCGCTCATGGGCAAAATAAATGTCAGTGATGGATGTCTCTGGCAGGGCTTCAATTGGCGCGGCGACGAAGCCGGCAACAACGTTGCGGGCAATCCATTGGCCTTGGCCTGTCGCGAAGGGGCTCCAGGCGGAGACAGCCTATGATATGATCAGAATATGATCAGAATAGATGGGAGGAGGTTGAGATCCTCCGTCGCTTACCACGATGCCTAGCATGGAGAGTAGGTATGTCAGCCGTTTGCCGTACTGGAGAGCAAAAGGCTGCCAGAAGAGCAGGCCCCAGCCACATAACAAGAACATGTAGCCCGTTCCTTGATTGAGGTCGCCGACTGTACTCGAGAAAATGTTGTTAGCAAACCATTGGAGGTTGGTCTGGGCACATTGGTCGTAGTCCCCTACCGCTGACATGCAGAGCTGTAGACAGCGGCACCAATAACGAATACACAACGGATAACGCCATGCCATTGAACAGTGTGTAGCTGTAGCACAGCATTGGCGGATTCAGTTAGCCGGCGCAAATACCAGCTCAGGACGGGCAAACTCACGCAATCAGGCAGATGAGGTGCTGACGCTTTCGCCATGGCGACCAGTTCAAGGGGTCGTTTACATCCGTTGACGGTGTGGGGATGAGTATGATGTCGTCTTGACTCGAGGCATGGCGTGTCTGCCTGTTGTGGTCAATGTCAACAAGGAGGACCGTCCCAGGGACCTGGGACGTGTCGGCTTGGGTGGGTTGGCGCTGCATGGTGTATAGCGATGCAATCCACCGAATGCTGTCCTTGAATACTCAAGAAGCCCAAGGCTGGGGCATTGAGGACGGAGAAGCGAAAGCAAAAGCAGATTCAAGTGGTTGCAAAGGTGGGAGATTTGCGGCGCGTTTTCATCCCAGCCATGTCTTGCCGGCCTGTACAACTATGTACTATTACGATAGGCATCCGTTTGAGACATTCACATCGAATTCAGATCGGCGTTACCTCGACGTCACAAGACCAGATATTCAGGTTCTGCTAAGGCGAAACAAGCAGTTGATTAGTACTCCGTACAAGGGAGTTGTTCGCCGACGTGCCGATCTCGTTCTCTGGGATGGGCTGAAGCCTGTAGCCCTACATCGGTGGACTGTAAACGAGGCATTGATAAGTGAACTCCCATCGTCAGTTTGGCAATGCTCTTTGCTCCCGGAATCGCGGCTTATCATCTACATACGGGGTGACACCGAGAGCAGCCATAGGGATAGTAAGTGCAAAGCAGAGATAAGAAGTGAAGACGCTGGGAGTCACCAGGCATGGGGTTCGTGTCTCCACTACCCGCCCGCTTTGCGATCGGCTTTCCTGGATGGCTCTTATCTTACAACTCCTCTGGCGGAGCAGACAAGGAGTGTTAGGGATCTCCTGTCTGAATTCACAATACATCCATTCATAGTCTTTGAGTTTCTTTGAGGATCATTTCTTGATGAAGCTGAAAATGTCTCCCATCGACTTTTGTTGCGCGGTACTGCACAAGGGTCCAGCATAACCTACAGCTGTGACTCTGTTTACCAGAGCCCCGTTTCCTGCTTGCTGTCTAGCAACTCTAAGGTAGTTGTTGGAGCAACTCACCAAACACATTCTTATCTCCTGTCCTTTGATCGCCGTTTCTTGCCATGGTCTGGTAGTACGCTCTTGCCACTCCATTTGGACGCTTTTGCCGCGTTCAGTTGCTACTATCTACCAGGTAGGTATCTTTGCCCCACGTTCTTACTCCCAGCTGAATATATGTACCTTATCCAGATTAAGAAGTCATACTATAAGGTATGAATTCCCCCTACATACCCAAAAGTCTACGAGGCGCCTGTGAAACATCACCATTCGGTTGTATCTATCTATACGAAACATATCTCACCCTCGTCCGCTCATCAGGACTCAGCTCACCCTCGACGGCACCGTCCGGTGTATCTCGGCAAGCTCCGGCGCTCCGCCTGCGGGGGATCGCAATAAGGCGGGGCATCTGGGGGCCGTTGGGTCGGAATTGGGAGCATGTCATCATCCTCTGCTTAGTGCCGTCCTTAATCTGAGAACATACATCTGCATCCAAGCAATCCGATTGCTTCTTTCAAACTCGTTTTTCCAGTTGGACAAGGCATTCAGGGTCACGCAAGAATGGCGGCCACGCTTGAGTCCGACATTCAGTACCTCAAAAGCCTTCGGGCCGTCCGAGAGCGCTCGCGGATCGTGCTTGAAGCGGCCCGAAATGGGGGCCTCAGTAACTTTGAGCTTGACGAATCGTGGATGAAAGAGACGGCGGAATTTGTTGCCGGTGTCATTTCGGTGAGTGTGACTCTCCTCAGCAGGAGACTCTTAGCTTTGTTTGTTGACACGCGCGTGAATTACAGCGAGACTTTGGCCCCGACCGATATGCAGAGATCCCGCCCCATGGACGATGGGAGCATTTTAGTATCGGCGGCATTCCGCGGCTGGAGAACCTGGTGAAGAAGTGGCAAGATAGCGAGGTGCCCGATGTGGAAATCACTCGGCGCCTGATTGACCTCTTTTTCGTGTCTGTGCTGCTCGACGCTGGCGCGGGCGACACCTGGGCGTTCCGCGAGCCTGGAGGCGACCAGGCGTATGGCCGCAGTGAAGGCATCGCGGTCGCGTCGCTGTACATGTTCAACGACGGGGCGTTCAGTGCATCCACGGATGGCAACAAGGCCACAGTGGACGGTATATATCTCCTATCATCCAAGCTTCCTCTCGACATTCTTGCCAGACAGCTGACGGGACCTGTTACGCAGGGCATGCCCTTAGCAGACTGACCGAGGATGCGTTTATTCACCACTTTCAAGTTGGCCCCCAGAATCCCATTGTCGGCGCTGCATCCAGGATTGAGCTGCTCAACAGCTTTGGAAAGTCCCTGCTCTCGCTTCCAGAGATTTTTGGCGCAACTGGACGACCAGGGCTGCTTGTTGGTAAGTCTTACTGCTGCGTCATAGCCCACACCCCGAGCTCCGCTCATTCATCATATACAGACCATTTGCTCGCTATCAGCAAGGACAATGATCTAGACTACGAAGCCCTCTGGGATATCCTGCAGAGGCTTCTTCTCCCTGCGTGGCCGTCAAATCGCCCGCGTATCAACGGCCAGCCCATTGGGGACGCATGGCCGCTTCGCGTATTACAGGAGAGATCTGGCGACAGCGGGAATCCAACGACGGGAATCCATCCGTTCCACAAGCTCACCCAATGGCTCGGATATTCCCTCACCGTGCCATTCATGAAGATCCTCAAGCGCAAATGGATCAACATCGACAAAGGAACTGGTTTGCCCGAGTATCGAAACGGAGGCCTTTTTGTCGACATGGGCGTCTTGAAGTTGAAGCCAGAGGTTCTCGCCCAGGGACTCGAGGCGTCAGGTCAGGCGCTGCCGCTCTTCCCATCCACCGGAGATGTGATCGTGGAGTGGCGAGCCATGACGGTCGCCCTTCTTGATGAGCTGCATAAGCACATTAACGATATCCTGGCGCCTCAGGGAGTTTCCCTCTCGTTGCCACAGCTGCTGGAGGCTGGATCTTGGAAGAGCGGCCGGGAGCTGGCTGCCAAGCATCGGCCGGAGACTCGATCGAGTCCGATATTGATTGAAGGCGATGGAACTCTGTTCTAGACGGGCCTTGCTGATGGATGTGCGTGCCGGTACTCATGGCCAATGATGCTGGAGTAATTGCACCTGACTCATGCTCCGATTGCGTCCTACAAATGTTTTCAGTAAATCACTGTTCTCGTCTACGTCGATTCTCGCTCCTCTCGATTGATGACTTGCATGTACTACAGGCTGTGACACAAGGCGGCCTGAGCTCTGAAGCTGCCGGCCATACCCCATTTATGCCTCAACAATAGATACTCCGTACTCCGTATGACCAGCATGATAAGGAAGACGATCTGACTTGGCCCAGCAACGGAAAATGAACCCTGGGCGTGCGGGGTTCGATTGTCATGCATCGCATATGATTCGATGCGAACTGACCCCAAATGTGAGGCATGTGCAATAAGGCGAGTCGGCATACTAGAATATTTAACACGGCGTAATCCTACAAGGAACAAGGAAACCTCATCACCAACACAGACTCGTCACGCAGTCATTCGTTAGGCACAGAAGAAAAAAGGTCACAATGAGCCAAGATCTTGCCCTCCCCCGGCTTCTCTGCCTCCACGGCGCCGGTGTCAACGCCCAAATCTTCCGCATCCAGTGCCGCGCCATCATGGCCCGGCTCAAGGACAAGTTTCGCTTCGTCTTCGCCGAGGGCCCGCTGGAGGACGAGGCGCATGAGGCCATCGTGACCATCTTTGCCGAGTTCGCGCCGTTCAAGCGCTGGCTGGCTTACAGGGACAAGCACGAGCCCACAGACGCAACGGAGATGGCCCAGGGAATCGTGAGGCAGATCCGCGACGCGATGGACAAGGACGAAGGCACGGGAGAGTGGGCAGGACTGCTGGGGTTTTCACAGGGCGGCGTCATCTCGGCCAGCCTTCTCTGGGCGCAGGACCACATCGAGGACGAGACCAAAAGGCCGCTGCCGGGCATCAAGTTTCGCTTCGCCGTCATCATGGCCGCTCCCGGACCCGTCGTGCACATTGACCGTACCGGCACGCTTCCCACGCCGCGACATCTAGCGAGTGCAGGCGACGTTATTCCGAGGTTCACGGACTGGCCTCAGGAGGATCAGGAGGACGAGACGCACCTGTTGCTGACGCCCACGCTGCACGTCCACGGGCTGCAGGATGCAGCGCTGGAGAACCACCGGAAGCTCTACAAGTACAGCAAACAAGGGACGGCGACGCTGCTGGAGTGGAATGGCGACCACAGGCTGCCGATCAAGACGGATGACGTGGAGAAACTGGTGAACAGGATGCTGCAGCTGGCAGAGCGGACGGGCATGGAGTTCTACTACGACGATGACTGGTGATATCCTGATAGTATGGAGATGTTTGCGTGAAGGGGGTGTTGGTTCATTAGATGTGCATAGATGGATGGCGTCGTGAATAAGATAGACAGGGAAGACAGCGTCCGATATATATGGCCACATCAAGCTCTTATTGTTGGACATGATAGAAGAGAAAAGGTCGGATACAGCAAAAATGGCTTTTTGTCCGATTCTCGTCCAGCTGAGACTCTACATTACTTGAGCAGATCCCTGCACCTTGCACAAGCTGTGCCTGTCCCTTCTGACATGCGTCATGCATCATGCAAGCAAGCCTCTTCTACAGCCACCCAGCTTAGTATCTGGCTTCCCGGAGATGCTCTCATCAGGCCCCCTCGACAGCAATTCACAGCTATGCTTCCAGGAAATGACCATCGAATCTCCAGATAGTGGCCGTCCGATGCATGGAATCATGCCAGCTTAGTCATCTCGCATGGCCCGGGATTCCCCGCTGAAGCTCCCGGCGCATCATGACGCTCTCGAGCTCCCCGCATATCAGTCAACGGCATCGCAACACTTCACGATCAGCTACTCCTTTCCTTGTAATATCCCGTCCACAGCTTTGGTCACAATGTCGAGCTCCCAGAATCAGCATATCCAAGCTCCAGGAGAGCCGTATTTTCCTCCGCCGCCTCCCGGTCCTCCTCCCGCTTCCACCCAACAACAACAGCCATATCCCCAATTCCCTCCACCTCCACAACAGCCTGAACCGCAGTCCCATCAAGCTCAGGAAGCCCATAAATCGGATGATAATCAGCACCAGCAACAGCAGCTGCAGCAAGAACAGACGCAATTCCAGCAGACGAGCCAGCAACAGCACTTCCCACCTCCACCTCCCGGCCCCCCTCCGTCCCAGCAACAGCAACCACACTATCAGCCTCAGTATCAGCCGCCACCGCAACAACAGCAACAGCCTGCCCAGCCACAACCCTCAAGCTATGCAATTCCCGCATACGATCCTGCGAATCCCGTCTTTGCGCCGCCGCCCTCAAATGCTCTCAATGCATCTGCGACCCCCTCGGCATATCATCAGCCTCCGGCAGAAGGCCAGCAACAACAGCACCAACAGCAACCATACCAGCAAGCGCCTCCGTCCCCGCAGCACCAAACAGCTGGCGAGCAACAGGGACATCACAAACTTGGCTGGAGTGAGCGTCTCTCTGCTCTGGGCATGAAGGCTGCGGCGCCCATCAATAGCATTGCACACAAGCTGGGCAGCCAAAGCTTCCTCCCCGAGACGCTGGACAAGGAGTGCGACAAGGCCGCGACCATTCTCAAGGCGTTTTGCAGTAAGTGATGATCAACGCGAGGTCCCGTCAGTTGGCTAACGTTTCCCCCTCAGGAAAGGGAGTCTACGCCGACCCTGCGGCCACTTCGGTGCCCACCTCGACCGATCCTAATGCGGTTGAGTCGACCGACAGAGTCATTGATCCGACAAAGGAGAAGCCAAAGAATCGCGTCATTGTAACGATCCCGCCGAAAGTCATCTCCAAGGCTGTTGGCCTTGCCATCTTCACCACCCTTCGCGCCGGCTTTCAGGTGTCTGGTGCTACAGGCTCGGGAATTCTGATTGCGCGTCTCGAAGATGGATCCTGGAGTCCTCCCTCTGGCATCCAGCTGCACTCCGTCGGCGGGGGGTTCCAGATTGGTCTCGATATCTACGACTGCGTCTGCGTCATAAACAGTAAGGAGGCTCTCGCGGCCTTCACCAATACACGCGTTAGTCTGGGCAGCGATCTAGCCGTCGTGGCTGGCCCATATGGTGCTGGTGCCGCCGTTGAGTTTGGTGCATCATTGGAGCCCAAGGGAAAACACGGGCATCAAGAAGGCTCCGAGGTTCAACAGCAGCAGTCACAGCAGAATCTCCAGCCAGCGGAAGACAGCAAGAAGAGTCACAGGCGCAGTCTCAGCGCCAGCGCAACCAAGCCTGTCTTCTCCTATGTGAAGTCGCGAGGCTTCTATGCTGGCATTCGGATCGATGGCACAGTAGTTGCCGAGCGCAAAGAAGCAAACGCTGCCTTTTACGGTCAGGCCGTCACTGTAGACCAAATTCTCAAGGGCCAAGTGCCGCCCCAAGGCCCCCCCGGGATGTGGCCTGCTGGAGCTCAGACACTGTACACCGTTCTCAAGGGGGCCGAGGCCAGTGCGCTGCAAGCATCCTCTGGTAACAGCAGTCCAGGGCATCACCAACAACAAACCGCGCACGGCTACGACCATCCTCAACCGGGCCATGTTGAACAGCAGACGTCCCCTCCCTCGTATGCAGACAGTGGGCCCCGTCCAATTGATGGCGACATCAAGTACGCTTGAAGAGGAATGATCAAATAGAAGAACGAGCATGAGTAACGATGGTATGATGACGAATACGAACCTAAATAGGACAAATTGATTTCCCATGGCCTTTAGCTGAGCTCCTTTATCCAATTCGCCATGTAGTGACTTTATGAAACGTAGACGTCCTGCGTTCTTCTGTGTAACGGTAAGAGGCGGTGCGCCACGGCGTCTCTCGAGGCTTTTCCTGCCGTCCATGGCAGAGCCGTCATTGGCCTGTGACCTTTCATTGTTGACCAGCCGTCCCATCAACTCGCTTGGTTTAGTGGGCAAGACATCAAAACTTTGTTTGCCCGATCTCCCCTGTGATCTCCTGGTTGCCGCGGTGTGGCCTCGTGTGTGTTTGCCAGGCTACTGCAGCTTTTGCCGATGTTGCGTCATTCTCGGCTCCGTCAATCTTTTGACCATTCTGTATCTGACACGGTGTTGCACCTAAACACATTGTGCCGTCTTGTCAAAGCTGTTCTGACTCAATTGTGTCTCAGCTCCCCCGCGAGATGTCCAGGGCCCTCACCTCAGCAGATCAGGGTCCTGCCGCCAAATCGAGCAGAGCTACTAGTATGAGTATCGCAAAGATCGTCAGGACATGCCCATCCTCAGCTGGAGAGCTAGAGATATCGGAGCTGCCATGATATTGGCGGCGCGAAATCAGCGCGAACCGGAGTCTTCGGGCTGGCGTGGCCGAAGCTGGCACAGGTGTTCCACACGGAGACGGCGTCTCTAGTCTGTAAAGGATGTGGTCGTGGATCGCGGATGCGAAATTCAGCTGTTCAGAGGACAAATACCGCAAGCCGTTGCCGATGCCATGGGCGCTTCAAACACCTATAGTCGAACTTTGACCAAAATTCAGCCTCTTCACTGAGGTCTTGGCATAAATACTGTGACCAAAGACAGCAGTAGGGCAAAGACCTGGTATCACAACCAACGAACAGCTTCATACCGTGCGCTTTGGCCTGTTCACATGGCAGACTTGATTGCTTCAACAACGTGCCAGCTGAGCTCATCGCTGAACTACTGCTTTCCCGACATATATGTCGTGTCCAGTGACTCATCGTACGTTGTTAGTGCAACCACCGATGGCAAGTATCGACTGCGAAGCTGAGCATCTCTGCCAAGTGGACGCCATTCGTATCGTATCAATACCTCGCTCTTTCGCTCCTCCATCACGAGTGAAGTAATGCTAACTAGGTATCGGCCGTCAGATCGGTACTACCAATGACCGCCCCATCCTATGTCTCTCAGCCGAGAAGTCCAAAAGTCCAACTCGACCATCTGGGGGGCGGCACAAGCTTCAAATCATGTAGCCGCAGACACAACCAACCCCAATGCTAAATCGCTTCAAAGGCGCCACAGCCGTTTGCCGTCAATTGTTTTGAAAGTTGATCCCTGCACCAGGCGCCTCATTGGCGCAGTCGTCTCTTTCAGCTAGGTGAGACACAAAGACCGGCCCGTGATTGACTTTGAGCCACAAAGCGGCTGTCCCGACTGGATGGGTGCTGGGAGCTGAAGACAAATGCAGAGTACGAGTGCTCACAAAGATTCGATTGTGTAAGTAGTGGGACAGGGGATGCTTGATGGCAAAGGTTGTCAAGAGTTGCGCAGCATGTCCCGTTCCAGCTCCTTCAAGTGGTACTCAATGACACATATGGTTGGTAATGAACATGGCAATGTATATAAAGTACGTCCAGTTAGAAGCCACTCAACGACACCCTTAGGCTCTTTTCCTTGCTCATTTGCTGTCTGTATTTCTGAAGGCCTTTATTCTCCCCGATAACCCAGATTTGACAGAGAGGGTACTCCAAGGCAACAGATACTGCCTCAATATGCCTCGACTCCTATCCTCTCGCGATACAATCCGCAACGAGCTCATCGTCGTCTTCGGCGAGTTCTGCGGCACCTTTATGTTCCTTCTCATGGCTTTCATTGGCACGCAGGCCGCCATAGAGAACAACTCGCCCGGAAACCCGGATGCTCCATTATTCCCCTTTTCACTCATGTACATTGCCGCTTCCTTTGGAACAGCAGTTGCGGTGAACGTTTGGGTATTCTATCGAATTACGGGCGGCATGTTCAACCCTGCTGTAAGTTATCTTCCAAGTCCGTTGGCTCTAGATTACTGATAAAGAGCCAAAGGTCACGCTCGGTCTTGTCCTTGTGGGCGCAGTCTCGCCCCTCCGTGGCCTCCTCATCTTTCCAACCCAACTCGTCGCCGCCATCGCCGCAGCAGCCGTGACCGACGCCCTCCTCCCGGGCCCTCTCCTCGTTGCCAACAAGCTTTCTTCAGGAACAAGCATCTCCCGCGGCCTCTTCATTGAAATGTTCCTCACTGCACAGCTCGTCATCACGGTATACTTCCTCGCCGTGGAGAAGCATCGGGCGACCTACTTGGCCCCTCTGGGCATAGGTCTTGCCGTCTTCATTGCGCACATTTGCGGCACCAACTTTACAGGAACATCTATCAATCCTGCGCGATCGTTTGGACCGGCGGTGGTTACAGATTTTACGGGATATCAATGGATCTACTGGCTGGGGCCGTTCTTAGGCTCATTTCTTGCGTTCGTCGTGTATACGATCCTCAAATGGATGGAGTACCACACTGCCAATCCAGGCCAGGACGATGATACTGCGGTCAAGAAGACGCCTGCTGGCCTTGCCGTAGCGACAAACGACCGCCAGTACCGGAATGGAAGTGAGAGCGGCAAGAATCGTTCGCCTTCCGAGCCGCGGGATAGCGGAATCGCACATACTAGCTCGGCGCCTCAGGGTTTTGCGGCCGTATAGGAGGCTGGAAACATCAAGTGTGGGAAAGAAAAAGTAGGCCGGGCGAAACGCGCCCAAAGACGCCAAGGTGCTTGAATGGAGAATGGATAAGTGTGGGCATACAGAATACAGACTGCAATGTTTGCTTCGCCAAGGAACTCCGGCCACGAAATTACGAAAAGTCTATATGTTCCCTATATGACCCCCTAAATCTTTTATTTATGCATGTATCAGACTGTAATACATAATAGTTTGAGCAAAAAGCTCGTCTGTCTTGTAATCGCAATGCCTCTTATATCCCGATCCATCCATGGCCCATCGTCGTCACTCTTCCTCGGTGAGTTCTTCGGGAAACCACCCATACACCTCCAAGTCAACTGTATACTCTCCCATTGCGGTTCTTGTCACTTCAACGCCTTCCCTTTGCAACTCACGGGCTTGATTCGCAGCACCTGAAGGCTGCGATCTGAACACCGCCGATTGTCAATACGGATCAGCACAAACACGAGAACGAAGTCATGTGGAGTATACAAGAGACATGTTGGATATGACAGACTCACCTTGGTGACACCACTCCCTTGGAGTTGATCACTCTCTGCCACGGCACATTTGTGCTGTTGAACCTCGCAGTCTCGTCTTGTGGCAAATGCTTCATACAGACACCAACTTGTCTCGGTCTCTGAGCTACAGTTGGCAGTCTCTCATTAGCGTCGTGCCCCCCAAAGAAGTCCCACCCGAACCCAAAAGTAATGACCAAGTATGATGAGAGAAAACGGAGTTGTAACTGTGTAGTCATCTAGGGAGGCTTAAGGTACGTACGTGTGCCAACGAGATATGCAATATGTGCATACGTCGTCACCTTTCCGTACGGTATCTGTTGAGCCGCGGAATAAACGGCGTGGAAGAAAGCTTGCGCTTCGTCCGACCGAGCCATGATCTTTAACCTGACACTTTGAGAAACAATGATAATAAACTATCGACGGAAATTATCGCTTTTGTAGTTACATTGAACAGAGAATTTTCGGATGAAGAAGTGGTCGAGTCAAAGGGCGTGAATCGAAGAGTATGGTGAGCTTGGTGGGGTCTGCGAAGAGAGTGGCAGCTATTAGGTAAGATACCGAAAACTGCCATCGAAAGGCGTAAGAAGAGTCAGATCTTCTGTGCAGAACTCTTCCTTCCATCTTATACCGGGGTACAAGTGGTGACTAACATGAGCATGTGAACAAGAGCAAAGGATACTGTTGCTGTTTGTAGCTCTCCAACGGGAGCAACTTCTTCTCAGCCCGGCCCACGAGGAACATCAGAGGTCCAAGCCCCATGAACGTCAGGTCCTCGGTCAGCATGGCTTCACGACACAGTTGAGAAGAGATATCCAGGAAATGCACCTGGTAGATATGCCTCTTATCATAACTGGGTGATTGTTGAGTTATTATCTCTCCTAATCCAGACTACATTACGAACCCCCACCAACTAATGAAACACCATCAGTGCTTCTATATAGGTACTCGACATTATGAGAATCGAGCTAGACATACAAGTAATGGCATATAGAAAGCAAACGGAATACTCTGCCACGTTGGGCGCATCTTACATTCAGCACTTGAGAAACAAGAAATCCAGCTGCAAAGATACAAGATAATAATTTACAGGTTTGCATTTCCATCCCATCAACTCCAAAGTCTCATCAACGTGGCCATAGTCTCCCCGCTCGATACCATGTGTTTCTGCCTCCTCTGCAGGTTTTTGTCGGCTCTTTTCCCCCCGCCCCCAGAAAAGAATTGGTCCACAGCCCGCAGCATCGGAAGAAAAAGTACAAGAAACAAAATCCAGAATGAACGAACCGCCTCCTACTACGGTGTACACAGTAGGTCAAACAAACAGTGAGAGAGAAGATGAGAAATAAGACAAGATCAAAGTTAATCAGACGCGCATCATAACATGCCAACAGCGATTTAGCAAGTGCCAGTAATGCTGTTAGTTTGCTCGCTCCAGATATGAATAATAAAATAAGTGTCGTATCGAGAAGAGGATGAATAAACAAGAGAGTAGATGTGAGAGGGTTAAGAAGTCCTGGCTGCGACGAACGAAGCCAAAAGAAGATAAAAATGCAAATCCACAGCTCCAGGATGTATGGTAATAGATATACTTTCTTCCTCTCCAAGACAAAGAGGCACCAGACAAGAGGGGCATCCATCATGACAGGTTGACATAGCGAGGTCTCATCGTAAAACAAGAGGCATAGAACAAGAAAACAATAGATCCAAAGCGAACTGCAGGAGGAGGCAGTGAGTTTCCTGCGAGGCGCAAAGAGTTGGGGTATCGTCCTGCAGTCCCCACGCCCCCGAGTTTTTGCGTCCGCCGTGGAAGCGTCACGCTTAGAAGCAGTTCAAGCTGCCCTTCTTCTTCTTGTTCTTGCTGATGGCCTGCATCCTCTCTTCCAGCTGCTTGCGAGCAGCCTCTGCCGCCTGCCGCTTCTTTCGCTCCTCTTCCACCGCCTGCATGCTCCATCGGTTGTCCTGCGATTGGTCGACCGGTCGCTCCTTGAGCTCCTTGACCTCGGCTTCGAGCTCCTGGGCGCGCTTCTTCCAAGCATCGCAGTCTGCCTTGACCTTCTTGGACTGCTTCTCCAGATCGCTCAACGCCTCTTCCAGTGTCTGCGTCAGCTGACGCTCAGCGCTGAGGTGCTTCTCGATACTACGGATGCGAGCTTCTTGGTCCTCGGAGATCTGAGCAAGGTTAAAGTTATCCTTGCTGGGGGGCCGCGTTGATGTGGGAGAGCTGGGTCCACCATAGGGCAGAGGGGGGAGAGGAACGGAGGGAGGAGGCGATGGCAGAGAGTTGTGCGAAGAGCTCTTGCGAATGGTCGAGTTGGAGTTGGAGCGCTTGACGTCGCTGTTCGCCATTTCGTTGAACTTGACCTGTTTGGCCGTCATTAGTCGTGTCCAGCAACAGTTTGAGGGAAAGCAATTTACCTGAAGAGCGGCATACTCCTCGCGGACGGCTTCCAGCTCGGATTGGAGCTTGAGTCTTGAGGACAGTGCCTCATCAAGCTGAGCATTACGCTCGGACTGCAGCGAGCTTAAGCGGTTGTTGGTGACCTGAACCTCGTCAAAGTTGTGCTGCAGCTGCTCTTCGAGCTCCTCGATGAGACGGGAGTTCTTCTTGTTGCGGCCATCGAGGTCGTCCACCTTGGCCTTGACAACGGCGAGCTGGTCCGTGAGGGAACCGGACTGGGCGTCTGCGTTGCCAGGGAGCATATTCGCAATCGCTTTCTGGACTCCCTCGAGATCCCGTACTAGCGAGTCGTTGATTTCCGAGAGTTCCGTCACATGAGCCGTGAGCTCGCCCACCTTCCGGTGCTCAGACTCGAATGCCTTCTGGCTGGCGATGAGAGACTCAATGCGCTCGCCCAGCTTTTCCAGGGGAATCTCTGCGCCGAAAGCGGCTGCGATTTGAGTCGCAACCCTCGTCAATTCATCCCTCGATTGAGCAAGCTCTGACTCCAGCCTCAAGATAGCTTCCGAATGCTCGGTCATGAGCACCTCCACCTGCTCCTCGTAGCTAGTCTGTTCATGGTTCTTTAATTCCGCAAGCTCCCGAGCGTGCGCCTGCTTAAGTGCCTCCATCTCCTCTTGGTGCGCCTTTGTGGCATCTTCGTGGCTCGCAATCAGCTCCTCCAGCTTGGCGGAAAGCTCTTGGTGGCGAGCGGTCGTCTCGGCCGTGACAGAGCTATGAATCTTGGACATGTCGTCCATTGCTGCTCGGGCGGAACGGTGGAGAGACTCAAGTTCTGCCACCTTGGCATTGTTGCTGCTAATGACGGCCTTGTATTCGTCGATTTCTGCACGCAGAAAGTCAATGAGCTCCTGCTGCCTGATGATTTCTTTTCTAGCCTCATCGACATCGATCTCGGCAGCAGCTCGAGAATGGGACTCGGCAAGTTGGGCATTGGCAGCCTCGAGCTGAGCTTCCAATTGCTGGATGGTCGCTTGCATCTCCTTCTCAGTGGTTCGCATAGAGACCAGGGCAACGTGGTGCTTGTTCTCCCATCCCGCCAGCTCAGCCTGCAGTGTCGATACTCTCTCGTTGTATGGTACAGCAGCCTCCTCCTCCTCACTTGCCATGAGCTCTCTAGTAGGGGTCGATGCCACAGATTTCCGGAGGACCTCCACCTCGCTTGTCAACTCTCGCTCACGAGCAGCATGCGCCTCCCGAAGGTCGAGCAGCTGCCTCTCACTCTGCTCCAGCTGGCCTCGCAGGGCGGCAACCATTGACATGTCAACAGGAGAAGCCTTCAAGCTAGATCGCTCACGCGCAAGACCCGAGATGATGGCCATCTTGCTTTCCATCTCCTTCTTGGCTGCAGCAATGTCGGATTCCAGCTCTTGAATCCGTTCGCTGCGAGACTGAAGCTCATGCATGGCTGAGTTGAGGTTCAGTTCAAATGTCTGCATCGTCTCAGGCTTGCCTTCGAAGTTCTCAGCGGCAAGGTTTCTCAAGGAGACGAATGACCGCTGCGCACGATCAACACCAAGAAGATTCTGGCTTGACTTTCGGCGGATGACACGGGGGCCGCTGTCGACAGTCCGGGCTTTGGTGACTTCAGTCTTGAGTTCTTCAACCATATCCAGGGCCTCATTGTGCTTCAGCTCAAGCTGGGCATACTTCAGAGCCAATTCCCTCTCGGCTTGTTCTTTCTCTTCAGCCAGGATTCTTAGTCTCTCGAGCTCCACGGCGAGCTGTTCGTTTTGCTCCGTGTGGCCGGCCAGCTGCGGTCGTGATTGTTGTTGCTCGTCAAGCTCAGCTGGCACAACATAGTCGACATGCTCGGCCTCACCAACAGACTCAACATCAACGAATTCGGCAGGCTCCTTCAGCTCCATCTGCGCATGTTGCTCGGGGGGCTGCGGTGTGGCCATCTGTTCAACCTGCTCAACATGCTCAGTCTCAGCCTCCTTCGGCTCATCCTGCTCGTGCTGGTTGTCCTGCAGCTCCATGTGCCCCTTCAATTCCCTAGTGAGATCCTCGACTGATGCTGCAGGCTTAGCTGTGGCAGTGTCGTCTTCCGACTCCAGGTCGAGATGGGTGGTTTCCGCTGTGACGGGCGAGTCCATGACCGAAGAAAGCTCCGAGGATAGAGACTGGGGGACCGAAGATCGGATGTCATCCTTAGCGGAGCCGGTTTGGACAGACTGGAAAGATTCGGGCCTAGTCTCGGTCGCTGCATCAACAGAAATGATGGACTGGCGGACGCGGTCAGGGTAGCGCGCCTCATCGATGGTGTCCTGAAGCTCGGATAGCTTCCGCATCGCCTCTTCATACTTGGCGTGCAGTCTGCCATAGTCGTTGACAGTCGTTTCGTGTTCGGTTCGAAGGGCGAAGAGCTCCCGGGTCACCAGCTCCAGCTTATCCGACACAAACTTGGTCTGCGCAGAGGCCTGGCTTTTCGCTGCTTCGTCGTTGACAGACTCGTCCGCAACCAAATCGGCTCCCGCGTTATTGGCGGCGTCTTCATCTTTCTCCACCACGGGTGCAAGTTTCGACTTCGCATCTTCGTCTCCGTTCTCTTGGGCGTTGCCTCGAGAAGAGCCTTGGCCCTGGCCGTCTTTGGACTCCTCGCTCGCCGCAGTATCCGAGTTGCGTACTTTGGACTCGTCCACATGATCAAGCTCGTGCAGCAAGGCATCCAGCTTGCCCAGGCTTCGTTGCCTCTCTATGACCTGCTCGAGCCGCTCAATTTCTCGCTGCATCAGCTCCGCATCTTGATCGGCCTCGGCGAGTCTCTCTTCCAGAGTTGAAATATAATCCTCGCTTGCGGCCTCGTTCTCGCGTATGCGGGAAATTTCTTTGCGCAGCTCAACAATGATGGCCGAGTTCTTCTCCTCGCCGCTGGTGTGGCCATCCAGCTTAGCCTCCAAGTCGTGGAGGTAGCTTTCCGTGCTAGCCTCGCGGTCGGTTAGCTTCTGGATACGAGACTGCAGCTGGGAGTTGATGGTCTCGATATATGCCAGCTTCGTTTCCTTCTCGAGAAGGTTGGTCTCCGTGTTTGATAAGGTAGTTCGAGTGCTTGACAGGGACTGCTCGAGCGTCTGGATAGTCTTTTCATACTCGAGCACAACCTGTTCGACGGCCTTGGCAAACGAGTTGGAGCGATTGAGCCGATCCGTAGCATTTTCACCCTGCAGCTCGTCCAATTGGCGGTGGTGCTGAGACTCGCTCTCCTGGGCCTTTGCCATTTCCGCAATCAGATGGGCATGGCGCTGGCTTAGGGTGTTGTAGTTTTCCTGGGCATCAAGCAGCTGGTTTTGAAGTTCCACCTCGCGCTCGTTCTGTCTCTCTGATCTCTCTCTGGATCTGTTGGCGCTGCGAGGGCGAAGATCAACTTGTCCGTTGGCACTGCGGATCTGTTCGCGCAAGAAGGCAACCTCGGCCTTGAGTCGTTCGATGATGGCCGACTTATCGCCCTCTTCGACCTGCTGGATGCGGGGTTTGGACTGAATGGCGCGGGCGCGCTGGGCATACTGAACGGTGTTGAGCGTCTCGCTGAGATGAAACTCCGGCGGCGTGACACAGGCAATCATGTAGGTGATGGCATTACCACCCAGCGAATCCTGCAAGAGTCGCGTGAGCTTGGAGTCACGGTAGGAGACGTGCGCGCCAGCGTTTCGCGACGACAGCTGGCTGATGACCTTGCCCAGCGCAGCCAGTCCGGCATTGATGGATATTCCTTCCTTTGCGCGCTCACCCTGTGCACCCGTGTTTTTCAGTCTCTCGCTTCCGGCCAAATCGACAAAGTGTAGCTTGCTGTCGGTCGTCACGGAGATGTCCTGGCCACTCATGGCTTCCAGCGGCATCGAATGGCGCTTGTCGGAATTTGAGTACTTGTTCTTGCGCTGGACCAAGTTTAGGGAGAAGACGGCGTGGGAGCGGGATGATTTGGCGTTGATGGCAGTAGCATCGGTCTGACGAATGGAGGAACCGAACTCGAGGGCGTTGAGCAGGTCGTCGACGCACGTAATGTCGACTTGGTGCAGGCCGGTGAGGATGATGTTGCCCTTGACGTCCTCTCGGATGGCCACCGAAGTTCGATCATGCATCGGAGTTGAGTCGTCGACCAAAAGGTCTCGCAGCGTCTCGTTGTAAATTTCCACATAGGTCGCCGTCATCGCCCAGTTCCGGTCGCCCAGATTGTTCTGGCCAAACGCACGAGGGCTCCTAAAGCTGCTGGCGCTCCTCATCGTGCCGTTACTTCCTCCACCTCTCTGCACGTCCAGCTTCTCAAACAAGGCGGCTGCGGCTCGGGGAATGACACCTACAGAAAGCGTGGTGGGTTAGCCATGCAAAAGCAAGTGCGCGACGTGCGAGACAGATTGAGCCCATTGTTTAGTAGACAAGGCGGATGAAGGCGCGTACCCATATCATCTGGATTCTGCTGTGCGCTAGGACTTGAAGTTCCCATGGTGTATGATTTGCCAGCTCCAGACTGGCCGTAGGCGAGAAGAGAGACATTGTACCCCTGAGTGAAGGCGTTAATGCTGTCGCTCAGGTAGTCCCAAATACCATCTTGCATAACCTCGGGGCCAAAGACGCGATCGAATACGAAGAGCTTGCGGCCCTGGGGAGAGTCGATGGTAAGGCTCGTGTTGGACGTGACGTGCACCATGGGGCGCTGGAAGCGCTGTGGAATCAAGTCATATCCAGGATCTTCCGGATTCAACGCCGGTCGGACTCGGACAGCTAGAGGTAGCGGGAACAACGGCCAAACGTCAGCTCATCGGTATCAAGAGAAGCAAGCGAGGGGTGTCAGGAGCCGCGGCGCCGTGTTGAGACGACTCACAGACGATGGGGACAAGACGAAAGGTGCATACATACCAACACGGACAGCCGTCCGATTGTCCTCGTCAGAGGCTCTGCTCTCGCCGCCCTGCTTGCTGTTCATACTCAACCGACTGGTGCTCCTTGGTTGAGGACGAGTAGCAATCGCGCTCAGGGGACGCTGAAGCTTATGCGCTGGCGATGGTGAGGCCGGCGGAGAAGAAGTGGCCATGGCGGAAGCTGCGAAGCGAGGCGGAGCCCGCTGTCACCGAGGCAGCGAAAGGTCCAATATTCGCAGGTAGGGGCCCGCGTCGACGGTGCGCACAAGCCGGCGCAAACGCGCACAAGCGACTGCAGGTTTATGACCAAGGCGTGGGCAGCAGCACTGGACCGGTGAGGGATAGCGAGCGAATTAGACGGAAGTGGATGAGGCCGGCTGGCGATGTGTCTTGGAAGGAGAGTGTGGAAAAGGAACGACGATGGTGAGAGCCTAGCGATCAACGAGCGGCTGTCTCCAGAAAGAGAGCTCTCGCGCCGATGAAAGTTCGTGGCTAGCAAGCTGGGTCTCTCTTTCGTGCCTTTCTTTGCTTTTTTCCTCTGTGGCTTTCACTGTGCCTCTCTCTCTGTCACTCCCCGTCTCTGCTGGTGCCCCCTTGTCTTGCTCTGTCTGATCCAATCTTGCGCACCTAGGCACTGGCCGGTGGGGACGCAATGCTGGTGCATGAACTCGTAGAGGTAGAGGTACGGGAACAGCGGAGCTACAGGTACAGGAGGGATGTATGTGCGCGCATGCGAGTGCGTAGGTACACGTGTGTGCGTATGTCGGGCAGCGCTACCTCAGCAGGCACACAGATGCATCTCCAGCGCCGCACTGATTCGACGGCCGTCTTCGTTCGTGGGGATATTGCAGTAGCACGACTGGATGGGCGGACATGCGAAGAGGCTGCTCGCGAGGAGGACAAGAGGGTCTCGAGGGGGGGCCTTGTTCGCCTATCAACAGGGCATGTCAGAGCTGGGCATTTGATGGAGACGGCAGGGCCCTTGAAGCGAGTGGATTTGCTGTCCCGTACCTAATTAAACAAGGCGCCAGGCCTTGCCAATGGAGCGGATGGAGAGTCGCGATGGGGTCTTGATCTCGTATGTACCGATACCAATGTCGAGGCAGGCCGGATCGAATCTGCGCGAGTCCCTGCGGAGGAGACGAGGCTGCAGAGTGCAGAATGCAACGCAAAGCAGCGACAGAGCGAGCGAAGAGACAAAGGGCCAAAGACGTGAGGTGGTGTTTTTCCGGCCCGATATAAAAAGGGGGGGAAAGTGCTGGTGTTTGCTACAGCTGGCAGGTACCTGGCTAGTAGCAATCACTGGCAAGTCGTCAAATACTAGTAATTGCTCAGGCAAGTAGTGCTCAGGTTAGCAGAGCAGCACAGGGCAGGGCAAACCACCGTCAGGTCAGACGCGACACATAAGCAAACCTGGAAACCATTGACAGCACTAGCTGGTGGCTAAAACGACAGACGGGCCCCTAAAAAATGCACGTTGCCGGCCACGTTTGGCTGAGGCTGTCTTGTCGAAGACCACCAAAGAAGTTGACTGGAGAAGGGGGGGAGAAACGTACGAGCCTGGTCCAATCCAAGCCCCGAGCTTCAAACGCCCGAAAATGCGTCGCGCAACCCCTAAAAAGCCACCGCACAAGAGGCTCAAGCTTTGCGCCGACAAATTGCAAGACAGGTTGAGTCTCCGAGAAGTTACAGGTACAGGTACTTTCATTTCAGCATCGGCAGTTGACCACGGTCAGGTACAGAAGACTTGCGATTGCTGGCAACGCCCCCCGAACCCCTGAAATTGCATGTCCCTCAACAGACTAGCGCCCCGATGCAAAGTGACCAGTTTGGCGCTTCGCTCCCCTGGCCCTTGGCCTCTTTAGGCAACGGCTGCACCAGCCACCCTGCAAAGCCACCGCATGGAAGCCCTGAGGCTGGAGACCATGGGCGCGATTCGGAGAGAAAACGGCCTCCAGGTTTGATTGATTGTGCTTTTGGTGGCTTTTCGACCTGATGCACCATCGATCCATTCTGCACAAACGCGAGCATCGAGTTCTCGCTTGTTCCTGATCTTGTCCCTCTTGGGCTAGGCTACGTCCTCTCTACCGGGTTTATCAGCGCAGCACCAGAAGCGTACCTACCAAGGTAGGTACTTTGCAGTGTACCTGTACATAAGGTACCTGTGCTCCGCCAAAGACCGAAGCAACAAGTCGAAGCAGACAGCAGTGCTCTATCTTCTGCAACCAAGATCCAATGTCGTACGGCATCAACAGCATCGCCACTCTGTTCCCCTGTCTGTCCTACTCGTGTTGCCATAAACTGACCCGTGGAGTCTGGAAATTACTTGCACGATAACCGAACGCTGAGGACGAGCAGAGAGCGTCCGCTCCTCGTTCTCCACGATATTGCCACATGCGCGCGCGAGATTAACAAAGAAACGTCGATCAGGGCTGACTACAAGTGGAACGCGAAGACATGTGCTAGCGTGTGATTACTGCTACCCGTAGGTAATGGGTATAGACTCATGTTACATGGTTGAAAATTGGTGATGGTACCCGTCTGGCGGCACAGTCCATGTCTAGTAGTCGATTTCCTCTGCAAGATGGCTTCAACTCCGGACTGCTGGCTAAAGGGAGGAGATAAAGTGAAGCTTAGTACTAAGGTATGCCAAGTCCTAAGGAACTCTGTGCTGTGGAGAGTTCAAGGTAGGTATAATCAAGCACCCCATCGGCTTGTGGCTCTTCCTACAGAAGTGGCACTTGCCCGGCAGGCTTGGAGCAGCTCGATATTTTGGTATCTTGCCGATTGCTGCGCATGGTCTCACCCAATTTGTCTGCAGACGGGGTACGAGAACTCCGCTCGAGACCTCACTCATCTAATACCAAGCATTACTTCGTCCGGAGCACGGATTGCTTCGTAACACGCTGGACAAGATGGGGCACCAGACCAGGGATGTCATTTCCGCCGCTGCCGTCATTTTGCCGCCTCCCCTCAGCTCATGCTTCAGATCGCGTTTGCTCCATCTATCTGCGTCCTGCACGCCGCTTCACATGGCCGCCTCTGTTCATGCGATACGGCAACACGTTCCCTCAACTCACTATATCGATGCATAGCAGCACTCGTTTGCCCTCACCGCACTGCTCGACGACGGAAAGGGGAGGAATGACTGCCTATACTCGGTAATAATGGACATGACCGTGTCACAGCGCCAGCATGGCGCCTCACAAGGGGCAGCCGGCTATTGTTTGCAGGCAATTAAACCTACCGCCGACACCAGGACGATCTTCACCCGCTGTAGGCATCGGTGCTTCAGCTGGACCGACACGAGCAGCGTCAGGTGTTACTTCCAGAGATTAGCACCGCGATGCCTGCATGAACTTGTGCTTCCATACCACAGGACCAATATTGCTCGTGTATTGATTAGACGTGCACCCGCGATCTGCTGTTATGACGATCGCCTTTACCTGACAATACTACACCTACAACCAATTATCGAAGGCCTAGCTGTGTATTCATGCTCCAAATCCGTACCTAGCTTCTCCCTGACATGATGAGCGATGAAAGACCCAGATCTCCGTTTAGGTAGGTAGGTAGGTACCTATCTGTAATGTAATCATGATGTGCTACCCTACACCACGACTGGACTTATCATGGGTCTGTAATGAACTGCTCCGTAGTATGGCAAACGCCATAACGACTTCACAGAACTTGGGAAACATGGGTATGAGACTGCCTCTGCGAGCCTTCCGCTGACAGCAAGGGATGAGCTATCGGAGCTGGTTAAGTCCCGGTTAGATTGGGTAAGAACATTCACAGCCAGGACTGCGGCATTGGGCTCGCAAGACGCAGCCCGCAGCGGCAGACAGAACACAACGCGTCCCGGCTGTCCAATATGCCTCGAACTACCTAGGTAGTGAGACGTAACTACTCCATTTGAACAGTCGCCATTTCCCATCGCGCATAGTATTATTGAGGTGGGAAGACAAGAGGGTCCTGACGGCAGCGAGGAGGCCACACAAGCGGGGACCAAAAAAACGCGGACCGCAAAATAAATACATACACACACCACTAAAATAAGTGCATTCTTTCTATCTAGTATCCAGTTATCTTTCCCTCTAATTCTAATATAGCCTTAAACCAGTCTAGCATTAAATCTATCCACTTATTAATAGTCTCTTAGTTAAGGTTATCTTAAGCTTCTTTTATATTAACTACTAACTCTTGCCGGTTATTATAAGGAAGGGCAGTTATAACTTAGGCTAAGATCCTTTATATATTTTTAATTAGTAATAAATTAAGGCTGCTAGTAGTATTATAAAAGTAGCAGATTCTTTCCTTCTTCTTATACTTATTAATAATCTTTAACTAGTGCCTAGAATTATAATCTTTTTTTAAAATAAATTCCTGCCTTTACTTTAGCTAAGGCTTAACTACCTTATTAAAGATATAGTTATAATAGTAGGCTTTAGTTATTTTACTATTATTATTAAAAAAGATCTTATACTTATAAAGGTTATTTTTAAAGTTATACTTAATAATAGCTTAAAAGTAAGTATTAAAGCATTCTTATATAAATAGCCTTAAAGCTAGCTGCTTATAAAAATAGTTAAGGCAGTACTATTCTTTAAGCTTTTAAAAGATATAAATAAGGCCCTTATTACTATAAGATATATACTACTTATTTAAATAGTAAATATTATAATAATTTTTTTTTACTAGCCTTTTTTTTAAAAACTTATAAGTAAACTTAACTTATTACTTAGTATATTAATAAAAGATATAGGACTTACTATAAGTAATATACTTTTACTATTACTTAATATTAAAGGCTTACTAAACTATATACTAGTATACTTTTTTATTAATGCTAGTAGTAGGAAGGATTTAGTTATAAGTTAAGCAGTAAGCCTTAAAGCCTTTAAATTAAAGTAGCCTTTTTACCTTATCTAGGTCTTTATTTATAAAGATCTTCTTTTAGCTATAGGTCTTTTTATAAGTGTTATAAAAGGTTTAATTAAATAACTTAATAATTTTATAGCTATAAGTTTAATTAACCTTATAAGTTTAGAAAATATTAATATAGCTAAAGTTATAGCTATAGTATTATTACTGCATTTAGGTAAATATAACAGCGCCTTTAACTTAGGCCTTTTTTAAAGTATTATAATAGTAGTAATAAATCTTAGTTTAATAGGCTATAGTGTATTTTACTTAGGAAAAGAATATTAGCTTAATCTAAGGCTACTATAAGATAATAGCATTTAAAATACTTTTAAAAAAGACGGTAATGTTAGTGTGTTATGTGCAGATTCCTTGTTTTTATATGCTGATTGTTTGTGTTATCTGCGTTTTTTTGGTCCCCGCTTGCCACAGTATATCATTATGTAATGATACTCTAATGGAAGCAAAGTCCACGTGATTTGGCGATTCGCGCGAGACCAGGATCGCGTCCTACTCTAAGCTCGCGATGAGACTTGGAGGGCGACTGCTTGATTGCTGCACAAACCCTTGCTGACGTTACAGTACATGTGAGATGGCACGGCATCACGGCCTTGCTGGCTTGAGCCTTGGATAGCCGCTCATTGACGTCTTTTTTCTCTCTCTTGCGCCTCTTCAGCTGCCATGGCTCCCCAGGTGATTGATCTCATCTCGTCCAGTCCGTCCTTGCCTGCCAGAGAAGCATCGCCATTGGCATCATCGCCCATTGCCATCGACAGTCCACCGCAGAACAAGCATGGAAGGTCTCGGTCACGCTCACCGAACCTGTTTGTAACCTCCGACTTGGACATTACCGACGACGAATTTGGCCGCCGCGATGCCAGAACCGCCAAGAGGCTGCGGATATCTGAAACCGAATCACTGCCTGCCAGTGTTTCTCGGGCACCACAACCTCCCTTTCTCAGCGCCACATCGAACAGGCCAAGCCGAGTAGAATTCGATCCAATCGAGTTTACGAGCTCCCTCGAACTGGACACCCCCAAAATCCAACACCACGCTGGCGCAGCCTCTAATGCCTTGCGTCTTGATCAGACACATCAGGCACCTCCAAACACAGGCTTGAGCTCCGATCCTTTTGCAAGCTCTCCTCCTCCTCCTCCTCCTCCTCTTGCTGCTGCTGAGCCGAAGTCAAGGCCGAGCCAACGTTCGACTACAGACGTCACCGACCCTTTCGCAAGCTCGCCACTTCCTCCTCATAACCCCCTAGCCGCCACTCCGCCAGTCGTACGGGTAGCACGTGCAGCAAGAGAGCGGCCGGAGTCAGCGCATCCGTTACCAAGTGATGTTGGGTCGCCTGACCCTTTTGCCAGCTCCCCAGATGCCAACGTCCCTCAACCTGCCAAAGTTTCCACCTCTCGCAGAGCAGTGTCTGTAGAGGTGGCTGACCAACCCTGGGGGCGGAGGCACTGGGATCCGATATCAAGTTCAGCCCCAGAGCAGACCCCACGAATCTCTCCTGCGAAGAGATCTCTTGCCGAACCGCGGGATGCCGGGCCGGTCGTTATCAGCATCGACTCGGACTCTGCAGGCACATCGGACGACGAGTTCCCTGACATTGCCAACCTCGGCGCGTCCAGTTTCAGACCGCGTCCCCGCTCCCCCATTCGACGCTCTCGGAGCGATGTCATATCCTCAAGAAGTAGCAGGCCTAGGGCGGCTACGAGTGCGGCTACAGCAAAAACCGCAGAACAACGAGCTCGTGATAAGGAGGCCCAGACAGCAGCCAAAGCCGCAGAAAAGGAACGAAAGCGGCTGGAGAAGGAACAGCTGAAAGAGGCCAAAGCCCTGGAAAAAGAGCGCGCTACTGCATTGGCAGAGGTGAACAAGGTCCGGACAGATAAGAAAGTGTCGACTCCGGAAATGATTCTCAACATGCCGTCAGGCATAGCGGAAGGGCTCAAAGTACAGCTAGAGACTCTGCTGGACGGGCTAACCGTAGAACACACTACCTGGAACAGCCCTGTTGCCAACGCTTTCAAGTGGCAGAGGAAGGTTCGGAGTCGGTTTGACGAAGAGATGGGCCACTGGGAGCCTGTCCCGCTGCGCGTCATGCCGGAGAAGCACGTTCTGATATTGATGACGGCAGATGAGTTTGTGGGCATGGCTGTCGATGACACGGTAGACTCCACTGTGTCCCAAGCAAAGAGACACTTCCCTGGCCACGAACTCATCTACCTTCTCGAGGGTATGAACCTCTGGGTGAGAAAGAACCGCAATATCCGGAACCGCAGATTCACATCCGGCGTGCGCGCGCAAGATCAACCGCCTCCCGAAGCAATGGCGGCATCATCATCATCGACGACAACGACGACGGCGACCACGGCACCAGCTGTACCTCGCAGGCGCCGTAGGAACGCCGCTGCCGAGGAGTACATTGCCGAAGACATTGTCGAAGACGCAATGCTGCACCTGCAAATCGAGCACGACGTTCTCATCCACCACACGGCCGTGCCGCTAGAATCAGCCCAATGGATCGTTGCCTTTACGCAACATATATCGACTATTCCATACAAGAAGATGCGCGACAAGATGACTTCTGCGGCGGGTTTCTGCATGGAGAGCGGGCAGGTCCGCACGGGCGACGACGCCCGCGACACGTACGTCCGGATGCTGCAGGAGATTGCGCGCGTTACGGCTCCGATTGCGTACGGGATCGTGTCGGAGTTTGACTCGGTGAGCAAGCTTGTTACGGGCCTTGAGCAAGGAGGGCCGTTGGCGTTGGAGAGCGTGCGCAAGAGCCTGAATAAAGATGGCGTGGCGTCGGAGAGGACGGTTGGACAGGCTGTGAGTAGGCGGATTCACAAAGTTTTCACGGGGAGGGACGAGACGAGTACGGATGTGTGAAGAAGTTTTTCACTGTTATTTTGGCGATTTGTCTTGACAGTTCTGGCATGAACTTCGAACGCATGTATAGGATAAATGTAGGGATAGGATAGATGTCACCTCAGAGGTTCGAGATTCGAGATGAAATACATAAGGTATACATATCAGCCATTTTCATTACAATGAGAGTACACATCATGCAAAAGAATTCAGAAGAGGTATCATAGATTCGTATTCCATTATATTATTATTCTGTCTGTATCCGTGTATCGATCATCAAGTCGTATATCGTGTCTAAAGGTGTCCGAGTCAGTAAAGGACACAGCACTCAACATGCGCAAACGTAAAAAAAGAGTGATAAAGGTGAATTGTCAGACAGCGGTTGGACAAAATATTTTCCACATTGTGTTTTTCAGAACAGGTCTGTGAGTTATTTGTTGTATCATCACATAAAGGCAGGTTAAGCAACGCAAAGAGTGAAAAAAAAAAACGTACCTTTTTAAGAAAATGGCTGGGTAGCGCCGCCTACTGCTACCCAGCACTCATGTCATGACTCTTGCGTTTCTTCGTTGGACCCGGCAGGAAAAACGACGTCAAGGTTCGCTGCTTCTCATCAAAGGCGGCGCTGCCAATGCCGCCACGAGTCTTTTTCAAGTCCCGAAGATGTATGGTGCAGTTGACGAGGCTGACGTGCAGTCTCAGTGGCAGCGACTTGTCCTCGCTTGCCATGGAGTCGGCCATGGAGACGGTGCATTTGAGGTAGCCGGAGTTGTCCCAAAAGGGGGGTGAGATGAGGGAGCTGGCGGCACTGGGATTGGGGTCGACAGTGATGCCGCCACGGCTGACTCGGGCGCAGAGCTCGCGGTACAGGACGCCGAGAATGATGCCGTGGGACACAACGGCACATCTTGACTTGTGTGAAACCTCGCCCCTCTGTGAGCTAAGGAGCGGAAGCAGGTAACCGTCCAAGAAGGCGTCGACTCTCGCTTTCATCGACTCGGGAGTCTCAGAATCGGGTGCACGACCTCGCGAGTCTCCGAACTTGACGCCCTCATCGCTTCCAAAGTCCTTTTCCCGGAGCTCGGCGAGCTCAACGACCGGAATGTCCCGCGAGTGAACGCGTTTCTGTTCCGCCGCAATCGCCTCAGCTGTCTTGACCGCGCGCTTGAGATCGGACGAGAAGATGTATTCCAGCGCCGCCTCCGCGTCCTCGGCCAGATGAGTGGCCAGCCTTCGAATCTGCAGCACGCCATGGGAGGTCAGCGCCGAGTCCCGCGACCCGGCATAGATGCCAGCCACGTTGTCGACCGTCTCGCCATGGCGAATCAGGAAGAGGTGCATCGTTGAACGGACACAAGGAACGAGCAGCGGTGGAGCAAGGAGCTCCGCGTCATGGAGGCGAGGACGGTGCTGCGGGTGCCATGTGGGAGGCCCGAGAGGGTTTTGTTTGGAGGGGGGGGGAGAGCGCGGAGGAGGATGGAATGGAAGAAAGAAGAGAGGAGAAGGTTCAGGTCGAGGAGGGAAAAGTTTTTTCTTTATCCGTAGAATTCGAGGGCTCCGATTAGGGCATATGTTGGTGGGGTAGTAGATGGATAGCTGCATATGTGTTTCACATTGACGCTATATATGCAGTTACAGAATACCACGTTTACCCCACTATTGCAGCAATCGAGCTCTTGTTTGGTTCGGGGACGAGAGCCGAAATGCACGTGAAAGAGGTGCATTCAGAAGAAAGCAGGAGGGGAAGAACAATGATTGATCAGAGGATCCTGAACGATTCGACTATGCTAAAGCTTTGGAGTAGTAGATGATCTGCACTGAGTCAATGAATGGCTGCAGGGGCCAATTCATCTTCTGCCGATGCACACGTCTCTAAAAGCTAAAGAAGAGGGTTCTGCGTATGCCACTCACTACCCTGAACGGGCTACATGGTATGTAAAAATTCTCGAAGACCTTAAGGTACCTTGGGATGGCAAGACAACCACTTGACACTCAGATTCTCTGTAAACTCCCTATTATCTGACATAGCCTGACTTTATCGTCATCAATCCGCCTGATGGTTACCGGGTCTCCCTAGCTTTGCCATCACAATCTTAAACGGGTTCCTTGCTGAAAACTTTAGCCAGGTCGACAAATACACAACGCCGTAGTTGAACAGGATGAAGCCGCAGAAAATGCCAAAGTCTCTCCAGATATGGCTGTACTCGACACTGAAGCCCATTCCAAACTGGTCACCTGTTGCGTATTGGCAAAATTCACACAAGCCATCCGAAGCCGTCTGCACGAACCCGCCCGCCTGGTTGATGTACGAAGCGGTATAGCTTTCACATGTCTGGCCAGGCGGGGCACTGAAGCGAGCGAATTCACTGCTCTTGCAGCGCACCGGATGGTCGTGAATGGCGGCACCGAGAAACGCCTCGAGCAGATAGTGAAAGGGCGACAGCCAGTACATCCAGCTTTTCCAGAAGGTCGGCAGCTGATTGGGTGGCACGACAACTCCGCAGAAACTGACGACGAACAGGAAGAACACGGGCACCAAAAGACTTGCCAGCAGCTCGTTTGGAGCAAAAGAGGCAATTGCCTGGCCGAAGCTGATGTAGTAGAGCTCAAAGACCAGGACCAGTATGAAGGAGAAACCAGATGTGAAACTGGAAACTCGCGTCCCAAAGATTCCCCACCACCAGCAGTTGAAGTAGATTGCTCCGGCAACGATGCCATAGGGGATTTCAACGAGTACGGCAGACGTGACCCAGGCCAGCCATGAGTAGATCTTGGCGCTGTTCTCGCGGGACTGGAAGAGATTGCGCGAGTTGATGAAGACAGGCTGCAGCTGCTGGATCAGGGGCGGCGAGATGGTGAGCGTCATGAATATTGAGAACAGCCGGCTCTGATACGCAATGGTTGAGTAGCCAAGGCGCCAGAAGGTGAAGCAGTTGAACAGACCCGTCAAAATATGCAACATGAACTTGCCCACGATGTAGTTGGGTGACCTCCAGTACGAGACAAAAGCGCGCTTGACGACCAACCTGGTCTGAACAGACAGCGGAGCGGCGTATTCGCGGTCGTCCTTGAGGTTCTTGGATGGCTCGACCTTCTGTCGGGATGAGATCATATCCTGAATCTCCTGGGAGCGCTGCTCGTGCTCCGGTGATGACGCCCACACATCGGCCCAGTCTTGGCCGTGGTAGTTGGGGTCACCTGCGCCGATAGCTTCCAGCATGTACTCGGCGGGATTGGCATTGGGAGGGCATTTGTGCGCGCCGTTCGATTCGAAGTAGTGAATCAGGGGCTGGCTGTCCTTGCCCAGGGGCCCGTGATAGACGACTCTTCCGCCAGACTTCAGCAGAAGCAACTCGTCGAAATGCTCAAACAACACCGCTGAGGGCTGGTGGATGGTGCAGAGGACTGCCTGGCCCGCATCAGCCAGCTTTCGCAGGAAACGGACAATGTTGAACGCGGCGCCAGAGTCAAGACCAGAAGTCGGCTCGTCGAGAAACATGAGTAGCTCCGGCTTAGATGCCAGCTCGACGCCAATCGTCAGTCGCTTTCGCTGCTCCTGGTCGAGCCCTTGGCCAACCTTGCCGATAGTGGCGCCTGCGATATCCCTCATCTCAAGGAGGTCAATGATGGTTTCGCAATACGCGAGCTTCTCCTCTTTGGGAACCTCGTGCGGCTGTCTCAGAAGGGCAGAAAATTGCAGAGCTTCGCGCACGGTCGAAGTCGGCTCGTGAACGTCCATTTGCTCCGCGAATCCTGTGGCTCGCTGGAACGACTTGGGAAGAGGGCGGCCGTCAACAAGGAATTCGCCACTGATTGTTCCGAAGCGAATGCGCTGAGCCAAAGCGTTGAGCAGCGTCGTCTTTCCGGCGCCTGTTGAGAAAGTCAGCTTTGCCACATTTGAAAATAACAGACTTTCGCTGGATTTGTTTCAGAAAGTCATACCCGATGCACCCATGAGAGCTGTGAGTTTCCCAGGCCGGACATATCCCTGGACATCTTGAAGCAGCATCCTCTCGCCCTTTTCGTACGGGATGGTGTAGTTGATATTGCGAAAAGTGAAAACGGTTTCGTTCTTGGCGATCCCAGGACCGCTGCTTGAGTCGCTCAGATCCTGTGCCTTTTCTTGAACCATGGCTGGAGTGACGTGAGATACAGCTCCAGACTCCTCATCCTTCTTCTTCTCCCCAGCCCTGCCACCGGTCTCGATAGTTGACTCGACAGCTTTTGGGACTTGGCCTCTCTTGAACATGGTAATGGCTCCTCCACCAGCATTTGGCTTCATTATTTCCATTCCGACTGCCGTCAAGAAGACGAAGAAGATGAAAAAGGCCCAGAGGAACCCAAAATTGCGCCACAAATGCGATCGAGTGTATTGAAAGGCCGCTTGGATGTATGCTGCGCCATCCACACTTGTCTCTCCCGGTTGGCTTCCTGCGAGAGTGCAGGACTGGAACTGTGGCGATGTCCCCGGTCCTTGAGGCACCAGATACGGACTCACACAGTCAAGTTGTAGACCTGTGAACTCGTTCGACATGAGACACTCGAACCCGTAAAAGATCCAATTGATCCATCGCAGCCAAGAGAACCAGGGGTGCATTTCGGATGGAGGAATCAAATATCCCGTGTACACAATGAGGATCTGTACTGCAACGCCAGTCAACCGCGTCGCCTCGTCCAGAGTCGGGCACCAGGCCGCTATGCAACGGAAGAAGGCATATGTGACCATGGTAACAAGCCACAGGATGAGAGTGGCAATGAAGTACTGCGATGCCGTGCGCGAGAGATGCGCCATAAAGTAGATGATGGTGTTGAAGAGGACGACTTGTATGAAGACAAGCGGCACGTCGACCACGGTCTGCGCAACTGCGTATGCCGCTGGTCGATAGAAGGAAAACGATTTGTGTTTCAGCATGATGGGCTTGGAGGTAAAGGCCGCCGTCATCTCAGCCAATGCAAGCAACGCATTGAACAGCAGCAAGAAGAAAAGCGTTCCTCCTCTCGGAAACGCCCCAGCCGTGGTTGCGGGGAGGTTATAGAACAAGCTGCCCACGATGAGGCCCTGGAATAGGAGACCACCCCATTTGCCAAAGAGAGACGCCGAGTCTCCTAGCATGATGAGAAACTGGCGCTTGGTGCAAGCGATGACTTGTTGATGGAAGGCGAGGGTGTAGTTGTGTTCTGCCATCTTCTTCGGCCGTGCCGCCTCCCGCTCTTCGGCTTGGGCGCGGAGCTCCTTTTCAAGAGCCTCCATGTCAGCCACATTCTCGCTGTAAATGTCGCTCTTACGATACGCGTTAAAGAACTCATCCGGTGATCGCGGGATGCGCTGCTCCCAGCCAGGGCGGATGCTCCGTTCGTGCTGATCGCTGACAGATGTCAGGAAGTCGGCCGTCGTCCATCGCTCGGGACAGTCGAAGCCCAGATCCAGGAAATACTGCTTTGCCTTTTCGGCAGGGCCAAAGTAGAGACACTTTCCGCCGTCAATGAGCAGCACCTTGTCCACGAGCTCGTACAGCGACTCTCCAGCTTGGTACAATGACACTGCGGTGGAGATTCGTCCCATGTTGGTCATTGCACGTATAGCTCTCACATACTCCAGCGCGGTGCTTGCGTCCAGGCCTTTACTTGAGTTGTCCCAGCCTTGCACAGAGGCGCGGGTGATCATGGCCTCTGCAATACTGACACGCTTTCGCTCACCACCAGAGACGCCGCGGATGAACTCGTTGCCAACCTTGGTCCCAAGGGTGTGTTCGATCCAGAAGAGCTTCGTAACGACACGAAGAAACTCCTTGATGTACGATGAACGGCTTTCGCCCTCGAGCCGACCCTCTTTCCCCGGCGTGCGAGTCCGGAGCGCAAAGGTCAGAGTTCTCTTCACCGTTAGGGTGGCATAGTGTAAGTCGTCCTCGGGGTTATAGATGACTTCACCGCGGAAGTGCTTGGCTATCTGTTTCGCGTCTGCTCCACCATACGTGACGTCGCCCTCAACGGCCTCAAAGCCATACCGCTGGTTGCAGAAAGCCTTGAGAAACGTCGAGCATCCAGCTCCTGGACGACCTAGGACAAGAAGAAGTTCACCAGGTCGGACACAGCCGTCGAAATGGCTGATCAGCTCCCTCACCGGCGGCTTGGCCTGAGCAGCTTTTGGACCGGCTCTAACAAGGTTCCTGATCTTTCGGGGAAGCCCCAGGAAGATGTCTCCGACTGTTGGTTGAAGACTGGCGCCCAGCCCGACGCCTTTGACAGTGAGGTCGCGGAAGATGACACCGCTATGTCGCAGTTGTTCTTCTGGATTGTGTTCTTGCCTGGCATGCCCAAACATGCGCGACATGAGCCGTTCTATCTCTGCTGATTCCTCAGGGCCCTCGGTGCCGGACGCGAGACTCCCAGTTGTCCGGCGTCGTGAAATTGCTCGAAAGAGGTCATCTTCATTTTGAATACTCGTACCACTTGCTGTTCTCGATGGGCCGGGCCGACGACCTGGAGTTGATGAGTCGTCGCTACTAGACGAGATTCGGCTGCCGCTGAGCGACGATTCCTCTCGATCTTTTGGGCGGCTTTCATCGTGGAGGGTGGTGTTTTCTCCACCAGACGAAGCTTGCGGCGACAGCGCGCCGGTTTCCTTGGAGTCCATTAAACCTGAGTCTCTACTCAGAGTGTTCTGATCGAGGGAACTGAGGGCAACTGATTCGGCGGTTCCCTGAGACGATTTCTCAGATGCGACAATGTTCGAGGTCTCAACGGACGACTCTGGAATTTGCTCTCAGACCACCACCATCTATCGTTCGATAACTCGCTCCACATTCCTGGTCAACGGTTGGCTTTAGACATTTTAATCTCGTCTGTTTCGGACATCCAGAGAGTCCGGGAGAGGCTGAAGGAGTCCGATCCGACCGAATTATGGCGAGTCGATGACGATAGAGTTTCCGCCCGTACACCCTTTCAACGGAGACACTGTGCCGCATACTCCCGAGGCACGCAGAAAAAGCGGCCAGAAGTGAAGACGCCACAGTAGATCTTGGGGAAAGCTAGCTAGGACACACAGTACGAACGTCATGTTAGTCGTTGGGATCGAGCGGTCATCGCTGTTTTGCAGCTGCTTAAAGGCAAAGAAGCGATCGACCGAGGCTGTCTGGATCGGTAGACACTAGGCAAGCTTCGAATCCTTCGTCATTGTTAGCTGAATTGGAGTCATTCATAGATCGACTGCATTACCAAGAGCTTACGTTTCCTGTTGCAGTGAAAGAGATAGAGAGCCAGGAATAGAGACGATCGCATCTATGCAATCTACGATGAATCTTGACAAGCCTTGTCAAAGCATGTGGCGGTGGCAGGGTCGGACATAGGGCTGTGTCAACTACCGAGACCAAGCCAATCGCAAAGTCCGGCTTACGAGGGAATGGCTCATGGCTATCATGTTCGACGTGTTACGATCACATTAATTCATCCGCTTCTTTCAAGGAGTCGGGGGAAGATGCAACGGCTTGTGTAAATATACGCGGAAACTCCGCATGTCTTGAATCGGTTGCGTTTGAAGAGGCGCCAAAGCTGACTCGGAAGGTTTGTACGACAGTGCGTGGACATATGGCTTGTGAGGACCGGATGCACGACACCAATGTCAGAGTTGGGATCGGTTGAAGGGCGGGAATGAGAAAAAGGCCTGGGCTTGACATCGTCACCGTACTATGAGATGTCCATAATAACCAAATGTTGGTATTCGGGAGAAAAAAATTGCTCTCATGTCTTTCACCACGGGGCAGGCCACTATTCAGCTGCAGCAAAGGTAAACTGTACGAAGAGAATCTCTCGTGTGGTATCATGTTGTCTAAACATTCGCTTGCTGATATCTTGCTTTGTACTATACATTAGTAACAGGCTGCACCCTGATGCCTGGTGTTTATTTTCCTCGGACAAATCCGAGGAAGAAGTAGTCCCTCTCCGTCAACAGAATTGGCCCAACCGCCTTCAAACATAATCATGCCCGGGCTGAGACTGAGGTGCCGGGTGATACCCGTAGGGCATTCCGGCTGCTCCAGAATACGAAGTCGAACCGTCGATGTTGCTCACCATCGGTTGCGCATGCTCGGAATCGTTGTTCGACTCGGACTGATTGGTTCCACGGCGCAAGGGCCTTGGGCTGCCGTCTTTGAAGAACAATGGAGTATCGCGACGAATATGGGTGAGGAGAAGCACAATCCCCCACGCGATGCAGAGCGTAGGAAGAAGCCATGGAGTGCTCAGATATCTATCCAACTGGTCCGAGTTGAGGTTGAGGAGGGCCGTGAGAGCCATTCCGAGCGCCAAAAGGAAGTAGATGATGGTACGGATGACATGCCACGGCTTCCAGGGAGTCACGCGGGCAACGACGGATAGCAGCACCATCAGCGCCAGACAAACACCAGCCGCCACATAGCCATACGTGAACTGAACATTACCAAGTGGTTAGCCTAAGGGGACGGCAGAGGTAAACTGCTGGGTATACCAAGGAAAAAAAAAACATACCACCAGGTTGTATCGGTCCCAGGTAGCTTGGTCAATCTGAGCTGAGAAATCAGCAGCCGACTGGTTGACCTCTTCGCCCTTTTCCCGCTGTTCTTTGACCGCTTCGGCCTCGAGATCGATTTCAAAGTTTGTAAAGACGCTATTCTCCATCGCCGTAACCAGGGCCTCAATGATCTTCGAGAAGAGGTCCGTGGTTTTGTCTGTCGGCAGCTCGTAGTTCTCGTCCGTCAAGGCGTCGGCCCATTTAGGCCAGAAGGAATTCGGAATGTCCGTGATATTGTCCAGAGCCTCCTGGAAGACGTATTGCGTATCGGAATACTTTGGAGGATATAGCTTGAAGAAACTGGCAATCTCGTCTGTCATGTTTTGCTGTACCAGCTGGCTGGTAGCACGAGGCAGCCTTGCCGGATCAAACACTATCCAGTTGGCTGCCAGGTGGTTAAACACATCGACCACCTTGGACCATTGGATGAATTGCGTGAATCCCTGCAAAAAGAGGACGAGGGCTAGGTGGAACGGGAAATGGAGCATGGTCCAGATCATCTGACGCACGGGTGGGAGATGCGACGCCTTCATCCAGTCGAAGTAGATCAAGAAGATCATGTAAGTCGTCGCAACGCCGGCAGTCAGAATGCCGATGGTGATGGCATCTAATCATCAGACCTCTGGGTTAGAACTCACTCGACACGACGACGACAACGAACCAAGCGAGATAAGAGCGACTTACCCCAAGAGTCAGGGGCATCGACGATGATCACCACCTTATCGGCTATGACAACAATGCTGTCGCCGAGGATGATGACACTCAGAAGAAACATGCGATTCATCAGGTGTGTCTTGGAAAGGCTCAGGACGGAATAGTGTATCGACAGGCCAAAGGTCAGGAGGGCCTCCAAGGCCCCAACGATATACCAAGTAACGAACACACTACTGTGGTGGGTGTTGGTGAAGCGGAAAGTGACGCCGAGATAGATCATGGCAGCGACGAAGTGGATGGACATTTGCAGGTAGAATGCCAAGTGGACTTTCTTGAACTTCCTAACGTGCCAAAGGATACTGCCGTATTCGATGGTCAATCCTAGACGTGATGCCATCAGGATCAGAGCTAAGAAGCAGTGTGAGCATATTATTTCTGTCAGAGTAGGAGAGTTTGCTTTGCGTACACATTGCTCTCATCGTTGCTGCTTGCTGGTTACTCGGGTCGAACTTGGGAGCGACGACGGCGAAACCAACAAAGGCTCCAAGGTGGATAGCTCGAACAACTCGCTCTACGCCCTCCTGTTAGAACGGATCGCGGTTTCGTATAGTCAGAGGGGGAAGGAGCAAAAGAAGGCGAACCGAAAATGCTGTCCGTTACGAATCGAACATCATAGAGGCCGACAACAAGCCAAGTCATCCATAGCATACTGTATAACCCGGGTTAGAAGATCGATGAACATGCCGACCGAATCTCAATGCTCTCCAGAACTAACCAGAAGTATCCGATGTAAGATGCAACTCGCTCATGACTTGTTACTGACTGAGTCTTGGAGAAAACGGCGTAGTTGGCGGCAAAGAACAGGTCGGTGAACACTTCCAGCGTGCCGGCTTCTTCGTGCTACATGATGGAAAACTTCCATTAGACAAGCATGTCCGATCCGGAAAGAAATTGATGAAGGAATCATAACTCACCCTCGCGAACTCAATGGACTTGTCTGTGTAACGGTCTCCAAACTCGCTCAGATTGGGCATTTCCGCGCCTCTCTCAGAGCCCAGGACAACCGGACTCTTCATAAGCCGAAGCTTCTCACGAGAGGTGAGCTCGTGACTGTCTTTTCCCGTCATCTTGGCCAGCAATTGCGGTATTGACAAACACCAAACCGTCCTTCGCAGGAGAAAGGAAAGTGGAAAAAACAAACAGATGAGTTTGGAATGCCAAGAGCAAGCTTTGGTAATGGACGTGCCGGCTTATTGTTATTAATACCTTGCTACGACTGCCGGGATCGCACTCCCTCCTAACCACTCACTGGACCAGTTATCGCTCGCCATTGGTGACATGATCAGCCTTACCATGGACTTCGATTGGACTAGTACTGAGCGAAGCATAGCTATCCCAGTTTGGACATAACCTTGACCTCTAATCAAGGATCATCTGTTGCAAATGGCGGCCCCAAACTGCCGAAGGCCCTGCGAGAGCCTCATCTGTGAGACTACGGAGTTCTCCACACACTGACACTACGAAACTTCTTCAACAGTGCTCCCTGCCACAGGCTGGGTAATATGGGCCGTTCCCTTCCGGCAGCAGCTCGCCTGATGGAACCTTGCATGCAGTCAGCGCGTAGCCCGGGATAAAAATAGGCCCTGCAGCGATAGGTGTGACGCTAAAACCCAGGCCCTCCTGTGAACAGCTCACCATTTAAGTTCTATGAGACGCCCCATTGGTGCTGTTGAAAACACCACAGTTGGGCGAGAAGCAGGTCCAAGAGATCGGGGCTGTGTCCATGCGGCGATCCAATATAGGTAGATCAGAGGTGCTAGGCCAAAGCAGATAGCGAGAAACAAGTGGAAGGGACGGTCGTCTTGACAGTCCAATGCAGCGTCAAAGGTGGAAGCTATAGATCTGCTCATCCAGGGCCGGGATATACTCTGTTCTGGTTTGACTGTACCAGATATGCAAACCTGGAGGTCAGGTCTTGTTATTGAAAGCATTGATAACTACTGTAAGTATCTTGGCAATTTGGGTTCTATCGTTATTTGTTTCTTGATTGACTGAATATGCGGCTGCTTCAACCTCGTTGACGATGCAAAAATGCAAAAAGGTAGCATACCCCTGGTCAATTTTGGTGCAAGAGCACTAAAGTTGGGCAGGAAATTAGCCTCCGCCGTGTCAACTTTTGGGGGCCTCGCGAGTTATCACTAGTGCTGACTGGTGCTTGCACGAACCTGTGGCTGAGCCGCTTCTTCCCATGTTCGTGCTCGGGGGCGTCAACTCCAACTCTGTCCCCGTGTTCTTCGATGAAGGCCATTTGTTTGAACTCCTTGATGATGAGAAGAATTTCTTGGAAGGCATCAAATGGTCGTCTAGAGCTTGTATCGTAGCTTCTTGGTCATACAAGTCATAAGCAGGATGGTGTTTGCATTGCTCTTCGTTCTTGATGTTGTACACATGAGAAGATCGGATTGTCGTTGCATTGGGGCTGGAACCCAGAAGCTTGAGTAGGGGTTCAGCTAGGTAACACTTGTGGAGAGCTCCACTCAGCATCCAATTAGTACTTCAAAGTGAGGGACAAGCACCTGGGGACTGATTGTCTTGTTGAAGAAGAGTAACGAAGGATGTAAGGGCCGCAAAGAACAGACTCACGAGGAAAGGAGAGATGAGAAGCGACGCTCGGTGTGCCAGGAAGAGTTACAGAGTTCGGTAGTTGGAATGTTTTTTTGTCGTCCGCGCATGACACCTGTAGGAGGAATCAGGAGAAACCGCCTGCAAAAATAGCGGCGTCGCAGCTCATTTACCTTGCTCTAGATACAACTATAGTCGACCATGGTCAGAGTAAAGAGTCGATTTGTAACGAAGATTCAGATTGACACATCTTGGAACTACATACAGTATTGGCTGGCATTTCGGCTTGAAACCGTGCATGTGCGTGCATTGGCCCAAGGAACAAGGCCGTTGCCGCTTCCATGGAACGGCAACAGGGCAGCAATTCCACCAATCGCTTCATCCAGGTGGAGATTGGGTGTCAGCACGTCGTATCAACGGCTGATGATCAACACCATCTGGCGGCATCGTCTGCTGAACAGATGTAAACGATTATTAATCTTGAGCGCAAGTATGATCTGCTGGTTCACTCGTACGCATGGCGGGATACCATTGCGTGTTGCTCTGCGGCGGTAGGCCCGCGACGAGGAATGGCGAGTCTGTGACAACGAGTCCGGAGGCCCTCTTCTCCGAAAACTTGGACTGAAAGTCCACTTCCACAAGTCGAGCTTCATATATGGCTCATGCCAAGTCCGTTCTCATGCTGATTGTCATGCATCAGTCGCCAGTAAGCAGCTCTTAACTTCACCCTGTCAATAACTCATCAGAGAATGGGTATGGAGTTGTCACTCTACTGCAATAGCAAATTCGCTGACAAGTATAAGTTGCCATCTTCATTCTTGATCTTCAGAGGCACATGTTATTCGACAATACTGAGCCCCTTGAAGGAATGTTCCTTGCGGACTCGCGAGACAGGCACGGATTTAACATGAATCTGCTATGCTGCATCTGGATGAGGATGAAGCTCTAGCGGGTTTGATTCTACTGGAAAGGGGTATATTCAGCGAGTGTCGAGATTTCAGGGTAGAGTGAAACAGTCCGTCGCAGCAGGCGTGCCATTGACCTAAAATTCTGGTCGGCATTCTCTACACCATCAGAAAGTCTCTTATTTTCTCATTTCAGAGCAAATTGAAGGCAGCCTAACTGTTGATGTTGCCCTCCATAGCCACCGGAGCCGCTGAGGGGTGTTACGCTACAACATGGCCAGCCAGTAAGCTCTTCAGTAGACCACCTCTTCCAGATGCCTTTGTCTGGGCTTTCCAATCTTTCTTGATGGTATTCAGGCAGATGGTGCCGAAAGTCCGTGGGGTTAATGCTCTTCAATCCAGCAGCATATTGTGTTATAGTGAATCGTCTGCTCCCTGTTGCGTGCGGTTTCCCCTGGACAGTTATTCCAACTATTGCAGAAGCAAAAGCCGCGTAGTCGTCTAATAAAAATCTTCTTCTCTTTCTGCCTCTTCAATTTGGGCAGCCCATGTCAGACCTAGATTCACCCTGGCATCCTGATAAAAATGGAAACCTGCTGTGGTATGTTCAATCAAGTGCTTTAGAAGCGCTTGTAGTCTCAAAGTTTATCAAGGATTGACTGGGAGAGAATGCTTGGCCCGGAAAAGTGAGATCTCCTTTTACGCACAATCGGCAAGATATGATACGACTAGTCCAGGTGAAAGTTATCCTGCGGCTGGGCGACTTGTTTCTGCTTCTCATCCTTTTGCACTGTAAAGAATTCAGTAGGTTATGTTCCCTCTTCTGACAATGTGCCAATGTTCTGTCACTACATTCTATAGTTCCAATAAGGGAAAACAACAGAAAAAGGCCTCTAAGTTTGGATAGGGACTTTGAGATGCCGTAGAGGCCAGTCAACTAATTTACTGGGCATACGAAGCTCAAGTTAATCTCATGTTATGGCTCATGAAAGGCTTAACAGCTGTTTGTAAGCTCACGACCCGCCTATTGCCACTTCTACTGATTTATATGATGGAAATAAGCTTACATACGAGTATAGCCCGTACCCTAGTATTGTTGCTTATCTGGGAGAATGATATGAGCTTACAATATTCTCAACAAAACTCGACGACCTCTCCTTTTGTAACTTGCTCCACGCTATACGAGTGCCACTGTGAGTTCCAATTCAAATGTTACACTTTGTCCTCACTCTGGTCCAGCAAGAATCCCACTCGAAAACTGCCAGTTCGAAATGGGGAAATGTGAGGTGTCAAGAGACTAGCGCCAGGCTATCAGTCTATGAACCAAGATAATCTTGGATATAGGGTCCTGCTTTGAAGACACACTCTGGGATCATACCCTCTGCACAAAGTCTATATCGTATGAGTAAGTGTATATATCAGTGGATGGCTTACGGAAGCCTGAATCGGAGACTTCGAAGTGTATTGTAATAAGATATATAAGTCATATACAGATATATTAGACGTACGAGTTCAGAGACTTACCATTCAATAAGCTGATGCGCACTCGTACATGGGTCTTCAAGTCCTCTGACAAGCGAAAACCAGAAGAAATGGCACAGGCGGGGAGATCGGGCTCCGAGAAGTGCAGCCAAACGTGACATACAATTTGTCAATACTGACAGTAAGCTTCAGGGACTCTGCCTTTTACCATGTGATTACCGCTATTCTGACTCCTTACTTGTATAGGGCTCTGACGTTGTGATGCCCTCTCAGTATGCGCTGCCTTAAAGAGCAAACTATCAAACGCGGATTATTCGCTCGCATCTTGACACCGCACACGATTACTCCAAGATGCCTTTCTCGACTTAGCGACATCGCATAAGATGGAGCGCGACTCCAGCTTCCTCGGGTTGTATATGCATTGAGACGGACAGAATTCGAATGTCGCGTACTATGAAGATAGGTAAAATTCCGTGAACCTCATCCTCATCAGCCATGTGTCTCGTTGAACGCCATTGCTTGAGCGACATGGCATCAATTTTGCAAGTGGCGGTGGACGTGGGTTCTCTCTGTTGATTTAATGAGCCAGGCTTTTCGCAGTAAAGTTCTCATATTCCAATATTCTTGCCCCTGAAGGTGAACAAACTGAGGTGAATAGGTATAGAATGGCTACTCCTTAGTTTCTGATGTAACTCCGAGTTTCTGACAGTAGAGGATCTTAACGGTATGATACCTGCATGTATCACACGACGCACCGCTCGATAGAACACGGATTATTCCGACGCGGTACCCTTTTCGGTTGCCCGCCAGGATCCCCTGCCCTGTAATGACCTGTCCATGCAAACGTCAGCAGCATTCGGGGAGAGAGCCTGAAACGAAGGAAATACTTGCACCATGAGGTGCAGTATATGGCACATTGCGGCGACTTGGCAAACAAAAGTGCTGAGAGATAACCGACATGCTTAGGACATCCTCTGCACCAGACCAAGAAGGGGATTGCCTTGCGGCTGTTGACCCGGTTAGTAGCGGGCTATTCCATTGGATGCGCCGCCCGCACTACATTAATAACCATCCGTTAACCAATAGGCTTTGATTTGCAGCCTACTGAACAGCTAAAGGGACATGGCGAAATGAGTCCATGTCAGCGAGGCCTCGACACGAGGAGTCGTATGAAGTCTCACAAAGTCAGAAGTCTTGTATAATCTGTCATGATGAATCAATAGCACAACTGTCACTTGCGTGGTTGTCAGTAATGGCATGCGAATAGCGGCTGAACGGCTGGAAACCTAATATTGGATGTTGTCCTGCAAAGGTCCGGACAATCATATGCCGAGTTGCCGGAGGTGCCACTGAAAACGATCCAGTGCGTTTTGATCGATTATCTAGACCTATGTTCGGAATGTGTGTGTATATGTTGAAGTTGCATACAAAGTACTACGGAAAAATCACAAGTGCTTCTACTCTTGCCACGTTTCTTATCATCTGAATGTGTCGAATTGTTAAGACAATTCTTAACACCCACCCTTGTCTGTTCAGGTTGTAAAAAGCGCCGATGAGATGCCTAACAAGTGTGGTGAATGCTAGCTATTCTGCTCCACCCATAGCTGAACTAGGGAGAAAATAGGTAGTGAGTTTACTGCCCGTAGAATCATCCTCGTCAACTGCTACAAGGGCTATGGATTTCGGTCAGCCCCCTTAAGATACAAGGGATCTTTTGTAAGGAGGATGATGGAGACTGTATTTTGACCGCTTGGTCGAATGACAAAAGAAATACTTTGTATTTTATCAAAACTACCAGTTATTGGACTAGGCTTCAAAGCAACGGACAAGTTTAGAGAATCTAATACCGTCATGCTTTCGTTGCGTCCAGTTGCCAAAGCTCAATCTGTGACTTGACTTGACAATCATGCTGTGTATACTAGCCTTTAAACCTACCTTTGATCCACTTGTACCTGGTCGTCAATCGTTTCTAGGGCTTACGCCTTCACACATCCAGGCGGGACGGCCCAGGAACAGATGCCGTTGTGGATCGTCATCTCGAATCACTACCTGATTGACAATGTCTTAAACTAGGAGCGGTATTGATGGCAACTTATTTTTTTTTCCGGGCAGCGTGCCTGTTCTTCCGTCAACCACATCGAGAGCTGAGCTCAAGTCCACAGAACCAGTCTCTCCTGAGCACGGCATCATTTCGGTACTTACTTGTGCTGGTTAGGATTGAGCCTCTAGTGCTCAAGTGAGAAGAACGAGATGGACATATGATCGATACCCAACATGCTCTTCGAATATGGAGAGTGCTCTTCTTGATGCTACCGAAGTGAAGCCCGTCGTAGCCCAAGGTGGGTAGACGGGGAATCGAAGCCGAAATCCATGTCTGTATGCGATGACTCGTCAGGAGAGCCTTGCTGGCGAGTTCCCCATACTTGTCTAGACGAGAGTCATCCGGGCAAGAAAAAGCCGAAGGGACCCCCTTCCTCGAAAGCAGGAGTTGTATATAATGTGCTGTAGATCTCGACCATCTTCGGACCAAGGAGCCAGCAGCAGTGCCAGACACAGATCCCAAGCACCGTTTTCTCGAGTCCTTAAGCAAGATGCATCTGTCTTCGACGATCCTCATGGCTGCGGCCGGTGCAGCGGCCCAGTCGACGTTCGACCTGTCCGATCTCCCTGCCTTCATCAAATCAAGCTCGAGCACCAACTGGCCAACCCTCCTCAACATTGGCCAGCAGATCTGGAACGACCCCGAGGTTGGTCTGAACGAGACTCACGCTCACGACCGCATCGTCAAGTACTTTTCCTCAGTCGGAGGGTGGACGGTCTCCCCATCGGCCTACCCGGGCCTGCCCACGGCTTTCAAGGCCGAGTTCGACAACCGGCCCTCAGGATTTACCGGTGATCTGCCCACTGTGGGCTTCCTGGCCGAGTATGACGCGCTGGTGGGCATCGGCCATGCCTGTGGCCATAACCTCATTGCCCTCAACGGCATGTCAGCAGCCAAGTTTGCCAGCGAGGCACTGGCGCACTACGGCATTCCAGGGCGTATCATCGTCATTGGTACCCCCGATGAAGAGAATGCGGCGGGCAAGTTTAAGCTCAACAACCTGGGCGCCTTCAACGGCTCGGACGTTTGGCTCATGGCCCATCCGACTGTGACGAGCGCCATCCAGCCCATGAACGCCCGCCTCAACTACTTTGCGCGCTTTGTCGGCGGCACGCACTCGGAGGCCGTTTCAAAGGCATACGATGCCCTGGACATCGTGCAGAACCTGTCCGGCCTTCCGGGAACCAGCTCCAGCGCCGTGGGCATCGAGAACGTTGGTGTCTATGCAACCAACATCGTGCAAAGCATCATCAAACTCGGCGTCGCTGGCCTGAGCCTCGACACTGTCAACAGCACCGTGTCCGGCATCCTCGATTCGACGTATCCCAATGTCACCTTTTCAGCGGCGACTGATGCCGATGGTGTTGCCCTGACGATTCTTGGACCTGGCGGACACGCTTCAGAAGCCACAAAGAGCCCGCTGACGCTCTCTGTCAACACCTATAACGCCCTCAAGAACTCCTCTGGCGTATCGTTCTACCTCCCAGGAAACACGTCCGTCACCGAGCTCGACATCACCATCGACTTCCGCACTCGCTACACGGCTGACCTGAACTCCGTGGCCAACTTTGCCAGTGCTGCTCTGGGTACTCTGCCCGCCGGCATCTCTCACGACGTCCAGTATCCCTCCCTGGAAGTAACTCCGTTCCTCGGCCAGGCCTTCATCGATATCGTCGGCACCCCCGACTACGGCCTGGCCAACTTTCCCGCCACCACTCTTGCTCCCGCCTCGACTGATGCCTCGTGGGTGCAAGATCCTGTGCTCGACCCCGTCACTCACGAGTTGAAGAGTGTGGCTAAGGCAGTCCTTCACGCAAACTACGGCATCTGCACGAACCCTTCGGGCGCGGGCTGTCCTTTTAACCACGAGCCACTGTTCAAGGGCCTTGCAAACACCGACTTTGCGTATCAGCAGACGGAAATTGTGGCCAGAGCAGAGGCTCAACTTGCGGTGGAGCTGTTGGCAGACCCATCCCAGATGGCCCAGGCGGTTGCCATTGTTTTGAAATAGAATGAGAGAGATGCGATTCGTGCTGCGAGTGCGAAGTATGATGATGACGAGATGTACTTATAATGTAGAGGGATGAGCTTAGATGAATAAAGACTCAACAGAATTGTGATACCCGGTCATTGCTTCGTGCCGTGGGATGGGTTCAACCTGAAAACATATGCGGTTGCCGTGTATTGCTCGTACACATGGATCATGCTGCTGATAGGCTGTACAAGCTATCATCGACTGACATTTATCGACGTAGATGGTATTTCTGAATCGGGGGCTACAGGCGGGATACTCATTGCACTTATCTATGCATGAGGAGGATAGGGCCAAGTGGTGGCGCTCAACTTCTCTATTGAACCGCCCTCTAGCGAGGCCTCAATGTAATTAAGCGTGTGATCTCAATCATCGCATGTGAACATTTGGCACCCTAGCAATAAAGGCTGGAGCCGTCCACGTCTGTCTCACGCTCAGTTTTGGACAGCCATCACATTCTCCCTCTCCCTCTCTTTGGTTATGTTCTCGTGGGCAGTTCTACCTTAGGCTTCCATCCACCCGATCTCTCACAAATCACAAAATTCTTCATGCAGCTGTGAATGTTCTAGCGTGACGGGTCATACAGGCGGAAGGCGACCTGCCGGGGAACGACACGTTGCAGCGGTGTGGGTGCTTGGCCTTTTGCTGCTGGTCTGGCGAGAAGTTTTGTCATTATACGAAGGGAAGGATGAAGGCTTTACTCTTCCGGGAACTCAAAAGATGAGCTGAGGGAAATAGTCAAGACATTGTTTGTTTGCTTTGTTTGTGACATAAACTTGCAATTGTCTGTTCGTGATGGCTTCAAACCTAAGCGCCTCGTTCGGCCAGCAATGGCTGCCTCCCGCCCCCTACAGACTGCTGTTCGCCAAACGACCCGACGAAAAGAAGGTCCATATCTGCATTCGAAGCACCTCGATGCATGGCCGCGGGACGGGAAGACCAGCATCCGCCTAGCTTCGCTCTTGTTTTTTACCCTTTCTTCAACGCTACGGAGGAGCCTCCGTCGGCGATGCTCCCGCGCATAGATACGGAGTAGGGTGGACAGCCAAATGTCGCTCATCATAACTCATCTTCCCTGTCCCTGTCCCTTACGAGCTGCACACAGCTGCTAGAGCCAACAGCTTTTCTGCTCTTCTCTGCTTCTTCTCCACCCTCCGGATGTCATCCTCTTCTCCCCCCCTCGTTTCTCCACGCCGATCCCACCCTCAGGCGTTCTTGAATCATCTTCATCGCCCGTCTTTCATGCGGCCTGGCCCTCTTTTCATGCTTCTCTGCTCCTCCCGGTTGGCTCGCTGATGTCGCACATACACACGACACTTGCACTTACACACGACATACGGCACACTCGTACTTGTTACAACAGCGATGAACAACCGACTGTTGGCCGGCTTGATCGGGTAAATGGCAGTTTTCTTGCAAGTTGTCTTACCCGCTCGCTTGGCGACTGCGCCGAGGCCAAGGCGGTGGAAACTCGACACCGTCGCTGTCTGTTGTAGCGACCAGCAAGAGATCGAAGCGACGCATGATCGCGTATGAGTAACTGCATACCTATGTATGCTTACGCGACTAGGTATCTTACCATCTGCATGTGAGAACGGACTGCATACGATATATACATACAATCACTGCGTGGAGACATATTGCATACCGCGCACCTGCACTTCACACAACCGGGGGGTCTATTGGTTGAAATGCCGAGCTGGCTGATGGCTTTTTGCTCTAGAATATTTATACGGAGCATGTCAGTTACTACGCATTCGTACGCATCGCTGCTTTCGATTAATACCTATCGTTCGCTAACGGTCCGGCTCAGTCATTCTGTTTCCCGCCATATCCCTGCTTAATCAATCTCGCAGCTGAAATCGAAGCTACCAAAGGAGGAACGAAAGTATCACACAACACACAGGGCGCAATCCAGGAAAGAAAGAGAGGCAGAAGACAACGGAGAAAATTCAGCAAGATAGCACCGCGTTGCTCACTTTTACTGTCTACGGTAATCGAAATGGTGGACAAGACACCCGGACGAAGCGCATCAGGCGCGGCTGGCGAAAGCAGCCAACAACAAGAACCAAACTCGGAAGGCATTCTCCCAGCTGGTCACTGGCAAGAGGTTTGTGGTCTCCCATCCAAGATCTGCGCAGATGGATCACATGCTCTTTTGTGCCAGGCAAGGAATAATCAGTGCGAACTAGGTTGCACAGAGACGAGACGACGGGCCGGAGGACGATGTAGACGATGACGACGATTCCGCGCTTGGTTCGGATGCCGGTAGCTCGACAGCCTCGATTACGTCTAGTATCTTGCAGTATCGAGAGATTCACGGCCGGAGATTTCATGGCGAGACAGGCAACGTGCAGTATTGGTAGGTATCCCCATCTACGTATAGCTGGTCAAGTCTGTCTTCGAGGGACTCTGGCGCCGGGGGCTGTTGCTGACTCAGGACAATGAACACAGGCAGTCCAACGACGAGGCGGCAAGCGAATCCCTAGACATGAAGTACGCCGTGTTTTGGCGACGATGAAGCAATAAAAGGAATGATCGAAAGAATCGCTAACTGGTATTGCGTCGTCACAGTCATCACGTTCTTTCTATGGCCTTGGGAGACAAACTCTTCATGGCTCCGTTGAAGAAGGAAGATGTCAAAGTGCATAAACCTCTCCAGCATCTGAAGGCGCATTGCGGGACAAATTGAAGCTAACACTCGATAAATCGGAGTAGAAAGCTCTAGATATAGGCACCGGTACAGGTGGGTACCATATTTGCGTTTGTGAGGGTTGAATCTGTCTAACTGACTTGACCCCTTCTGCTCTAGGGATATGGGCTATGTGAGTATTTACGACTTCGCTTGATCTGAGAGAAAAGGCAACATCCTGATGCTGGAAACAGTGATTTCGCCGACGAATATCCCGACGCTCAGGTAATTGGCACGGATATTTCACCCATTCAGCCAACATGGGTTCCCCCCAACCTGCAGTTGTGAGTCGACACCGGCAACTCTGCCACAGCCTTCGAGCACTCCTTTGACGTCTCCTCGATAAAATGCTGCTATATCTAACCTGCATATCTAGCGAGATTGAAGACTGCACGCAAGAATGGACGTTCCGTAACGAAGACTTTGACTACGTCCACATGCGCTGGCTTCTCGGCAGTATCCAGGATTGGGACGCTCTCCTACAACAAGCATACCGCGTCTTAAAGCCTGGGGGCTGGGTTGAAAGCCTAGAGACTTCAGCCATCGTGAGGAGTGACGACGGCACTGTCACAGAGACGTCTGCCTTGGGCCAATGGGGAAAGTTCTTCCTTAATGGTGGCAAGAAGATTGGAAGATCATTCACGGTGATTGAGGACGAGACGCAAAGAAAATCAATTGAGGCGGCTGGCTTTGTCGACATTCAGGAATTCAATTTCAAGGTAAGCTCGGACAATGCCACTTGCCAGGTCCAGCCCTAACAATATTGGAACTGTACAGATGCCGATAGGAGGTTGGCCCAAGGATCCCAAACTGAAGGAACTCGGACAATTCGCCCAGATGGTCCTCGAGAGAGATATTGAAGGCTACATCGTCTTCATGGCTAATACTCTTGGCTGGACGCGGGAAGAAATTCTGGTTTACATTGGCATGCTGCGACGGGAAGTCCGATCAAAGAACTTCCATGCATATTACAATCAAAAGGTGGTCTGGGCGAGAAAACCGCTGGATGGAGAGACAAAATGAAGCTCTTTTCGATTTGTTTATGAATCTTTTCATCCACTAATAGCAAGCATTTATGTTCCAACTAATAATCAGGTTTTCAAACCGTCTACTCGATAACGAAAACCGAGGCTTCTCCTCTGCTCTAGTCACCTTAACCGACGGACTGCTAGGTTGTCCAAGTTTTGCCATGTTTCATGCAGCAGTTTGTTTGCCCACTCCTGTCTCCTCTCTTTTACCGACAGTCGTTGATCGTACTTATTCGTCCAGCATTGACGTTGCAGATACATTTAACCGAAGATAACTAGGTACTGCCGTACGGGCGAGCAATTCGGAGGGATTGCGAAATTTTCTCATGCAGAACGAGTATCCTGCCGTACTGAGGATACTCTTTCAAAGCTCATTGGCAGACGATAACCCGTGACGATGTCCAGAACGGGGTTCTTTCGGGGGTTGACCAAAACGAAGCTCAATGCCGCGTTGACAGGTTCCACAGACGCTGCATCAGCGGCTGTTCAACCCCTTTTGGCATGCTTCTCTATCACGTGAATTTATAACATCAGCAACATGTACAAGGACTGCTCGTGCATATCAAGTTGTTGGTTGCTATTGCCTCGGAGTTACAGGCATACTTCATGCATCTCTTTAACACGTGGGGGTTCAGAGCATGGTTGGTGAACACGCCACCAGGATTAGATTCAAAGATTGCCCCAAAGATTGAGAATGGATGAGGCGGTTATGAAATTGGGGAGGAATGAGATGTGATGAGACGGCAGATTCGGGAACAAAGTGCGTTTTGCTTAATGACAGCCGGACGATAGAACACAAAGTCCACATCCAGCGGGCACATTGTGTTGCCCGATTGATCCATCTGAGACAAGCGGTCTGTTTCTTTTCTCGATTCGCTCCTGATACTTCTCTCCCTAGTTCTTCCGTACTGTCTCCCACCTAGACTGACATTGTCAGTTTTCTGAAGTGGGTCAAGACAATTGATCAAGCCGTTCTGCCGCTAGTTTCCGAAGCTGGACCAACAGCATGGACAAAACCCCAGACAGGGAACGATGTGAGGAGAATATGCACATGAATCATAGCCCATCGCTTTTGTTCATTTCACCCTCGAACCTCAATATCTACTGGTAGGGCCCTTAAAATGCCGAATCCGCCAAGTGATGTTGTTTGTCTCAGACTTGAGCCGACAACACTAGGTATGATAATTGCACTGCGATATGAAGTGTTCAGAGCCATCCGCCACTGAACGCATAGGGCGTAGCCCCCCACTAAACTTGTCAATCCAGGCATCGAAAAGAATTATGTCAGACATGCTTCGGTCATATATATTGCAGACATCTCAAGGCTGAGCCAACGGCTTGAGGAAGGCATCAAGAGGGCGACACTGTCTACGAAACCTTACGAAAGAGGAGATCCAGGATCAACACCAAAACCACGACAAGGGAAGATTAGCAGCCATGGGTTCTCAAGAGCCGGTCGGGACACACCTGACCTTTCACCATGACGGGAAACTGCTCACCCTCAAGACGGAGCTGGTCTCAATACGCCCTTTCGCAGCCCTGGAAGAGCAGAACCGTGCCATTTTCAAGGACGCCAGCGACGATGACTATGTCATCGTAACCAAAGAGACCATATTCCATCCGCAGGGCGGTGGCCAGCCATCAGACGAGGGCACAATCTCAACAGCCCCTTCAACAGACGCCCAGACTCAGTCGCCCATTGCCATCAACATCAGGGCAGCACGCATGGACGTTGTCAATGACGGCGTGGTGCTACATCTCGGTCGCTTTGAAGATCCCTCAATGGCAGAAAGGTTTCAGGCGGGAGATCTGGTTGAACAGAAGATTGACGCCGAGAAGCGCCTCCTCTATTCACGACTGCACACTGCGGGCCATGTTCTTGGCTCAGCCGTGAGGCATCTTTTGGAAAAGGAAATCGACGGCTTCGACGAGCTCAAGGCATCCCACTTTCCAGACAGCGCGGCATGCGAGTTCCGCGGACTGATTGAGGGCAAGTGGAAGCAGCCGATCCAGGACCGCGTCGACGAGTACATCCGCCGCTCAATGCCGGTAGAAATCGACTTTTGGACAGAAGACGACTTCCGACGCGAGGGACTGGAGCGCTTGATTCCGGACAAGAGCCTGTTGCCGCCTGGAGAGACCAAGTTCCGCGTCGTGCGGATTGTGGGAGCGGAGGTTTATCCCTGCGGAGGGACGCATGTTGACACGACGGATCTGTGCGGCGCGACGACGGTGAAGAAGATTGGGAGGAGCAAAGGCATTAGCCGGGTCAGTTACACGGTGGCTTGACGGGGGATTCAGGGGACCGATAGCGGACGAAGATAAAGCTATTGGCGATGTCGTCGTGCCGGTGGAGGATAAGATGTGGTAGATGATCGAGTATGCGCGCATTCCGATGCTGGAGTTAGTAGATGTAGATATATACAGGAGGGGGTTAGGGACGATGACCACCCCTGACATATTCCATATGGGAGATGAAAATTAGACAGATAGACCACAGCCCGCTGTCATCACCAGCAAATACGTCCAACGGTATCCATCTTTCCTGCTCCTGTGATGCAGGATGTGGCTTTGCGAAGCGCATCAGCCGATCTAAAAACAATCTCCGACCTCGCTCAGGGTGAGAAATAAGCATCCGATAAGGTGATGGCTTCAGCAGCTCCCGTTTTCCATCCGCGGATGCATAGGCGGAGGTAGTCAGCGCCATCAGTAAGGTTGCCTGATCCGGATAGCTGTCATCCAAAACGCCACAGCCGATTCGAAAACTTGTGAAACTTGAAGCTATTGCCAATACTCTGCTACGGCCACCGGAAGCTGGCGATAGATTGCCTACTTCTTACGGCGTAGCTGCGGGAAGCCACCGGGAACCTTGAAAGTTGGAGGTTGTGGCCCGCACTGTTTGAACAGACACTGAGTTCCACCAGCCTCTCCGCATCATCCCCGCATGAACTGAGATTCGACGTCAGGCCTGTACGAGCATAGAACAGGTGAAGTTACAAAGCATAATGGTGGAGATGCAAGAGACTACATTGATCTGACCTTCAACCCTTCTTGCAGCGCTACCACGGCCAAACACCATCATTCTGCGGACACCTCATCCCATGATATGCACCATGGCCAGCGAATTCCCCTTCATTCTATCTGACCCACGCCTCGGCGATCTGGACTGTCTTGTCGATGGTCAGTCTGTCACTGCAAAATCCGGCAAACGCTTCCATGTTCTCGACCCCGGCTCTGGGAAACCCTGGGCATCCTGTCCAGACTGTCGTCAAGAAGACGTGGAAGCCGCTGTTCAATCGTCACATCAAGCTTTCCAGACGTACTCCAAATGGACGCCTAGACAGCGAGCTCAGACGCTGCTGAAATGGCACCAGGAAATCATCGCTGCACGGGATGATCTGGCCAAGATCCTCGTATATGAGACGGGAAAGCCTCTTGCTGAGGCCTATGGCGAGATTGACTATGCAACGACCTTTACCTGGTGGTTTGTGGGCGAGGCAGAGCGCGTTCAGGGAGCTTCCATTGTCTCGGCGATCCCTGGCCGACGGGCAGTGACCATTAAGCAGCCGATTGGTGTTGCTGCTGCTCTCGTGCCATGGAATTTCCCAATAGCCCTGACTCTCAGAAAGGCCAGCGCCGCTCTTGCTGCTGGATGCACCATGGTCGTCAAGCCCTCGCCTGAGACTCCCATCACGGCGCTGTCCGTAGCACGTCTTGCATTAAAGGCGGGTTTTCCTCAAGGGGCACTCAACGTTCTGACGACAAGCCTCGAGGGTACACCCGAGCTAGCAGAGGCTCTCTGCTTGCACCCACTGGTGAAGAAAGTTACTTTTACCGGAAGCACCAGAGTCGGAAAGATCATCTCCAGTCTGTGTGCGAAGAACTTGAAGAAGTCAACAATGGAACTCGGAGGAAACTGTCCCTTTATCATTTTTGAAGACGCCAACCTGGGCCAGGCGCTTGATCAGTTGATGGCACTCAAGTGGCGACATGCAGGCCAGGCTTGTGTATCGTCTAACAGAGTGTATGTTCAGCGCGGCGTCTACGATGAATTTGTCGACCTTGTTGTTCGTGCCACATCGAAGCTCAAGATGGGCCACGGCATGGACGAGGGAACAACGCTGGGCCCGGTCACGACTCCCAGAAGCCTTGACAGGGCTGAGGACATGGCCAAGGATGCTCTCGCAAAGGGAGCAAAGCTGGTCCTTGGAACTGGCCTCAGAGATAACTCAAGTAGCGGAGGCTATTTTATGGCACCGACAATCTTGACAAATGTCACGGACGACATGCTCATGAGCCAGGACGAGATCTTTGCGCCTTTCCTCGGGCTTTCGGTCTTTGACACTGAACAGGAGGTTGTGCAGAGAGCGAACAACACGGCCATGGGCTTGACGAGCTATGCCTTTACGAAGAATGTAGACCGACTCTGGAGATTGTTTGAATCCCTGGAGGCAGGCATGATTGGCTTGGTAAGTGAGCTCTTGGTCGTAAAGATAGGAAATTTTGGCTAATAGCTTCTTTGTAGAACACTGGTAACAACTCCTCAGCAGAGGCGCCGTTTGGAGGCATAAAGGAGAGCGGCTCAGGCAAGGAGAGTGGCAAAGACGTGGCAATTGAGGAGTTTATGGTGACGAAGACTGGGACTTTCACCATTGAAGGATTGTGAACTTCAGGAGCAGTAACAAATTCCTAGATTGCTACGCCTCTCGTGCATCATCTGAGAAACAATTGATTTCACTTCCTTTTGGCGAACTCTGATCTCACGATTTCCGCAATATGTTAAGTTACAGCCACTGCCGCCATCATTAAGAATATCTTTGGATATGTATTCATGTAGGCTCTCAGATCTATAAAGAAATCGTACGACTACTTGGTGATCATCACACGCATCTTCCACCATCCACCTCAAGATTCACTCCTGTAATGAATGATGCCTCGTCGCTAGCGAGATAACAACAGGCATTGGCAATATCAGCCGGCGTCGATGGCCGACCAAGCGGGACCGTAGACACAAAGGTCGAGATATCTGTTGATCCTAGGAAGAGGTTGGTCCTATCATACGTAGTTAGCACAAGGACTGGTTAAAACGAAGCACAATTACTGACATTCCCGTGATGCCAACCACTGGGGAAACCGCGTTGAACCGAATCTGCTTGGGGCCGTATTCAGAGGCCAACGCCTTGGTAGCCGTGATAGCAGCTCCCTTGGAGGCGCTGTACCATGCCAAGCCTCCTCGGGGTCGAATGCCAGCCGTTGAAGCAATCTGAATAAAGCTGCCAGGGCGATTCTCCTTGAGAAAGTACGGCACAAGGATGTTTGTCGAAAAGTAGATTGACTTGACATTGACATTCATCACCATGTCAAACTCCTGTTCTATCACGCCCTCTGTCGCCTTGTTGGAGTACGAAGCTCCAGCATTATTGACAACAATATCCAATTGTCCGTACTCCTTGAGAGCTAGAGCAAGTATAGCTTCCCAGTCGCTCCTCTTAGTGACGTCGGTACGTATGAAGATGCCGTTGAGCTCAGAGGCAGCTTGCTGGCCGGCCTCTTGTGAGAGGTCTGCGACAATGACTTTTGCTCCTTCTTGGGCGAATTTGGTGGCGATGCCTTTACCAAAGCCGGATGCGGCGCCGGTGATGACGGCGACTTTGCCCTCGAGGCGGTTTGATGGCATCTTGAAGGAGTGAAGTAGATAGGTATCAAAGTGTGAGTTGGAAGTAATGAAGATAACCTAGTTGCTACATCAAAGATAGTGAGGGCCGTAGCTGCAAGAATTGGACCCTTTTGTCTGATATCATGTGTGACAGTCAACCCCTCTCCTCCCCATCACACCTCGAATTGGTTTCATCAACAAGAAAGAAACATCCAAACTGTATACAGTGCGGCATCTGTCCAGCTATTTTAGATCCGTCAACTAAACGTATTAGTGCCGGGGCTCTTTTTCTTCAGCCAAGGAGATCGGCCGTGTGGGGGAAGTCTGTAAAGGGCGTCTGTACAATATTGCCTGCTACGGGAATAAGTCGCGGGGAGTTTGTGCGGGGAGATGCTACTAGTACTAAGGTAAGTTGTGGTAGAGAATCGGGACATCAGGAGGAGTGATTCATGGGTAATGGCCCGAGGGTAATTTCCAAGAAAATACGAGTCATCACAGGAACCACGACGACTTGTCTCGGGACGGGAGGCTGAAGCTTCGGTCAATCTTCTGAAGCCGGTTTCGGACCCGGAGAACGAGCCCTGAGCTAGTTAAGCAGCTGGAGAGCGAACACGAGCAGCACTGGTTGTAAGACGGCCAGTATCTTACCAGGGCAAAACACCATCACCACCACCAAAAGAATAGACAGAGTCTTGCTACTTGTGTTTTACCTCTCTTACCAGCATCAAGTCCAAGTGTCTGCAATATGGCTCAAACTTTCCACATCCTCATTCTCCCAGGCGACCACGTTGGCCCTGAGGTCATGGCTGAAGCCCTTAAGATCCTCAACGTTGTGGAAGAATGTCGCCCCAACCTCAAATTTGAGCGCACCTTTGACCTCGTTGGCGGCAGTAGCATCGATAAGCATGGCGTGCCCGTCACGGAAGAAGTTCTCGACAAGGCTAGCAAGGCAGACGCGGTTTTGTTTGGAAGCGTGGGAGGGCCAGAGTGGGCAGATGCTTCTCCCAACCCAGAGGCTGGCATTCTGGGGCTTCGGCAGAGACTGGATGCATTTGCCAATCTGAGGCCGTGCGAGATCCTCGTGCCGTCCCTGTTGGATGCGTCCCCCCTCAAGCCGGAGATTGTCAAGGGCACCAAGTTTATCGTCGTCAGAGAAAACTGTGGCGGTGCTTACTTTGGAGAAAAAGTCGAGAAGCTCGAGGTTGCTTCCGATCTCTGGGTCTACAAGCCTGACGAGGTTGAGCGTTGCGCTCGAGTCTCAGCAGCAGTGGCTCGAATCCTGGGCCGAAACGGGGACGGCAAAGGCGGCGGTGGTCCGGCCATTGTATGGAGCGCCGACAAGGCGAATGTTCTCGCCAGCGGCAGACTGTGGCGAAGAGTCACCCAGAACACCTTCACCAGGGAATTTCCCGACATTGAGCTTCGGCATCAGCTCGCTGACAGCATGGCGATGCTCATGGTCAAGAACCCGCGCGGCTTCAACGGCGTGATACACACGGACAACACCTTTGGCGATATCCTCTCTGACATCTCCGGCGGCATCGTAGGCAGTTTGGGGACGTTGCCGAGCGCGAGCATCTCGGGCATCCCCGGCCAGGGTCGCTGCAACGGGATCTACGAGCCAGTGCACGGGAGCGCGCCTGATATCGCGGGAAAGGGCATTGTGAATCCTGTCGCGCAGATTCTAAGTCTGGCGATGCTGCTGCGGTACTCGTGCGTGCTTGTTGACGAAGCTGCAGCCATTGAAAAGGCGGTTGAGACGGTGTTGGACTCGAAGGAGGCGGGAGGGCTTGGTATCCGGACGCGGGACATGGGAGGGGAGGCTGGGACAAAGGAGGTCGGCGATGCTATTTCCGTAGAGCTTCGGCGGCTTCTGCAAGCGAGCTAAAGGATTCAAACGAATCATGCAGAGGATAGAAATGACATGTCACGAGTGTTACCTCCGGACAGCGTAGTTCAGATTGCTTTGCGCCTGCATGTGTGCTCAGAGGAACGCGATGGCCTCATATCATTGGGCTACCAAGCAGATGCTTTATGTTCGAGGTGGTATCGAGAATTCGGAGGTGTGCACCCGGCTGCAATCTGATTGCATGACCCCAGCACAGCTCGAAGATATGGATTAGGAGAGTGTGATGAGGTGATTGCATGACATGAAGATGCATGGGATTGCTCGAATCAATATGAGAACAATAAACAACTAGGTACTTAGGTATGAGAATTACAGTTATTGAACCATGCACGTTTTCCACTACTCTTTGCCCTCCACCACAATGCTCAGACTGCCATTGACCCCCTCAATGTCACGCATCTTCTTGTTACGGCGGTCCGTGTATTGCAGAATGACTGTCCAGATTGCAAGGGCAATGCTGCAGGCAATCATAGCCCACATACCACGCTGCAGAGTCACAAGTCAACCAACACATCCTTGATCATAAATAGATGCGACAGTAAGGAGGGGAAAGAGATGCAAGAAGAACTCACGTTAAACCATGGTGCTTCGGAGGCTCCGTAGAAGATGATGCTCCACCACGCATTCACGGCATTGTTGCCCAGGTTCATGCCGGCCAAGACAACAGCCCGGAAGACGTGCTCTTCATGTCTCATGGAGTCGTTGCACCAGGCAAAGAAGGTGGCTTGACACGCATAGACCGATCCGGCGATGTAGTATGCTGCCATGACAACGGTGGTCGACTGGGAGCTGGTTGGATGCTGAGAGGCCACGAGGATCATGATGGACGTGGCAATACCAACGATTCCGATCCAGTAGCCGACAAGATACCGCTTGCCGTTGAGAAAATCGGTCAGTGTGGCCCAGAAAAGCGTAGAGACAATGCCAACGGCGGGAACGCCAGTCGGGTAGTTGTTGAGCTGAGAGACTGTGTACTTGTGTGTGGGATGGCTCTTGAGATAGAGGGCAAGCAAGGAGTTGGATGAGAAGGACTCTGTCTCGCCAGCGATGACCCAGAGCATGACGAACCCCCACCAGTACCACGAAGTGAGCACCTTCTTAAGGAAGCGGAGCGTGATGGGCGAGTGTTCCTCAACGACAGGCACACGAATAACAGCCAGGCGCTTCTCGTCCTCCGTCAGATAGAAGGCGGAAGTGTTCCGAGGGGTGTCTGGGAAGAAGAAGAAGCCGTATGCCGCAACAGGAATCGTCAGTAGGCCATCAATGATGAAGAGCCATCGCCATCCCGCCAGGCCGCTGCGGCCGTTGAGGCTCGAATGAATGCCCGTCTGGATGAAGCCGCCAATCATGCTGCCGGCAAGGCCAGACGCCGTGAAGATGCCGCTGCGCTTACCCAGCTCGCGCTCGGTATACCAAGCGCCGAGGATGTAGTGCGTGCCGACAAATGTCGACGCCTCGAAGATGCCCTGGAAGAAGCGGATGGCCATGATGGATTGCGGGCTGTGGACAGAGGCGGTGACCATGGTCAGGCCGCCCCAGAGGAGCATCATGGAGGGGAACCATATGCGCGGCTTGACATAGTAGAGAGAGAGGTTGGAGGGGATCTGGCCGAGAACGTAGCTGTTGGTACACTTCGAGGTCAGACAATTGTCTACTATGGGACAAACCAAGGCCCAATAATGAGAGAGTCTCTTACCCAACTGTGAAGCAAGTGTTGATGACATTGAGCTGATTGCCAACAAATCCCAAGTCCTCTCTCATGCCAGAGACATAGGCATTGGCGAGGTTGGAACGGTCCAGCTGGTGACTCAGTCAGCAACTCGAGACATAGAGAGACGGCAGAAGGACTGCTGGTCACGTACATAGTTGATAAAGTAGCTCAGACAGCAGAAAGTCAAGATGAAAAAGTCAATCTTGCGTATAAGCGTAGCCTCGCCAGGCTGATACTCCGTATGGAGGTAATCGCGAACGCGTTGACTCAGCATCTTGTGCTGCCAAGGTGAGAGGTCGTGTTTCCCTTTGGAGAGACGCGGCTGTATGGGGGAAAAAAATCTTTGTCTTACTCTCGCCAATGAGGGCTATGGAACAAAAACACACCCTCGCAGAAGATTTGCCTTGGCGGTGAATCACCTCAGGGGAAATAAAGAAGGGTGTTTGCTGCATCTTTATGATCCTTCAAAGATGCATCAACCGGCTCCTCCGTCGGAAAATCGCTGCCCGTCTAGCAAAGAATCCCCAAATTCGGCCGCTAAGGAAACGATTGCCAACCCCATGATGTTCCACGGGGAGGAATAGCGGCAATGACACGAAGGGCAAAGGTAAAAAGCTTGGACTGTGCGAATATCCTAGTGGCAAGATAAGCCCGGTGGCCTCTCTTCGTTATCTCCAAGCTCTAGTTTAGCAACCTGGGCAGTACGATAGCCAGGTTTCCAGCTACTCAGTGCCAAGTTGAACTTTCCTCATGGTCGTTCAGGCCCGGAGCTTCGCGCCCTTCCGACATCCTGTTGCGTGAAGTGGTGACGGAGCTGGAATCTGGAGTCGCGGAGGGCGCCAGATAACACCCTTTCTGCCGGGAAAGGCTTGGCTGCTAGAACAGGCTCGAGGGTCTCCAATGGTTCCGGAACTAACAAGTTCGCCAGCTTCACAATATCTGCTTGTGGTATGGCATGGAATCTAGCTATCTAGCGTTGATTCATCCAGCCATTTCCTTTGGCCTTCGTGGGCAGCGCATACGGCAGTACCTTAGCTTCTTGAAGCCTGGAAACGATAGCACTAGCAGCCGCGTCTGCTGGTGGTCTTAAGCCACTTACTGGGCGTTTATCAGCCAGTCACCGGGCCGGCGAGGTCATGGCAAAACGTGGGGAAGCACAAGGCGGCGAACAGTCCCCTCTTTGGAAAGGCAACAGAATACGAAAAGCTGGGGTAGCTAGGTAGGTAAGGTAGTTCGTTACCTACCTAGTCTATGGGGGGCCAAAGACTCTTATACACAAGGTCAAGGTCCGTTGAGTTATCTTTCTTCCTCAACTATGGACCACATTCGGCATGTCTTCCTCCTGTTAAGTAGTATTTCCCCCCCAACATGCCTTCCCGTGTAATAGCACTAGGCCTACTAGAGTCTTCCCGGGCAATTAATAACCAGAGTCGTACTCGGCCTATAGAGCTGCGATAACGAGCACTGCAACGAGAGGAGAAAAAGAAACCCCCCGCATACGGCTGAACCAACCCGAAATCCTTCTCCCTCGCCTACATACATAGGATACCTGGCTAATACAAGCCCTTTTATCCGCACCAGGAGACACATCAACGTCTGCTAAACTAAACCAAACTCTCATTCCACCCCCTGATCTCTCTCCTTCTCTTCTCTTTTCCACACTTATTCCTTTCTTTGCCACCTATCTTTCCCCCTTTCCGCCCTCCCACCCTTGCCTTTGCCTCTGCCCGATTTGGCAGGTTATCAAATCGACGCACGCAAGCAGGCTCCTGGGGATAACATGGCCTCCAATGCCAACGCTAGCAACACCAAGGACGGGGCTCCTCCTCATCACAACCAGCTGCAGCAGCAGCGCAGCAAGCCGGTGGGAAAGCCGCGTGGCATGCGCCGGGATCGGGACTGTCGCAGCTGCAAGCTAAGGGACATCAAGTGCGATCTGAACAGACCTTCGTGCGGAGAAGTGGGTAGGCCCTCATCCTTGCTGTGTAAATGCCGATTCTCTCTTGCGAGTTGTCAAACCTAGCTCTTCTCCTCCCAAGCCGTCTTGTCATGGCCCGCTCTCCGAGCCTCCCATGTTGCTCCCATGTCCTCATGCTTCTTTGCCCCCATCTCACATCTCACATTTTCATATCGTCATGTCTTCTTCATTTGAACTCTATAGCATACCTAACAACGCTCACCATGTAACAGTGTATCGCTGCAGGTGTCCCCTGTGGAGGCTACCCCCAGCGAGTCATTTGGGTCGGTTCCACCTCGTCCGCGAAAGATGCCTCCCCCACGACCTCAGCCGCACCCTCCCGTGTACAGCGACAAGCCAAAGCTCACCAGTCAACGCTGTCTCCGTCCAGCGACTCCAGCCTCACCCCGGACCGCCCCCCTGACCGACCCTCAGAATCTTCGCTGTCACCTTCAGAGCGACTGGTGTCCAGCCCTGGAGATGAGCCTATCAACTGGGCGGAAGCCGACCAGAACAGCTTCATCCGCCCGCTGGTATCTTTATGCCAGCAAATCATCTCGCTGGACGGCGATGCCTTGAGTAGCAATCGCTACCTGTCCGTCGAGGCTTTGCGCCTGATCTCGCGGCTCCGCGACTTTGTTCAAGCGCGAATCGACGGGCACCCGGCTCGAGCCTCAAGAGATCTTTGGGAGTCAGAGACCATGGCGAGATACCGGCTAAATGCCCTCATGAGTCTCAAGGACACGCTCAAGGCGACCAACCCCTTTGCCTTTATCGGCATTGCGGCCTTCGCCTTCTTCGAGGTGTGCGATAGCGGCTTCGGTGACTGGCAACGCCATCTATACGGGGCAAAGTCGCTACTAGACTTTCACTGCAAGAGCCGCCGAGAGCTAGATACACTCTCCGAGAGCGTTACCGGCTTGGGGGAAATGGTGGTTCGGCTGGTGTGGTTCGACACCTGTGGCAGCATCATCAGGGGCACGACGGACCTCATCTTCGAGCCCTGGCATCGTGAGCTGCTGACAGAGAGTTTCTTCCGCACCGTCGGATGCGCTTCAGATACGTTCCGTCTGTTCACCCGCGTGGCTAGCGGTGAAGTTGCGTCCAATCCGTCCACCAGCGTAATTCTCGCCATGGCGCAACTGCTCAAGCTCGGCCAGGGCTCCTCGGACTGGGATCGCTCGGCTGATGCTTATCGCTGTGCGGGGGTCATTGCCGTCCTCACCAGAGTCAGGGATGAACAATCTGCAGAATCGACAATCTCGCTGGCTGTGGATCGGACGTGCCAAATCATTGCGGCAACGCCGTCATCTTCGCAGTTCTACATACACATGGCTGTTCCGGCATATCTGGCGGGCATCAACGCTAGCTCGATGAAGCAGTGTGATGTGATACGGGCGTACTGGCACAACTGTAACCATGCTGGTGTCCGACGATATCCGGATGGATTAGCCAGGTGTGAGGACCGTTGGAAAATGAAAGAGCTGGTCTGATTATGAAAAAATGTAGTTACTATTCGTCTTGCTGCAATCTAGCGTTGGATATCTCTCAGCTTGCTATCTTGCAGTTGCTTACTATTCTCAAAGGGCCGTTTACGGGGCTATATAAGGAGCAAATCAACGGAATACAGGCTGTGTGTGTAGCAGGAAATGGATCGGCGAACGGGGGGTTCTTCTCTTCTGTCATGATTTGTTGAGATAGGGCCAGCGGAAACTAGTTTGTCACTTCACTTCTAATTGTGAGTCCAAAAACGATAATCTCAATGTGTTCTTCATCCATGAACAAATCGTACGTAACGTTGTCTTGCATGCATACAATCATGGCCGTATAAGCCACCGAGCTGCTCCTTTGATGCAACTGTGCGTCCGGGCTGCCGAGATACGCCTATCCAGACATATCCACCCCGTTGGCGCTACTATCACAGATCAGCTGGATCATGGTCAAAGTCGCTGAGGCTAACAGGTTGTCGCCGCCTTCGCGTGAGCCTAGCATTCAGTTTGCTAATGCTTCTGCCCTGCTACTGGCCTTGATCGTTATCCACCAGACCAGTCAAATTGCAAGTAAAAGCAAGTTCCAATTCGTATCAACGCATCAGTCATGTCATTCACATCACCTACGCAATCTGGATCACCATCTGCATAAACTGGGGTTGTTGACCTCGGTATCAAGCCACCGGCGACTAGTCGAGATAACGCCCCTCCTCCTCCACCATCTCCGCAACTGGATAAACGACCCCAAGAGACATCGGAACTTAGAACAGCCATCAACCATACCGTAACAGGCAATCAATCTATTGTCGTCATACAGTCAGCATCTCCTCATCACTGACTGCTGTTATGATTTGGGGAAGACATCCCAGCGGCTAGACGACGGACCAGATCCGAGGCAAAGAACTTCTTGAGACGGCCCCCATCCCAATTCCTAACAAGGTTGATCCACCTTCTGCATCACAAGAATTAGCATCATCTCAGTCGTCCCCCTCTTGAGCTGCCCGTATGCAATCTTCGTCTCGGCATCCGGGACCCATTGGCAACCCGGGATATGCGAGAGAAACCCCGCACTGGGCCTCACTTTGAAGCATATGGATCGATTCCAAAGTCCAACTGGTGTCGAATCGCAAAAACGTACCGCTTTCGTCGTATCAAAGGACGAGGGATCCGGCATCGGGTGGCGGCAATGATATCAAGCTGAGTCTTGGCGTTATGAACTGTTTCCTTTTATATTTGTCTGAAGAGAGAGAGACCACGAGGCCAAAGGATTTACATTACAGCACAAGAAACAGGGGACGACCTCTTTGCTGGCGGTTATACTTTGTTTCATCCTCCTCACACAGCCCACGTTTTTTCGATCATAACTGTTTCTTGCCCTCATCACAACGCCTCCCCTATTCCCTACCTACCCTCTCATCCAATACTTGGTTGATACATTAGCGGAGACGCCTCGAAAATGACTGTCTCTGGAGATTCCAACCTCACCAGCACCGCAGATGCCATCCCCAACGGTGTAAAGCCGTCCTGGGAGGAGCTCGGCGCAAAGAAACGAAGCGACCTGCAGGCCTCGATCCCCAGGGAATGGCGCATCCCCGATAGCCTGCTGCCTCCACTGACTCAAGACGATGTGACAGGCTGGCCAGAGGAGAGCGGTTGGTTCACCGTGAAAGAACTGGCCATTACCAACATGACTGCGGCAGAGCTGCTGTCCAAGATGGCGGCGGGCGAGCTGAAGTCGGAGGACGTGACCAGGGCGTTTTGTAAGCGGGCATCTGCCGCTCATCAGCTTGTGAGTTTCTCTCTCGCATAGAGCCATAGCGAGGCATCCTGACAAATTCACCTAGACAAACTGTCTTTCTGAAATCTTCTTTGACCGTGCCATCGCCATGGCGCGTGAACGCGACCAATACTTTGCGCAGACCGGCAAGCCCGTCGGTCCTCTCCATGGCCTCCCCATCTCCCTCAAGGACAACATCAATGTCAAGGACGTCGATTCCACAGTTGGCATGGCCGTCCACGTGGGTGACCCAGCCAAGGCAGACGCAACGCTGGCTCAGATGCTGGCTGAAGCTGGTGCCGTCTTCTACGTCAAGACGAACGTGCCCACGGCCATGATGATTGCTGAGACCGTGAACAACGTGTTTGGGCGGACTTTAAATCCGAGAAATAGGCAGACCACAAGCGGTGGAAGCTCTGGGGGAGAGTCTGCATTGATTGTCATGAAGGGCAGCCCCCTTGGTGTCGGATCAGATATTGGTATGAGGCATTGTCCACAGCGATGCAAGAGAGAGTGCAAGTAAAACACGACTAACATTACAAACACAGGTGGCTCTCTTCGAATCCCTGCTGCCGCCACCGGCATCTTCGCACTCCGTCCCTCCTCCGGCCGCTTCCCTGTCCGAAACTGCCGCTCCGGCATGGCCGGCCAGGAAGCTATTGCCTCTGTCAACGGGCCCCTGGCCCCGACTCTCGAAGACATCAAGCTCTACACAAAGGCCGTCATCGAATCCCAACCATGGCTACGAGACGCTAAATGCCTCCCAATTCCGTGGAGAGATGCCACGCTTCCCCAAAAGCTGCGCATCGGCGTCATGTGGCACGACGGCATGGTCCATCCCACCGCCCCCGTTGCACGAGCCCTGAAGCACACCGTTGCCAGGCTCAAGGCCGCCGGGCACGAGATTGTCGAGTGGGACCACTCTGACCAGGAGGAGGGTTACAGGCTGATGAATCGCATGTTCCTTGCTGACGGCGGCAAGACGATCAAGTCGCAGCTGGAGCCCACCGATGAGCCCATGAGGCCTGAGATGGAGCCTTACTCATTGGCAAGGGAACTCAGCACCTCAGAGATGTGGAAGCTGCACTTGGAGAGGTCCGAGTTCCAGAACCGCCATCTAGATCGATGGGTCAAGGCGGGCCTTGATGCCCTTTTGCTGCCTACCATGCCGTTCAACACCGTGAGAAGCGGAAACTTTAAGCATGGTATGTCCTTGCTCTACGTCCCTTGTGTAGATTCCGCTAACAAGTGCAGTCGGATACACGGGTGTATATAATGTCGTCGACTACGCAGCCGTTTCATTCCCGACCGGCTTAATGGTTGATAAGGACATCGACGTAGAGTCGCCCGACTACACGCCTCTCAGCATTGATTGCAAAGCCGTTCACGAGACATGTACGTATTGGCCATCCATTCCCCTGAAATGTGTTGTGGACACGACGTCTAACAGAAAGGATGCGTAGATGAACCTGATCTGATGCACGGACTGCCAATCAGTTTGCAGCTGGTGGCTCGGAAGCTGGAAGAGGAAAAGGTGTTGCAAATGACTGGTCGAGTATTAGAAGCTCTGGCTGCGTGAGAGCGGAGTGGACATGACACATACCGTATGTGGTTCTAAGATCTGTCAAATTATAGTAGATATGATCAATGACGAACTACCTTTGTATGAACCTCTTCTGCCCGACGCCATCTGATAGCATCACGCATGCTTACAGTTGAGACCCTGGGCATCAAGAAGCACTTAATATAGTCATAGTCCCGCGGGTTCTATCCTGTTACCCAACAATACAGCGAGAAATGCAGCTACAACAGAAAAGAGAGCAAATGAATGTTACATAAACCCACCATACACTGTTCCAATGCACCAAACACATCTTTAGTCCATCTTTCTCGGGGTCATGTAAACATTCACAGGGCCCTTGCTCCAAAGGGAGAAAGCCTGGCTCCTGTAGTCCCAACCCTCTGTACCTTCAGCAGCCTTGAGATCATATTGAAAGATCACACGAGCCAAGATAAGGCGCATCTCAGAATAAGCAAGACTTTCGGGGACGTTAGCTGCTGTTCATCCAGTGAATGGGCTTTGAGACTTACTTCTTGCCAACACAGTTACGAGGACCGGCAGAGAATGGTTGAAAGGACTCTCGCCTATCATTTGCAAACTTGGGGTCGCCAATCCAGCGTTCTGGGATAAACTCTTCAGGCTGCTTCCAGTAGTTTGGGTTGCGGAACAAAGCCCACTGCCAAACCTCCACATAGGTCTGAAGCATAAGTCAGATTCTGTTCATTCATACCTTCATGAGAGGATAAGATCAAAGAGAGCAGCAGTGACTTACACCCTCCGGAACGTATTCTCCAGCAACAACAGCACCACCCTCTGAGATGAGCCGTGGCAGACTAGCGGCAACAGGAGGATACAAACGCATGGCTTCATCGATAACCGCAAGCATGTACGTAAGATGCTGGACGCTCGTAATGGTAATCTCTTGAGGGCTCTTGAATGTCGACCGCACTTCCTGAGCAAGTTTTGCTTGAACATCCAGGTTCAGACTCAGGAAGTAGGCTACTGCGGACAGAGCAGTGGCGGTAGTCTCCGAACCGGCGATGATGAGGATGGAGGCATTGGCTGCGAGCTCTTCGAAAGTGAGAGACTGTATACCCCAGTTTTAGCTTCTCTGCTTCATCGCTACTAAGGTTGGAATAGCGCGGATGTGGGATTGATTTGACCATACCTCTCCGTTACGCTTTGCAGTCATTGAAGTGATAAAGTCAGGTCTGTCGGATCCGGTATCGAGACGTTTCTGAACCTTCATGGCGGACAGGCGCTGGTTCTCGACATACTTCCTCTGCAGGCCCTTGGGCATGATATACTTGATGACCCACCTGGGTATCATCTCGAAGTGCTTAATGGTGCCCATCCAAACCAGGGCCTTAACACTATCAAACAGTAGCTGGATCCAAGGGTCGTAATTGGTGCTCTTCAGACATCCAAATGACTCTCCAAACGCCAAGTCGCCGATAACGTCAAACGTAGTGTAGTTGAACCATCGGACCATGTCAACCGGCTTTGACCCTCCTTCAGCTTGCTTCTCAAGGGCTTCCATGAGCTGTTCGACGTAGTCGTTGATGATGGGCTCCTGGTCCAGCATGGCCTGGTGAGAGAATCCATTTGCGAGAGCTCGCCGGAAGCGAGTGTGATCGTGGCGATTGGCACCGATGATGTTGTGCACATTCATCTCCTGGCGGAAAGGATCCTTGCGATGCTCTGGTTGTCCGGCTTTGCGGTGACCACGGATGTCGTTCACAGCATCGGGATGATTGAAGGAGAGGAAGTCGGGAGCTATACGAACAACGGGACCATACCTGAGGTGAAGGTCCAAGATCTCGCGGTGACCAACGCCGTTGAGAAGAATGCGAGAATAGGGGATGCGAGAAATGGCTGCGAATTTGGGACCAGGGAATTTGCTGAGGGGGTGGAAGAAAACATTGTATATGCAACTCCATACGAAGTAGCCCAAGCCCTGGGTTATTGACATGTTTTAGCTGAGATTCTTAGGGATTTCTGAGTCTTGGGGGCTTGACATACCAGTGCTACCACAGCCAGCGGGAGGGCTACACTGAGCTTTACCGGAGGCTCGACGCCCAGAGCGTCGCTTCCAAGGAGAACACCCATCGTATAGTGTTTCTGATTCACTACCTCCGAATCAAGCAACAAAGTTTACTATATGCTGAGATACTTTCATGGATGGGGAGTGAGTATATTGGGTTGATGTTCTTCAAGTCAAGAAAGGCGGCAAATGGATATGTCTTATATGCGAATTGGCATTGACCTGAACCATCATCTGGGCATTTTCCCTTCGTCCCAAGTCCGCATCTACTCCCTACTTTGTGCGAATCACAAGGGCACATACGGAGTAGTATCAAAATTGCACGACCTAGTCCTGGCCGCCAGACTCTCGCAGCCATCTCGTCGATACACAACCCGTTCGAAATGGCCCCAGCAACTCCGCGGCGACCCCTTGCAATGCATCGGAATCCGGTAGCTAAACCACCTCAAATGCCTGAATCCTCAATCCACCCCCTTCTCGGGAGTTGCCAATAACCCGGAGCTGCATTGTCTTGAAGAGGCATTGCCATGCAGGGTGACTCGTGGTAAAGGGATAGCCATTGATAGTAATTTGCGAAAGGGGAAAGTCTTGAACAGTTTAGATGCTTTGTCCGTGGAAACTCCTCGGAGTTCCAGACCCCCGCAGATTGATGCGAACCAAGATCAAGATTTGGCCCCTGTATCGATCAATTTGAACAAACTTGGCCACGGTATTCTGCATGTAACCCCAAGGATCAAATGGATGCGGCAAAGACGAGGAACCTCTGGAATAAGCCGGCCGCTGGACGAGTTTTAACTCTATGAGGTCTTGGATCTGACGCCACAACGCAGATCTATCGTGTCCAAACCGCGTATTTGCGGAACGGAAGCGTAAGACGCATAAGCAAAATCCGCATTTGTTGCACCGATTCCGCGTATAGTGTTTGCGCAACCTGAGTGTCAAGGGTGGCATAGCTCGCAGATACGGCCTTCGCCCCTTTACACTTGCGCGCCGCGACTGGAACCATACAGTAGGACTGGGGGAAGTTGTGTCTCCCTACTCCGTACCAACATATGTAATCCAAGGTGCACGACCGTCAACGAACAACTAACACGAAGCGCCCAATATTCGAGTCCGAGTCTAACAGCCCTCTTTGACTTACAAGTTGCCCGTTGCCAGGTGTATAAGTGGTAGGTTAACATCCCAGAAACTCATATTGAACAACGGCCGGCAAAAGACATCAATCGCGGAACTCCACCCAGCCCAGATTTGGCACATTACTCGCGCAGACAGTCTGATGCTACAGTACCGTGTCAGTTGCTTGCGCGCCGATGCCGAAATAGGGCAGTGGTGACAGCGAAGGTGGTGATGCGTCTCCCTACCATTGGACCGGAGTCTTCGACTCCGATATAGTGGACCGGGATTCAGAAACCCGGCATACCTATGGAGGAGTATTGCGTTCACTAAAAGCAAACTCGGCGCCTGGCGAGCATCGTACAATGTAACCGGGGCTTCGCTGCCCGTCTATCAATATGCCAAGAAGATGGATAAGGGGGCCCAATCCTCGTAATCACGGCCAAAAGCGACGTGGCGATGGAGTGTGTACGACATTGGTACCCTAGGTTTGGGCCCGACTTAATGCGGTTGAAGGTGCTTTTCAAGACAATGACATGTATTCACGCCTCAAGGAAACAGGAGGTCCCAAAGACAACTTAGCCAGAATAGACTGGTTGAAGGTATTCCTGTCCATGTATCTCAGGGCCATTTGCCGGCAGATTTCGACACCAGGTAATCAAGGCCAGCTGTATTCATGATCGCATGTACTCGGTATATATATCGGGTATTCTAAACTTGATTTTGCTCCCTGCGCCTCTATGCCGCAGTCTGAAGATTGTTGAAAAAGCTCCCGCTCTCTCTGCAAACGCCACACGCTTTGTACTTTTATTGACAATTATGACGATTACACCTCGTTCACGGCGTCCTTGAGGTCCTTGACGTCTATCTGCCCTTCCTTTGCTTTCGCGGCTCCGGGGTGTCGGCTGCCCTTGTCCTTGACCTTCTTCTCCTTCTTCGGTGGCGGGGGGTAGGCCTTGAGAGCAATGGCCTGCCATTCCTTGGAGGCCTGGAACTCCTCCTGGATCGGGGCCAGGAGCTCGTTTAGTGATTTTGTGACTGCCGCCTTGAGAAGTTGCGGTGACAACTATTTTCAAAGTCAGCGTGTGTCCACCGCGTGCGTATCTGATGATACTTGTACATACCACGTCACTCCTGTAGTCCTCATGCATCTGCTCAATACTGCTGTAGACCAACGGCTCCAGGCCGTCTCTCTCGCGCTCAACAACAAATTCCCGCTTTCCGCGCAAGCCAGCTGCCGGCAGAAGGACGTATTCGACGAAAGCCAGGATGCCGTTCTCCTCAACCACCTTGGGGGCAGCAACGGCCTTTTTGATCTTCTTGGCGACGACATCCGGGGCGTCCAAGAGGTCGATTTTGCTGTCTGTTCACACTGCGTCAGCATCGCGCCGCATAGCAGCCATCTTCAATGCGAATTTGCTTACCCTCGTCACTTGAGCTCATCTTGGCGCCCTTAAGACCGGGAACCATGGGGTTCATCAAGTGGCAACGCTGTAGAACAGGGGTTAGAATTGCTGAGTCCGAGTGAAGCATCTTTGGACACTCACCTCCTTGTACCCCAGCTTGGGCAGCCAGTCCTTGGCGGCGATAAACAGCTTGCGCTGGTCAAGACCTAAAGCATGTCAGAACAGGCGGGGTCACTGACAAGACAGTAATGAGGGCACATACCACCGAACTGAGCATCGACATCCAGGTATTGTTCATCCAGAACCTATAAATCCTCTTGTTTAGAATCGGATCTTGTCTTCTTGCATCGGCGAGGCCGCGTACCTGGAGAATCGGGTAGAGCAGACCAGACAGCGGCGCATTGTCCGTCTGCTTGACCACTTCGGCACCGGCGCGCTTGGCGTCGTGCTCTGAGATGACTGATGACAGCTTGTAGACGTCCATGATGTATTCTGGGCTCTTCTGGTACGAGCTGCCCTGCACAAACTTGAGCTTCTCGGTCGAGACGCCCACGGCCTTGAAGATGGCGGTAATGACATAGCGGTAGAAGTCAACTCGGTGCTCGACCAGCTCGATGGGCGCCTTGAGGTTGTCGAGGAAGCCGTGGATGTCGGCCAGCAGGATCGTCACATGGCAGCCGGCAGCCAGATACTGGGCGATCTTGATAGCGGGAACAAAGTAGCCGCAGTGAGGCCGGCCGGTTGTCGCAGTGCCTGCAGGGGAACAGCAGCGGCCACTCGTTAGCAACAACGTCCATCTTGCAAATTAATACCCTCGCATTCGTGCCAAACATACCCCAGTAGATCTTGGGATGGCGGCCCTCCTCCAGGATCTTCTCGATGATCTCCGGGTTCAGAATCTCGGTCAGATTCTCGCGGATCAGGGCGAGCCTCTCTGCGGCGTCTGCGGCGGCCATGGCGCTCCCCGTTTCGATGTTTATGACTCAAAGAGATGTCTTCTTGTACTCCGTTTTATCTTCGGTAACGCGATTCGATCGTGCAGCGCTTCTCGTCGTCAATCGTCGGTATGGCAACTTTTCTGCTAATATCAAGCCAAGATAAAAAACGTCCGTGTTATCGCGGGGCAGATTGACTCACAATTGGATTTGGCGGGGTGATTTTTTGCGGTTCGGCCTTTCATCGGACCGCAGGTACGGACAGCCAGGTATCCTTTTCAACCCATCCATGCGAGGCGAGAATGTCACCTTATGTAATTATGATGAGTCATCATTGCCGCCAACTGGAAGTTGGTTCCCAATCAGAGCGCGCCTCTTGTATCAAACCTACCTAGTAGAGAACAGAACAGGTAGGTATTACATACTCCCTTTCCGTTGATTCAGTGGTATGTCCTTGGATAATCTGCATTGCTGAATCTTCAAGTCCCTCCCACTTCTTCTGCACTTCCATACTTCTCCTACATGAGCAACCCAGTTGTGGGTTGGCACTATACGGAATAATCATACATTAGGTACCTCATGAGACTTCAAAAAGGTGGGGGTTACTGATCGTGATTGTCAAAGTCCTTCCTGAGTATCTGGAGAGAATAGGAGTTTTCACATACCCAGGTACTTACCTGCTCGTGGGCATCATGGCGCGATGTCTGAGATCGATAATCGATACCGTCGGTAGTCTAGCTAGATTTCATATAGCCCATAACACTTGGCTACGAGAACAGCACTTTGATGCACCAGCACCTTCGCACCGATGCTTGCAATAAGCTGAGACATACATATCCTAATTATCTCCCTCATACGTGATCTAATAAGCATTGAATTTTTCAAATCTGATGACTTTTGTCATACCTATCTCTCATTGTGCCCAAATTGGGCTGGACCCAAATCGGGTAGTACCCAAATTGGGCAGTACCCAAACTGGGCAGTACCCAAGCTGGGCAGTACCCAAACTGGGCGGACCTCTCTAGCAGACTGCTTTTTAAGTTTGTCTTTGATAGCAACTCGCTGAACAAACGAGATTCTTTTCACATATGTCTAGAGCAAAGTATGCAGTCAAGTTGATGGTGTGAATGTTTTAGGGATCCCCTCTGCAGTTCAAGCTCGCCTGAAAATGATATTTGAAGTACAAGTCAACAGAGAGAAACAGGATAAGAAAGCCAAGGATCCAGTTTCCTTCAATACTCTCGAGACCAGATGCTGCTCACTGCTAGTCTAGCGAAGACAACAGTAATACTGCTCCAGTCCAAAGCACTCTCAAACATATGCACACCTACTCTTACGATGAATGAGCTCCGTGAAATCGAACCATTAGCGACGAGGATCTCGACAGACCTTGTACATTCCACAGGCTTCACGAGCATGAGTCTGGTCATCAGAGTCCGGGTTCGTGCTCGGCAAATCATGATCACGGATGTGCTCTTCCAGGCCAAGCATCGTGTGTACTTCTTTCATGCGAGGAGCTTCAGTGATAACTAGAGAATTATCAGTTAATCGCAGTTCTAACTAAGGTCTGTGACGCGCTACGCCGTTTCACAAATGCATGAACTAGAATGCATGCGTGTTCAGAGCGTCTTCTTTAGGCTCCTGGACGAAGTGTGCGACAAATTTGGTCCGCTGCTGCTTCCAATATGTTCACTTCTTCTTGCATGTCCTAGATGCTTCGGCATTCTCAAGGGATGCAAGCGCGGTAGCGCTCAAAGTAGTCACTTGCTGCTGTACTGTATCATAATGTTGCTGTCGCGAATGTGAGATTACGGTCCCCATTCTGTATGTAATCACATTGCTATCATCATTCTCATCCCATTCTCTAGACACTGATGACTTGTGATGACGGCCAAGGGCGAGCAGCTGCTTTTTTTTCAACGTTGAACAGGCGCAACCTCTCTAGCAAACACATATGCAACTGCCTCCACCAATTGAAACATTGAAGCGACCGTGACGATGGACGAGCAGCAACCAACAAGCTCGTGGCTCAGCGCATGGCCGCAGTACGTAAGATGTCGACCAGCTGCTGAGTCCGGGGTTCTACCTTTCGGATGGATCCAAGGAGTCTCATTAAAGTTACGAATATGTTGTCGGCTATGATCCGCTCGTATGGGAGCATAGTGGAATAACGGGCTAGAGACCTCGATAGATACGAGTACTACATGGTGGTACTATACGGATATCGAGTCGGGCTGGAGGAAATGTCGTTGGTCCTGTAACACCGGAGTATGAAGCCATGTGACGAGCACGTGTGCTCTTTGTTATGGGCTTCTACAGTTGGCGCAGGCAGTTGGACACTGCTGACTGTAGATGATGCTGCCAACAACACGTGCTGCTGGGCGGATTTTGCCATTGACATTGATAAGGCTCGTGAGAAGTCTTACGTGACTTGCTCAGAACTATATACTAGTATATTACTCCACGAACCAATCTCCTATCTGCGTTGTGGCCTCAGCACGAGTCAGGCCGATGCCTGCTGTTCGCCCACTACGGCAAGTCCTTAGCGAGCTCTTCAATGCGACAGGGATCGTCAAGCAGCCAAGTCCAATCAAGGAAGCCGAGCCAAGCGGCAGATTTGTTCCTGGTGTCCTTGTAGGGATCTTGTGTAGATCGTGTTTGGGGTCCCTGGACGGGTGGGCACACTTCTCCTTTTTCCTGCATCCCAAGGAAACATGATGGCATAACACTGGGATTGTACTTGCACATACGCGGTGCTTACTTCGTTGGCCGATGAGCTGCTTAGAAGAGTCGCATCATCGGATGGACTGAACTTCTTACCTCTTTCCAATTTGGAAGCCATATACATGCAGTTTCAGGCTGGACACTACCTCTAACATTGATAACGCTGAGATTTTTTTTCATAGTATGGGCAAGACCATATACTATATGTGTAGAACATGGGCTCGCCGTCTCCCGATGCCAATCCGGACCATCAGAATCTCGTCTAGGCAAAACGAAGTCTCAGACGCGTCAATCCCAACCAGCTTGCGCGGCTGCTCGAGATTCTCAAACGGCGATCTCCAGCCAATCCAATCTTACCATTACAGGCCAAGGGCGAGGCCAAAAGAGACATTCGCGACACCAATGACGTCTCAAACCGTCCCGTTCATGTTGCCGTGGCGCGGGTGGACCGTTGGCATGACGGAGAAAAGAAGCACGGCCCACAGAAGGCGAAAAACTTGGCTTCAGGCTTTGTTATTTTTGTCTTGGTGCGGCGATTCTCTGGCTCCGCATGGACTGTTACAGATGGGGCGGCGATGCTGGGACTGGATCACACTGTATGGGGATTGGGGCAGCTGAGTGAAATGGTGATAACGACTATGTGGTTGATGGAAGAGTTGACGACGAGGAGCAGAGAGGGTGAAGCCATCAGGAGATGGCTCATGAGGGCCTTTTCGCAGTAGGTGCCCTATCCGACATCAGTGCCGGCTGGCCATGTTGCGTATCATCAGGGATCGCAGAGTTGAAAGACAGGAGAGGGAGCCCTTTCCCTTACCCCTGCATGCTCGCCATGATGTACAGTATGTCCATCTTTCTGACTTATCCAGCGGTCAAGGTGACCAAGCTGGGTATCTGTGCTCGGGTCAGACGGCCAGCCAGAGTTGCATCCAGCGCAGGTAATGATACCTTCCAGAGTGATGGCCTCGCCTGTCATGCACGAGTAAGAAGGCACAGTAAATACAGTACAGCACAGTACTATACGCAGAGAAGCCGCCGAAATGACCCCTGGCATACAATTGCGGGCGCCTGTGGGGAGAGCGCGGCGATCAATGGCGAGTCCAAGGGGCGAGGCTGGAATTGCGCGGTTTTAGCAGGGCGAGGGAGATGATTTGACCAAGGAAAACGGAGACCAAGACGTGCTGCCCCTTTCTTCAGAAGCCGCCTGCCTGTAGATCGCCATGTCGCTGACTGCATCTGGCGGGCGATGGCATCATGTACAGTGTAATCTCCTCCTCGACGTCTCTTCTCTCTATCCACCGCTGCAGGGCAGTTCCAGCAATGGCTCTTCTCAATCCAAAGCGTCGTCCAGTCCTGGAGTCTTTTTTCGCCGGATTCTGCCCTGGTGCGACAATAAAAAGCACACAAGCCCGTCCCGAACAATCAAAGATGCCCGGCACCGGCTGCTTATTGTCCTGGCTATTCCTCCGTAGCTCGCATGCCTTAGCAGCCCCAATAGCGGGCCGCAGCAACCATCGTGAAGGCCGTGAGCTGCCTCATTCGGCTCCGCCAGCCAACCAGGCCGAGGGCCAAGCTTCCGGCTAGCTGGTGACAGGGGATCGCAGCTGCGGGCTAGGGCGAAACGAGGCAAGGCATCGTTGGATGCAAAAGCTTGTTCGCGATAGGGTCGGTTTCTGGCTGTCTGCCCCGGATCGTGAAACGGCTCGAATGTTTTGCAAGCGGCGCTGGATCTGGCATTCGGCTGCAAGCAGCTCCATGCCTTACAGTTGAGGCACTGGCCTTTGTACGGACGACCAGGCGGGCTGTGAAAACTCGGCCTCGGGGACGCGAATACAACGTGCCAAATCCTGACGCCTCACTGGCCCGTCTCTCTGCCCTCCTCCTCCTCCCGTGGGCACCTAGACTTCCAGTTGGAACCTTCTCAGCGCCTCTGACGATTGGATAACTGTACGCCCGCTTTTCCAGCAGCACTGGAAGATAAGGCACCTGAGCGAGAATGGAAATACAGTGCCGCAGGGCAGCCGTGTACGGAGTACTCTTGCCCACGAACAGCCCGCCGTAGTCGTAACCTGCCGCCCTAACGCTTTATGCGCAGCTCCACGCCGATTACTGTTAGCAACTGAGTGTCTTCCCAGCGTCCTTGTACCTGCTGCCCTTCTGATAGCCTCGTACCTCCCTCCCCCCAAAGTCTGAGATGTCACCACCGCCCCATGCTGCATCCAAAACACCTGCCCCCACCAAAATCTTCCATCTTCCTCCCCTGTCCAACGCCAGCCAGAGAAGAGAAGAGAAGAACCGCCTCGAGATCAAGTAGAATCCCTGCCTGCATGGGTCGACCCTCTTTTCATCAACGTGGAATTCCTTTGACTCGCCTGCTCTGGCTTCTGGCTTCTGGCTGGAGCTCCTCCAAGGCACTGAACCGCCGCTCTCTTCGTTCTTCCTCCTGTCGTTTGCCTTCCACCTGATCCGATTCCTCTTTTATTGTTTCTCCCTCTTCTCCTCTTTTTTTCTCTTCTCCCTCAAACCACTCACACCCTCCCTCGTTCAACTCTCGTCGGCTCTTCGATTTCGACGAAGCGACACACTCTTTATTCCGTCGACAAGGGCTCGAGTCCAAGGCCGGCTGTTTGCGTGTTTGCTTGCATCTCCTCGTGTTTCTCAACCCTCGAAGCAAGCTTTCTCGAGCCAGATCGATTGTGTCACCTCGCCCGTATTCTCATCTTACGGGAACCGCGTTTCGTTTGCACCGTTGATCGGGCCCATCGCCTATTCCCTTCCGATTCTCTACACTCGTTTCAGGCCAGATTCTTGCCTTTGACGATTATAGGATCCTATGACCCAAAGTTCATCGCAACTGGAAGCGACAAGTTCCACGATCCTCTCCTCCGAGAGCACGTTTTCTGTCATCAAGCAGATGCTTCAGAACCCAACCCGCTCATAAGAGACGGGAGATGCAGACAAGCCTCGACTACAACAGCATCTCTAGGATGGGCGTCAAGATGCTGCCCGGCCCCCAGCGAGTCATCAGCATGAAAAGCCCCATTTTCCGCTCCATAGTGGGCGCCCTCTGCGTCTTCATCATCATCATGGCCACCATGAAGAGCGAGACGTTCCACATTCACCACAAGATGCTCGAGCAAGCCGACGCCAGGGCCGCATCCGAGCCTCATGGCAACCCCCAGCAGCCTTTAGACGCCGTACCCGCTCCAACACTTGGCACTGAAGAACCCAGCCCTGCCAAGACCAACTACAAGATGGATTGCAACTCCGACCTCGCTCACCTTACCCAGATCAAGGACCGCTACAAACTCGAAAACAGGTTCCAGTACATGAAGCGCTACGTCAAGTTCACTCGCAAGGAAGGCCTCGAGCGCAAGCGAATGACCAAGCTCTCCCAGAACCTGCTCACCGACAGCTTCAGAACGGTCGACCTGGGCGCAGGCTTCGGCGGCGGCGATGCGTGCGCAGCTCCCCTGGAGGTCGATGTCCCCGCGTCGGATTTCCCTCGCACCGTCGATGCCTCGGACTTCATGTTTGGAGTGTCGACAACGTACAAACGCTTCATGGATCCCAACACGACGCCCATCAACGAATGGGTGTTCTGGCTCACCGACAGCCAAGGCAACTCCAACGGCGGCAAGCTGCTTCTCATGCTGCTCGACGCGACGGACGAACAGCTCCAGCAGGTAGCCGACATGCTGGGCGACGTGGGCATCGACGTTGACGTCTATCACTCCGACTCGAGGGTTGAGATGGCTGTTCGCTATCTGACACTGGTGCCGACCCTCTACACTCATCCTGAGTCGGCGAGCAAAAAGTGGCTCGTCACCTGCGACGACGACACCTTCTTCCCCAGCATGCACGGTCTAATCGAAAAGATGAGCACCTTCGACCACACCAGGGATATGTACATCGGCACCTTGTCGGAGGATGTCGGTGCCATTGAGCGCCACGGCTCCCAGGCCTTTGGAGGAGCCGGCGTCTTCTTGTCGCGGTCCTTGGCTGAGAAGATTACGGGCCTCTTTGGCAGCTGCACCACGCAGGCCAAGATCCTCGAGTCGAACTCGGGCTGGGGCCCTCAGGGAGACATTATCCTGCGCAAGTGCATCTACGAAAACACCGAGGTACGACTGACGACGCTCTGGGATCTCTGGCAGCTCGACTTCTTCGGCCATCCCAGCGGTTTCTACGAATGGGGTATCAAGCCCTTGTCGCTGCATCACTATCGCGGCGGCGGCTGGCACAGCGCCAAGCCTGCGCAGTACACCAAGATCGCCCACTCGTGTGGTGAGGACTGCACCCTCATGCGCTTCCAGACGACGGACGACTTCATCATCTCGGGCTACTCCATCGCCCACTACCCCCAGGGCATCACGTTTGACACCAACCAGATGGAGGCGACTCTGTACGCTGCGCCCGAGAACAAGGGCTGGAACCTCGACTTCATGTTTGGGCCGCGGCGGCAGTCTCTCCTCAAGACGGGACGCAAGATCGCCTGGGAGCTCCAAGAGTCCGAGATCCAATCAGACGGTTCCGTCTTGCAGACATATACCCGGAGTAAGAATGACGAGCGATGGGTCCACTATGACAAACAGCCGATGAGCAATATCGACGGTGTCATTGAGCTTGTCTGGATCCCTTCATAGAAGCCGCACGACTCGATGCGGTGCGACCCTGTCCGCCCCCTTTGCCCAAGTCAGGAGGATAAACGGGTGCCGTTGGACGGCATTGGACTGTTTCCCTCCCTGGTGTCACCATGGTCGAACGGAAACGCCTTTCCTGTATCGTCGGCTGTATAACGCACCGAGTGATGCAGCATGGCTGCCTACATCTTGCGGGTTGGTCTCATCTGCTCTCATGGGTGGAAAACTCAGTCTGGCACGCGTTTCATCATGATGACGGGCTGGAGGTGGAACCGACACTGGTGTATATGTCATATCGCACAAGCAGCAAACCTAGAAGTATCTGTTCTCTGATTTCTTTTCTTTTCCTTTTCTTGTTCAGGGATTCGGCGTTCCGGAAGGCAGGCTGGATATCGATATCTACATGCATCCCGTCTGATAAAGTCGGAGAGAGCGGGCTTGGCTGTGAAGCACCGACAGCTCGAGGGGTTTTTTTTTTCCTTCTTTTCCCTTGTTGTACTGTCAACATTTTGTCTTTTCTTTCGGCCTGGAACATGGGGCTATGGGATGTATCATGTCATTTGACGTAGACTTTTTTGCGATGATGGCCTAGTGCAGCGCCACGTTGCTCCGAATTTAGACGATACGGAAACTCTGGGATGTGCTTCAAGTGACATGATTGACAATCTGGGTTGACGGCCTGTTGAGCAACGAGTGCTGTTTTGCCCAGGCGGTTGGTGTTTGGTCAAGAACAAAGTGCGTAAAAGCAATACAAGCATGTCGTTCAGTTGGGCAAGAAATGAGTAGAAACCGTCGAGAGTCCCAAAATATCTTGGAGTCACTGCATTCAAGGTACGCGTGTATACGGCAAGTTCCACGGGCATATACAGCAAATTACCATATCCAAGTCCTTACATGGTAAACCCAATAGCAACCCTTTCTTTGCCCTTCAGGTTGTCCCGTCTCCGCGATGGTTTCAGGGTAAGGTGACGAACGGTACAGTAACAAAGACTCCAAAGACGAGCCCACGATCGGTGGAAGCAATGCGTCATGCTGAGTCATCGACGCCCCTCCGTGGGTAAACAGGCAATGCCCCGCCAACAGCCGTGAGAAGCAAAATAACATCATGACAGCTTCCAGCGCCTTGCTTTTGCTCTCCTGCACCGCTCCTCTCCCTCGTTGCAGCTATTCGCATTGTCCTACTCGAGGCTCGACGGCGGCCCGGCGCCCAAAATGTCCACGTACGTGACGCTATCGTCTACATCTCTCTGACGCTCTATACCTTACCTTGTCTCGTCTCCGTGTGTTCTTGTCTAACACGCTCACCTGCATCATGATGCACCTCACAGGCCAACCACCAATATCCTCAGCATCCCATTTCGCCGGTCGCTGCACCTGTCGCTGTCGACGACGATCCGACAGTACATCAACACCAAATATGACCAGCACCCGGACATGTTCCAGTATGACCTCGAGGCCATCGATGCGCTGCGCCGCGACGCCGTGAACGTGCGCGAGCCGCACCTGAGCGGCATCAAGAAGCTGCAGGTGTACGCGGGCCAGCTGGTGTGGATTGGCGGCAAGTTTCCGATTGATGTGCGTAGACGAAAGACGAGTAGGGGGAGGAGCAGGAGAAACAAGCGGACAAGATGCTGATGCTGCTAGATGAACAGATCGGCGCCGAGTTCACCTGGTACCCGGCCCTTGGCTACCACACCGACCGGCCGATGGCGCGCAACAACCTCAAGTACGAGCTCATGAATGTCCTCTACAACCTCGCCGCCTTGTACTCTCAGCTTGCCCTCAACACGCCCCGCGGCGATACCGAGGGTCTCAAGTCCGCCGCCAACTACTTTTCCCTAGCCGCCGGCGTCCTCTCCCACATTCAGAAAGCCGTGCTTCCCGAGCTGCGCATGTCCGACCCGCCCGACGACATGGACCACAACACTCTCGAATCGCTGTTGCAGCTGTTTCTGGCACAGAGCCAGGAGTGCTTCTGGCAGAAGGCAGTCATGGACGGTTACAAGGACGCCTCGATCGCAAAGCTGGCTGCGAGGGTCTCTGACCTGTACAACCTGGCGGCCGAGGCTGCGGTGAACAGCGAGGCCATTAGTAGTGCCTGGATACATCACATGAACGCGAAGCACCACCACTTTGCAGCAGCTGCCCAGTATCGTGCTGCCTGCGATTGCTTGGAGAAGAGAAGGTACGGCGAGGAGATTGCGCGGCTGAAAGATGCCGTCATCTGTGCTAATGACGGTATTAAGGAGGGCCGGGTTGCCCCCTTGAACAAGACGGTCATGGAGGATTTACAGGCCTTGAAGCGAAAGCTGGAAGAGGATCTGAAGAGGGCTGAGAAAGACAATGACCTCATCTTTCTTAGTACGTTGCTCCGCCTCGTCAACTTACGCAAAGATTGTCCCCAAAGCTGACAGCCACCAACAGATCCTATACCCCCAAAGGCAGAACTGAAGATCCTGGAGAGAGCCAACATGGCTGTTGCTCGAACGCCCCCCCAGGTAGCCAATCCGCTTGACTACCTAGGTGACCATGCCGAGCTTGGACCGGCACTGTTCTCTAAGCTGGTCCCGTTCTCGGTGCATGTTGCTATTTCCATCTACGAGGAGCGCAGAGATCGGCTGGTCAACCAAAACATCATTCAAGAGCTGGAGAACCTGACCGACAAGATCCACACACTTCTCAGCTCTATTGGCTTGCCAGGATCTTTGCAAGCGTTGGAGAAGCCTCTCGGCCTCCCACCTAGCTTGATACAACACGCGGAGGAGATTCGACAAGCTGACGCGATCAACAAGATCCAGAGGAGCTTCGCCGACATCGAAAAGCTGCGGGCCAACGACTGGGCGATTTTCGAGGAGGGAAAAGCAGCGCTGGCCGCTGAAGAGGAGGAAGACGAGCAGCTACGGAGGAAATACGGCACCAGCCGTTGGCGGCGCCCCGAGAGCCAAGCAGACCCCAACGGCGCGAAGTTCTGGGCCGCCATTAACGAGATAGGAGGCTATTTCCAGAATAGCGCAAGTAGCGACGAGGCGGTTCGAGACAAGTTCATGGCGAACAAAGATTTGTTGGAGATCCTGTCAGGGTCAAACCAGTCTCTGATGAACTACGTGCCCTCGAGCGCCCCCGTGGAAACCTCGGGTGACCTCAAGGCAGCTGTTGGGCGGTTGCGGAGCGTGTACAATGATGTTCTGCGGATGGAGAGTAGGAGGAGGAAAAAGGCTGAGAGCCTGAGGGAGGCAGCGCGGCGCGATGACATCAAGCCCGATATTCTCAAGGAGGCGGCTCGCCTGGAGCGAGCATATCCCTCAACGCCTCTGCAGACAGTTCACTTTGAGGAGTTTTTCGAAAAGCGACTGGATAAGCTGTACGAGCCAGAGCTCGAGGCCGTCGAAAAGGAAGCACAGGACCAAGAGAATCTGCTGACCCTGCTAGAGCGCGCAAACAGGGAGTTTGAGGCTCAGAAGCGCCTCATTGACGCCAAAGGGCACCGTGATCGCGAGCAAGTGCTGCAGAAGCTCAATGGCGCGTACTTCAAGTACAAGGAGATTGTGGCCAACCTGGAGGTGGGGAGAAAGTTCTATAACGACCTGAATAGGATAGTTGCACATGGCTTCCGTGATGCCGTCAAAGCATGGGTGGCGGAGCGGCGACTCGAGGCCAAGAGACTGGAAGAGTATGTTGTTTGCTTGGTAAAAAGCTCCATATCGGACTCCTTGCTGACGCTGTCCTAGGGAACTTAATATGCCGCCGCTCTCGGCTCTCAACATCAACCATCCGCAGCCTGTTCAAAACCCACCATCCGGTTTCGACGCTCAGCCTGTGGCTCACCAACCTGTCCAGCAGCTACATGACCAATACCAGCCTGCATACCAGCAGCAGACCTACCAGCAACCCTCATATCAACAGCAGCCGCTGCAAGCACAACAACAGTATCATCAGCCACAGCCAACACCACAACAACAGCCTGTCTATGCCAGACAGGCCGTTCAGAGTCCGGCCGAGGCTTCAATACAATCGTGGGCCGGAGGCCAAACGCAGCCGCCACTTCCGCAACAGAAACCGTCACAGCCTGGGCAACAACCAAATCAATCGGCTGGAACGTGGAATCCTGCCATGGGCATCAAGTTTGGAGGGCCATCGGCTGGTGGATCGTCTGGTCAGGAAGGAACATGGACCGCCGGTTCAGGGATTAGATTTGGCTGAGGTTTCACGTTCCAATGATGCCTGATTACCGACATGATGGAACCTTGAAAGCTGTACATAGTCAGCATATATTTGTGTATTATGATCTGCACATACTGGGGCTCGCCCGGTGTTCGAATGGTTGCTGATCTTGGATACATAAGGGGACTGCTGGAATGGATTACGTTTACATCGTGTAACCAGACTTGGGCATATTGATTCAGTGCGGCGTCTTACCCGATGCGAGCTTTCCCCAGGGGTTTCATTAGTCGACAGGATGTTTCTGGGCCAACGAGGGGTGAGACTTCTGGGGAAGGACATTTTATGTCATTTGAGGGGAGAGAAGTGAGACAACAGCACCCTTTGTGTCAGTTGATTGTTGATGACTTTAAAGCGAAGGGTAGCTGAGGATGACGATTTCGTCAAAATGCCTGCAGATTGCGTAGAATGGAAGGCAATCGTAGCATACCAGTTGAGGTGGTTTTCGGAGGCCATAAGCGGATGATGGTAACCCTCTGTTTAGGAGCAATGACAAAACAGGGGCGTAAGAACATCATCAGTAAGCAGAGAGGTCAATAGGATCTCTTAGAGTCTCTTACTCTCGTGACGTTAAAGATATCATGGAGTTTGGTGTAGAATTCTACCTGCGAACCGTTATATCTCGGATCGTGGCCCATGATGGCGATTTGCACTGGCGTCAGAACGGGAACATGTCTCAAACAGGTGCCTTTCACGGGAGGTCGACGGGATTACTCTTGCCTCGGCCGGATGTTTGATGACGATATAGAAGTTCAAAATCATTGCACAACCACTGTCCTGGAGTGTTACATGTTGTGGTGGGTGGTATTGAGGCTTGTATCCAGGGTATGTTCTGCGATAAACGAATGCCGATTGTGGTTTTGCAATCCCTCAAAAGCCTTGAGATGGTATGAAACTCGTTTTAGAAAAGAACAATAGGGGCTACGATTTGCATTCCCGTGTCTTCCTAACGCTATTGCGACAGGTATGTCAGCGATTGCCTGATGAATACAGTCTCAAGGAACATCTTGCCAACTGTAGCATCACTTGAGCAACACATCCTTGGAGATCAGTTGCAGTCTATTCATTCAGGCTCAACATATAAAGATGGGATACTTCCAACAGATGATAGTTGTCAAACAACCTCTTTGATCCTACACAATTTGGCCCAAGACACACAAGACGCTCACATCTCCTACCTAACCAAACAAAGAAAAAAACATCCACCAACTTCTCGAAAATGAAGCTCACCGCAACCACCATCATCTCCCTCCTCGCGAGCACCGCCCTCGCCGCTCCCACCGACCTGTCCTCCGACAGCAACACCCCCTCCGCCGTCTCCCCAGACGCATCACTCCCCACGGAAATCCACCTCGCCGACATCTTCTCCGACCGCCAAGTCGCCGTCCTCAAGGTCCTCTCCTCGCACAAGCAAGACCTCGGGCTCAGCGAAAAGGAGGCCGAGATCCTCGACACCTTCATGAAGGCCCTCCTGGACAATGTCAGCATCAACGTCAAGCAGCAGGCTCCTCCTGCTGATGGCACGAACATTACTACTACTACTACTACTACTACTGCTACACCTCCTGCGAATGTGACGGGTGGAAATACGCCTGTGCAGGGTAACGGCACTTTGATCGATCCGTTGAACGGCATCAACGTGACTGCGCTTGGGGGTCTGCTGGGATCTGCCCCGGGGACTCCCGCAAATGTGACGGGGGCTGCGGCGAATGCGACGGCGACGGCGTTGGCTATCTTGAAGGCTATCCCTGGGTTGGCGAGCTTGCTGGGCGGAACGACGGCGGGTGGTTTGGGAGGACTGACGGGCGGTCTTGGTGGTTTGACGGGATCTGGAGGATTGACGGGACTTGGTGGTTTGAACGGGCTGACTGGTGGCTTGGGAGGGCTGGGAGGACTCGGAGGACTGGGCAGTCTTGGAGGTCTAGGTGGACTGGGAGGCCTTGGTGGTTTGGGTCCTTTGGGAGGGTTGTTTGGAGGGCTGCGTCGAGGCGGGCTTCTTGGAGGAATCCTCATTCCCGGCATTCTGTAGACTCGGGGGCAAAGGAACTAGATATAGGGGGAAAGCAAGCAAAGATTACAAGAGTCAAGTAACAGACGTGAAGATGTAGAGAGTATCACAAGAGGCAATTAAGCTGGTCATTGAGCTTCGTACAGTTGCACCTCTTTATGCAATCTGAATGGCTTTGAGATATTATGGCTATTAGCAATCTGAGAATCTTACAGAGCTTTTCCACCTTTGTGAAACTTATCTCTCTCTCTCTGAATCAGCTTCCTGAGGCTTTAGAAAACTGATATATGTAAGGTATATCAGTATCTAATGATATTTCAGAGACCTTCCAGTTATAGGCTGAATAAAAAGAAGAAGAAGACGAAACAATATACCTGTAATTGTAGAGACACCTTGTGATGGAACAGGCCATATCTTGCAAGACTAGTCAGTTAATCTAGGCTCTTTGCCACAGGGGCAGGGGTAGCATTCTTGCATGCCGATTTGTGACTGACCTTGTGTACTTGTGTCTTTATCCTCATGACTGAAGTTCTCGAGAGTCCTTTTGATCATCTTGCGGTGGATCATATACACTTTTCCCCTTAGCTGCGTTACCTGCTGTTAGGAGACTGAAAGATATTACGATGCGTGAGCTTGTAGAGACTTACCACATTGCAAGGAAGATTGTAGCATTTCTATGATTGCTGAGTCGCCAAGTTGCCTCGCAACTTCTAGTGGTGTGGAGTAGCAGTCTCCCTTGAAGTCGGGCTGCGCGCCGTGTTTGAGGATTAACTCTACGGCTCGCTGGTTCTGCTCCTCTATCGCACATAGCAGCGGCGTCTTCTCGTCGTGTCAGTAAATCTAGAGGCTTCGTTTAGCCGACACAGACTCACACACTAGAACAGCAAAAACACTCGTTAGCACATCGACTATATGACCCAAGACAGCCGAACTCTCAAGGTTCACTTACGAACTATTATACCAGTGTCAGCTTTCCATGCATGGTATTGAGGGTATTTCGGGTCATCTTACGAGCTGTAATGCCAAGAAGCATTGATGAGAGCCTGGTTAGTCTGGTCAAAGGAGACGTGCAGCAAATTATGCTCACTTACACCCCCCTACAACACCAACCATGTGGATGTGTCAGTTATCAACATCATTTGGGAGGGTAGATGTTGAAGGTTACCTTATCCTGAACACAGATTGGTTAGTTCCATGGATCAACTGCAGGATGTGACTGTTCGTTTCATACTCGGAATGTATAATTCGCTTCTGCGCCCCTTGCCAGGAGCTCCTCGACAATATCCTCTGTGCCGCCTTGTATAGCGTAAACCAACGGGGTGTGACCACTGAGTTCAGCTGCATTTACGTCTGCCCCCTTCTCTATTAACATCCGGGTGATATCCGGTGTACTGGATCTTATGGCGTGAATTAACGGGGTGTGACCATCGACGTCGGCTACATTGATGTCTGCCCCCCGCTCTGTCAACATCCGGGCGATATCCGCTGCACCGCACTCCAAGGCGTACATCAAAGGGGTGTGACCGTCGACGTCGGCTGCATTGACATCTGCACCCCTCTCGATCAACACCCGGACAATATCAGTGTGCTTCCTCCCAGCGGCCATAGCGAGAATTGTCTTGTTCTTCTCGTTCAACACTTCCGTATCAGCACCACTGTCAAGCAAACGTTTTACAACAGGCTCGTGGCCTTCTTTGACAGCAGACCACAGAAGGTCACGACGAATGGTGTCTATCGCATGAGTATGAGCCAATCGTGTCAGTACGTTCGCTATATCCTGTTTTCCAAGGCAAAGCGCGTAAGAGATCGCCGTCCCTCCGATTCTATCCATGATATCAGGATTAGCTCTGGCCTTGACGAGTTGCTGAACAATATCAAGATGGCCGTTCCAAGCGGCATAAATCAGTGGTGTTCGATCAAAATAGTCCAGCACGTTGACTCTTGCACCCTCCCATGGTACTGGTGAACGAAAAGTCTTCTTGAGCGCGCTCTTGAGACGCGCTCTGAGGCCTTTAGGCCGCGCGTTGGGACCTTTGATCAACAGATTGACGATAGCGTCAAATCCGTTCTCGGATGCCCAAGAGAGCGCCGAACGCCCGTAGGTGCCGTCGACGGAATTTATAGCGATATCGTATAACCGGAGCTGAAGCCTTACAACTGATTCGAATCCAAAATATGAGCCAATCATCAGGGTTGTGAAGTTTTCGGGAAACTTGGTCTGCGTTTTTGTCCAATAAATCCTGAACCATGTCGGGACACGAACTGATGAGTCGCAGATCCGCAGCAGCTGCTCCGCAACGTCACTTTCCACCATATCGGACGCTCGAAAATGGGTTACCCAATGCTTTGAAGCATATTCCAGGAAGATATATCTGTCAAGATACTCTCCCATTTTGCTCTCCAATGTGATTGGCTCATTCTGATAGTCTGTAAAGAGTAGAAGCCATAGGCAAATGGTGCAAAGAATGCGGTGGGACTCGGACGGTTCAAGTGAGAACTTCCAGTGTCGTTTTCTTCGTACTAAAGGGTTCTCATGATGGTCGCCTAAGATTTCTGCTCGAAAGGCCATGGAGGCTCTCGTAACTAGAAACTCTTTCGCAGTCTGGTGGAGGAGATATATCTTCTTGTCTGTAATAGTGACGAAGAGGCCACAGATATGTCTGATATATGCGCTGACGCGAGCCTCAGGCCTGCCAGGCACTTCTTCGTATGACTTGTGACTGTGTTGAATGGCCAGTGCTAGATCCATTTCTGCGAGAGACAAAGGCCGTTCTGCCGCGACGACTATGTGAAGCAGCTTCTTAGTCGCTTCGGAATTGTCACTCTTCGCCAATATCTTCTCGTATGCTTCATCGACGGTTCGTGGGAGAGTGGAAATGGCCTTGCATATCTCGGACTCACTGATCTTGTGACTGATTTCTCTTTCAATCCATTCTAGAGTGAGGTAAACCCATAGGTACGTCTGGTTGGGAACGGCCTTGAGTCCTTTCAAAAGCAACCACTTCTCGTTGGCTGTGAGATGCAGGTTTTCTTGGATGCAAGACACCCTGTTCTCTATATATATATCAATCTCCCTCGTGATCATCCTTACCTCGGCATCGCCATCACCCTTTAGATGGATGACGGGTAGTCCCGGAATGTTCAGGGTGTTTATGAAGTCGTGTTTGATTTTGTCATAAGGGCGGCTTGTTATGAGAAACTTGAGGCTCGTCATCTTCTTGATGCTATTGCTTACGCCATAGAAGTGACACAGAAGTTGTGCAAGGTCTTGCCGCTCTTCGTCTGTACATTCGTCGAACGCATCAAGGATACAGACTATTTCGCCTGCGTTTTGCTGCTGGGCAGCCATCGCCAAAACATCCCACAGCTCCCAAATTCCGTAGTTGGCATTGTCGGAAACTGCTTTGTAAGATTTGAATCGTTTGATAACGTCCGAAGAGAGCAGACTGTCCTTTTGTGTGAAGAGCTGATGCAGGACGGAGCTGAGAGCAATCCTGGCACTCCTCTGATTCTCAAAGTCGTCCTTGAAAAAAAAGTAGCAAATCGTTCTTTGGTCTATGGCTTTTAGCTCATCGACGAGATACTTGGCCAAAACCGACTTGCCACAGCCGGGATTTGCAGAAACCCAGAGCATACAGGAAGACTTGCTGTTTCGCCAATCCTGAAAGTGGCGGTGGCCCATGAACCACTCGCAAGTTCCTGGGACACGGTCCGAATTCCGGTCCTTTTGCTGACCATATGGTAGCTTGTAAAGAGCCTGAAGTATCCCTTCTCGCGCAGTTCTTTCTGGATCTTTGGCGTTGGGAACTCGCGCTCTCCTATCCTCTTCATTGCATTTCAGGTAAGCAGAGGAACCGTAGCTGGGTTCTTGATACGATATGCTCATACTCAAGTCATTTTGTTCTTCATGGTAATGATTTATGATGTCACCGCCTGTGCTGATCTGTTGGCCCTGGCCGCTAAAATGAGACTGATGGCCCGTTCCACCCGGAGCAATGCGTTGATGATTGTTCGTCTCGATGCCCGATTCCATTTGGCTCAGGTTTTCTGCCCATGGGGAGTGTGGTCATGGCTTTCGACTTGGCCGTGGAGTACGATGACAACCTTGCCGCAGAGAGAATAATGATGACGATACAGAAACAGCCAAAGAGGCTGCAGACAGCGCGGGCAACCCCTAGAAAAAGTGACGCCGGCTGAGCAGGACTTACTGCAAAGAAAAGAAGATGATGGTAAATATGCCCCGCGTCAAAGAGGGGCTTCGCAGCATGAACTACCTGAACTGGTCGAAACGGGAGCCCGAGACGCCTCTACCAATTAGACAGCATATTCTGCTTCACCCTTGTCAATCGATCTCACAGAGGCTAATTGATGTACGGCGAGACTTAGAAGTAAAGTACATGCACGTATCCCTGAATACGTGTCGCGTTATCGAACCATCTATTTACGGGGCAATAGAACTAGTGGCTTGTCCGGAGCCATGATCCGTTCTGTCATTGACACATACATGATGAACTACATGTATCCTGGACGAAATGGATCGAGGTGCAGTTACGCTCTATGAGAACCCAGGAACGTTGGGCTGCGTTGGGCACAAAGGCTACGTCGCCCGAGTGGCAAAACAGCGCACACCAGCAGACAAACATATTGCTGTCTTCATTTTAAACGGACTTGAAGTTGTGATAGTTGACTCTGCAACGTGTCGTGACAGTAGTGACAGATAGCATGTGCATCTGTTTTCTACCATGCTTGAGTCGTCCAATATGCTTGTGTGCACAAAATAACAGCAAAGCGCACCACTAACACAATGTCCATTAGATGATACCTTAGCTATTATCCATCACTACAACCACGGTGTGCTACTATGATAATTTCTGGAACTTCTTCATCCATCCGTCATATCGTATCGTCCAAGTACAGCCTTCGTGACCGAGGCAGCGGCGGCCGCAGCGTACGGCTGCCACAAATCGTTTTTGTGGCTGTCAGCGTAATCACAAACGCCTTTTACGATGATGCAGGGAACTTCATCCCAGATGCCTGCCCCTTCCATTTCAAATGCAACCACGTTGTGTTGTTGAGCAAGCTGGTCCCGATGCTCGCCAGATTTCATCACCGTGCTTCCAGAGGCCATTTGCCCGACAAGTATTCGCGGCCGCAGTTCTTCTATGTGTTGTGAATCACTTGTCATTGTTGACGGTCTCCCCACCAGTTGATGCTCATCGCAGCCAAGTTTGACACATGACGTCCAGGCAGCCTCTTCGCAGAAGCCATCGGCCTGTTCATTACACAAGAGGCACGCTTGTGCGCCTCTGTGCTTATGCCTGTAAGTTGGCGGGAAAAGTTTGTCATTGTCTCTCCCAGGAAACTGATAGTTAGACTGACGCCGCTTCCGTATAGCCTCTGCCTGCAACACTTTGAGATGTGCGCATGCTTTCAGCTGTAACCGTTCCCTTCCAAATTCGCTCTCGCAAAGTGCAACTAAGCTTCTTATATTCTTGTTTGGTCTTCCGAGCCTATCAGCAGTGGTGCTCTTTGACATGAACGTTTCGGGGTACTGTTTGCCAAGGTCATACTGAACGGCGGATCTGCTGATAACGACATCGCCCAGACGAACTTGCATCGCGCCCTCGCCCGGTACGCCGCCACAGATACCGACGAGGAATGCAAGCTGTAGGCCGCAGTAACTGGATCGCAAGCTAGCTGCTGCCCCTGCAGCCGCAGCCGTGCCCATGTTGGGAAGAAGCGCCAGCACAACGTCGAATTTGCCCATACGGCCTGTTGTGTAGGAGTTCATATCCCCACGAGCACGGCCATACGACTCGTCATCATCCCATAATTGATCGAAAAGCAAAGAAACAGCATCGTACTCGAGAGGTAACGCGCAAATGATGGCGATTTGGAAATTCTCACGTCGACATGGTCGGCCTTGGTGATCTTTAACACTTTCGTGTATGCCTCCAGCATTTCCGGTCCCAGGGTGATCGCCCCGATGGCTTTCAGAGCTGCGGCCCGTATATTGACCACGGTTATGATTCTTTCCGTTTACATGGTGTGACGCAAAACGCCATGGATAATCCTGCCTCGGCGTCCCGTTGTCTTGCGGAGTTGGAGCTTCAAATGAAACGTGTCAGCTATCAGCTACTGAAACATTGTATCACAACCTGGTCTCCTACCAAAGTTCATTGATGTTGCGTGATAGTTGGTTATGCTTCCAATACCCGTGTTTATCTGCTGCCCCTGGCCACTATAATGAGATTGATGACCTGTTCCGCCGGAAGCGATATGCTGAATGAACTGATTTCCAGCGCAGCCGATATCTGCCTCCTCCACAGAAGACTCTACCTTGTACATCTCATCTATGGCATCTTTCAGCTCGGCGGTCAGATTATTGTTTGCCGGCTTGAGAAACTGTTTCGTGAATAATGCAAATAAGTGTTCTAGGATGCCCAGCATAAGAGCTTCCACAGAGTAGGATTTGCCCAGCTTTGGTAGAGTGATGCGATAACGATCCAAAACAGATATGTTCCCTATGTGCTTCTCTATGTCGGCTGCCACTTGGCTCAAGATTCTCTGTAGCATTTTTGCCCTCTTCTCGACACCAGCAATCAGAGGATAGACGGCCGCTTGAGAGGATTCGTCCCATGCTGGATAGTCACGAGCGCAGCGCAGGGTAGCCTGCGTGAGAGGTAGGTACTGGTTCACCTTTGTGAACTCATATGGCAGGTCAGCTAATTCCTCTATTTCATTCTCATAATGGGAGAGGATCGCCTGAATGGTGACAAGAGCTGACTTGATGATGCGGCGGGGCTCCATGTTGCCTCTCGTAAAGAAAATCTCAGGGGAGATGCGATGTGATTGACGAGAGCCCTATGTTCACACAGGCTCATTCAGGGACGCTGATGCATAATTTGACTAGAGTGAATATTGCATGGACTATGATCGCCTCCCGTACTTGATAGCTCAAAAGCAATTATGACATAGTTTGGAACTCATTTGAAGGCTTGGAGATGGATTCAAGAGCGCTATTTTATGGGAAGAGAGGGGTTCGTCAGATCCTACCTCACGTACAGAGGCTTATAAGTGATTCTTATGTCAGCGATGAGCAGAAGGCCAAGCGCGGCATACGCAATGTAATAGAACCGACAACCTCGAAATCATGATTGGCAAGACTCCAGCTCCAGTGCCTTGTAACATACATCTTGCCAGATAGACGGCCAGAACTGTTACAGTTATGGGTATGGACTGTTTATAAGGCCCAATTTATGTCACAGTAGAGCTATGAACTGCAACTGTGCAACTTTCGTCAACTCATTTCTGTAGGGTACGTCCATTCGAAGTCCACATGAGACGCACCTATCTACGCTCAAAGCCTGATGTGATCTGCGAAGAAGAATCGGCCAACCATCTTTACTCAGCTTCATGGTTATGGACAAGACAGATCAAGTCCCAACAGGAGTAGTAGTCTTTCCCGTGACCAGACGACTCGTCCAACATGCATGAGGTTGGCGCCATGTGTTCAGCCTCTCCCCTCATTCTCTGGCCCTAGATGTTTGGCACAAGTGGGCTTCAAGGCCGCACAGGCCTTGTTGCAGGCCTTGTGATGCATATCTTTTAAGCTTAATTGGCTCAAGGCAAGAATCCGAATTCCAGCTTGGCCGACTACAAAAGACGGCGCCGTGGCAGCTGAACGGTGTTTGGCGTCCCACGGCTCTGCTCGGAGACAGATTTAAGGACCGAGAGTTCTCCGTGTTTGTGGTGGAAAGGTGTCTGTACGATTCGCTCAAATAGGCAAGATTCAGGAAGCGGCAGAGATCCGTGGACGTGACAATCGCAAGGAGAAGGGGTCTTCTTGCTATTGAGATCGCCTTACATACTTTGCTCCTATACAAGGACAACTAGGTAGCATCCGATACGACTACAATGGATCACATCGCGGAACCTCCACCGAGCTACGGCAATCATTATCAACATGCGCTGCTTCCTCCGCCATACTACAGCCAGGAATACGCCCGTGTAGCCGTGGTTGGCGAGATGTGGACGGCAGATGGCATCCTTTCATCAGGCAGAGGACGATCGAGTATATTGTCAAGATTTTGGAGATGGATCGCAAAAGAACTGGCGTCGTCAACGGTCGTATTGTCGAATGGGAAAAGTGAGTCTGGTTCCCAACGCAGACATGGCGATGTGATGTTGACGTGCATAGATTCAGATATGTGTCTTGGTGCTTGTTGTCGCGGCTAAGTCTTCTTTTACTATCTTTCTTTCTTCACCTCGGGTTTATGGGAGTTTTGGTCACGGACTTACTACCTGTTGTCGATGTGATGACTTGGTCTTTGGTTGTACAAGTTTGGGAACACTCATTGAGCGCGATCATGTGTATAATGCATGCTGCCAGGTTATGCTCTGGTAGAGCAATGATAGCAGCTCATCCCCCTTGGGAATGACTTTTATATATAGCAAATTCAAGTCCGAGCGGCCCGCTCTTGTAAGTGCCAAGAGACTCAGAACTCCCACGTCTGTTCGACCTCGCGGGCATACGCTGAAATGTCATCCGGCTGCAGCGCGCTCCATCGAGACTCATTGGTCACGGCATCGAGATAATGCTCCAGCGCGAGAGCCGTCTGATGCGCCCACTTCTTCGCACTCACGCCGCCCACGCCTGTTGCCATGGGGACCATGAGCAGGCTGCGGATCTCTTCGTGCTGCTGCTGCTGTTGCGGCTTCGCATTGCGGACTGCGCGGTTGTGTCTGTCGACTGCGCACAACAGGCTCCAGATGCACTCGTAGACGACCTCGCGATCCCAGGTGACGCTCTGCGGGACGCGCATGGTCGGGCACAGCGCCAGGTACTTGGTGCCCCAGGTGTTCCTCGAGCGCGCGTGGAAGTCGTCGGGGATGCGCAGGAGCGTGCAGGTCCCCGGAGGAGCGAAGCCGCGCCACTCATCGTACAACTTGGCCTGGGCGGCCCTGGTGAGGGCGAGATAGTCGTCGCGAGGGGAGAAGGAGCGCGAGATGGCATCGTCGAAGCCGCCGTCCAGCCGGCCGTACGAGTTGGCGGGGGAGACGATGAGGTCGAACTCGGCCTCTACGAAGGAGAGGGCGCAGTTGTGGTATGTGATGGAGATGGATGAGAGGCGGTCCGACGAGGCGACTGCTGCCTGGAGGGCGGTGCTGTATATGTCGTCCATGCAGAGGGCGTGGATGTGCGGGATGGGAGAGGCATCTTGGAGAGCCGGCATTGGGAGGTTGGAGTATGGTTTGATGTGAGGGGGGAGGGTGCTGGTGTTGATGTTGATGCTGGTGAGGAGGATGACGGTGAGGCTGATGGTTTACTCGCATAAAGAAGTTCCCGTCGTGTGTCATGGACTCGACGCTATTATCCATGAGCAGTTGAAGCGAATGCAGGATTACATAACGCATCCTTCGTTTGTTTGTTCTTCATCGTAATACAGGGGTATCGTCGACTAGGAGAGCGGGCGGTCGGTCTAGTAGCAGGTTGTAAGCGAACTGCAAGCAAGCGTGTGATGAATGGAGCTACTCCGCAGAGAAGAGGACATAAATACTGTACGCCTTGGTCTCGGAAGGGAGACTCCATCCGAAGGACCCAACTTGCACGGCATTCGATGCCAAGAGGTTACATCGACGCCAGGAAATAGCCGGCAAGGCGGAGGAGGAGAGGGGACATGGTGCATTGCTCGGGCTTTGCGTGTGCTTTGGGTATGCAATGAGAGTCTATTCATCTTTGCCATCATGTCCGCTTGCCACTTTGTCAGGTCAATGAACTTCGATCGAGCTTGTAATAGATAGTTACATGAAGAGCTTGTGTCTGCAAAACTGTGAACCATCATCCACACGCACAAATGCTCTAGTCTCGCATACAGTTCATGCAACAGTTCATCCACTACCAACAAGTCCATCTCCGCCGGCCAACCGAAAAGAAAGACAGCTTCGCCATCGCATCCTCCAGCTTCCTCTTTCAACAAAGCACGCACACGCATCTCACCGCATACCTCCGTCATGCCGCATGACGCAGCGCGCCCTTGCCCAACGTCTCGCCATGAACCTTGTTGGCGATGCCCTCGCCATCTCCCTTGTCCCTCCTTGGCCCCCTCCTCATCTCTTTCTTTCTCTCTCTCTCTTTCTCTCTCCCCGCTTTCCCCCGCACTCCTTCGTTCGACGTGAACCCAAGGATGCGGCTCCCGAGGCAAAGATCGCCGTCAACGCCTGTTACTTTCTGGAAGTTAACCCCCCACCTAACGGCATCGGGAGTGTAACCGTGGCAGTAGCTTTCCTATGAAAGTAGGGTGAAGCCAGAAACAGGGACAAGGATGGCGAGGGAGATGGAATAAATAAATGAAATGGCTGGCCCGGGACGTGAGCCCTGAGACAGCCACCCGAGCCGTCGACTGATATCCCCTCGAGAGCCGCCGTTGCAACGTCCTCGCGGCGTCTCTGTTTCCGTCTCTCCCATCGGGCATCGCGAAAAGATGATCACCACCGCACGCACCCAAAGATGCCTCTGCACCTGTCTCCCCACCGCCTCATGGGCGCTGCCATTAGCATCCTGGCCGTGTTCCCCGCCTCCGCGTCTGCGGGCTGGCAAAGCTTCCAGCCTCAGCGCCGCACGGCCTCCTCGTGCCCGGACTACAGCAGCTATTCGGCTCAGCCGCACGGCCCGTATTCGTCTGGCCCTCTGAAGCTACCTTACATGAGGCCGAGCGAGGAGTGCAGGACGTTCAAGAGCCCGGCAGTAGAGGTGAGCGTCGGCATCCTCTGTAGCGTTGCACTACCAGCATTGCGTCTGGTTCTCCTTCCAATACTTGATTGAGGAACTGACAAGAGATGCCTTCCCTTCCGCACAGAAAGTGATTAGCGACTTGAAATCTCAACTCAAGGATCCGGACCTTGCCCGGCTGTTTGAAAATACCTTTCCGTCGACGCTGGACACGACCGTCAAGTATTTCGACCCGGCGCAGAACCTGGCATTCATCATCACAGGTGTAAGTTGATCTCCAGTTTCCTCTCTGTAACCCGCCCAAGATTTCCCCTGTCTGACTTTTTGCTAGGACATCACGTATGTATATATGCCTACATACTCCCAGCCGCCATTACTTTACGCTTCAAGAGAGCCTAGGCTGATCCGCAAAGTGCACAATGGCTTCGAGACACGGGCAACCAGTTTGCTCACTTGTACAAGCTTCTGCCACATGATAAGAATTTACAGGCTCTGGTCAAGGCGGTGATCAACACAGAGGCGCGGTACATCTCACAGTATCCGTACTGCGGTAAGCGTCCAGATTGGTGTCGGTGTGTTGCGAATGCGTGACATTCATCTGATGGGAATCCTCACCTAGGCTCGTTCCAGCCGCCTCCCGAGAGTGGCCTGGCTCCCTCCGTAAACGTAAGTCGTCTCATTCAGCTTCAGCACATTGTGAATTCTGTTCCTAACGGTAGTTACAGGACTGGGCAACCGGTGTCAGGGTGAATCCGTATGTACTCGCGCACCCGCCGCCACTTACACGAGAGGCAGCACTCCTATTAACGTTTGCGCTCCTTACAATAGACCCGTTGACAACCAGACGGTCTTCGAATGCAAGGTACGATGGCAGCCCCGGATCCCGCTGAAAAGAACCAGTCTTCTCACAGGCAAGCAGTACGAGCTCGACTCCCTCGCCGGCTTTCTCAAAATCACGCGCTCGTACTACGCCAACACAAAGGACTCGTCCTTTATCAACGACAACTGTAAACAAAGCACCCACCTCCAAGCAGACCCTCTTTTCAGGCTATCTCGGCTAACGCAAGTCATCGAAAAAGGGAACGCCGCAATGGCCCAGATCGTCAGGGTCCTTTTCGAGCAATCTCAGAGCAGCTGGTCGCAAGACTACCAATGGGTCAGCTACTACAACTGGACGGGCACAGCCGGCGCGCTCTCCCCAATGGTGCCCAACAGCGGCAACGGTGAGCCGAAGCAGGCAAATGGTCTGGTCGCCTCGAGCCACAGGCCTTCAGACGACCTCTGCGTCTTCAGTGAGTCTCTTCTCCCCCCTCGAGGCAGGCGTGCCAATCAACAGCAGCCCACATATTCATAGTCAACCCCCCTTCCGCTGACAAACCACAGACTTCATCACCTCCGACAACGCCATGATGTCCGTCGAGCTCGCCAACGTCGCAGACATGCTCGGGGCCATCGGCACCCAGAGGCCCCTCGCCAAGCAACTGATCCAGTACTCCGACACCATCAAGCAGGCCGTCTGGGCGCACACCCGCGCCGCCAACGGCATCTTCGCGTACGAGACCAACGGACTCGGGGCGCAGTACATCATGGATGATGCCAATGTCCCGAGTCTCGTCTCGCTGCCGTACCTCGGCTTCCTCAAGAGGAGCGACCCGACGTACCAGAAGACCAAAGCGGCCATGTTTTCGAGGGCGAACCCGTACTATGCCGCGGGAAAGTCGTTTGACGGTATCGGGTACGTCTGCTTCATCTTCTCTCTACCTCCCCTCCCCCTCCTCACCTCTACACACCACGTCAACCATCCTCTCTCTTCTGGTGGAACATGATTAACCAGCCATTACGACGGGCAACATCCGCAGCGGCCCCCACGTCAACGCCACATATCCTTGGCCCATGAGCCAAATCTCCGCCATTTTCGGCACCGACAGCGACCGCGAGATCAAGCAGCGCCTGGCTCTCATCCTCGGGAGCACCAGCGGCCTGGGGCTGATCCACGAGAGCGTCAGCATCTACAACGGGAGCTCATACACGCGCCCGTGGTTCGCGTGGGCCAACAGCTACTTTGCTGAGATGATCCTCGACCTCGCCGAGAGGAAGCCCGCCCTCATTTTGAAGTCTGGGCGGCCGTACAGGATTGGGCAGTGAGATGAATGCCTTTACGTGCAGCAAGGAAGGGAGCCAGTCAGTAAGGTAGGGAAGATGGAAACGCACAATCACGTCTTGCTCCTACAGCATGTGGTTGGCAGTGTTTTACCACTACAGTGCTTTTGCCGCGAGGAATATGCACCTGGGTCCCTGTAATTCTTGTATTCAAGCCACCGCACTTCTCATCAATTTGCAATAAGCTTGACTTGTGCTGATACGTGCTGCAGCGAGTGGCTCTCTTCTGCGTCTGATTCTTTCCCTGTTCCTTCTCAACCCTGTAAAACAGCTGAGTGACTATTCTGAGCGACTTCACCACTTCCATACTTTTACACCGCGCTCACATGCAGCAATTACATTGAACCTCCTCGCAACATTGGCATGTCAGACTCTGAAGAATTGATGATTGTTGGTATAGTTGGTAGTTTATCCCATATGAAGGAGGGAAAGGGGGGGACAAGTCAGGGCGCCTGAACTGGGATCTATTCATGCTATCTCTGGCTATCTCATCTCGGGCTACCCCGTACAGAAGCTTACCAGGCATCAAGAGTCGCCTGTCTCTTCCGAGTATTCGGCTGCAAGTCTTTGCCATCGCTCCCAGCAGCCACAGCTTGCTTCCCATAGGCGTCTGCATCCCTTTTGCTCCCACGGTCGTCACGGCTGCTAGTCGCTGGCAACGGGAACATAGCCAGCAGCTCTCTTCCAGCTGTCCCCCGAGAACTGCTCAATATCAAAATTCCTGCTGGCAAATCCTGCCGCTAGTTTCGTGCGTTGTTGAAAGATGAGCTTCAGATTACTGTGGCCGACTTGGGTAGAAGAGCTTCTGTCGTGCTTCCCGGATCTCGTGTTGGCTTCCGCCGCCGTCATAATGGATAAAGAAGTGACGCACGCAAAGCTACATCATCACATACGCAGACAGTATTCAAGTTCCTTCTCTCAGATTTACGATGCAGGAGAACGATGTGCCGGGTGATCAAGGCCTCGTAGAATCATACATGGTCTAACTCGGTTTCTTCGCCGCCTTTGTTTTTTTGCCTCTTGTGGACTAACGTAGGCGGCTTTTCGAGTCATTCGCCGCGAACTCACCTCGGGCTATACATATATACTCCAGACACCCCGCTAATACTTGATTGGCAACAATATAAGAGCACAAGTTGTCCATCATTCTGAACGTCATTTGACCCTATTCTTCCCTGTTATCAAATCGATTATCGGGCAACAGGTTGACCTAATGCAACCTGCTACAGACACACAGTACGATGTCCTCGTCACAGGCTCATCAGGCCACCTCGGCCACGCCCTCATGATCACCCTCCCGGCCCTCGGCTTCCATCCCCTAGGAATCGACATTATACCCTCCCCCACAACCGCCTGCGTCGGCTCAATAACAGACCAGCCGCTCATCGCCAGCATCCTCCAGAAGCACTCCATCAAGCACATCCTCCACGCAGCAACCCTCCACAAGCCCCACGTCACATCCCACCCCAAGAGCGACTTCATCCAGACAAACATCGCCGGAACCCTCACCCTCCTCGAAGAAGCCGCCAAGCTCGGCCCCCAGATCGAGAGCTTCATCTTCTTCAGCACCACCAGCGCATTCGGCTCCGCGCTGAGCCCTAGCCCGGGCTCCCCCGCCGCGTGGATTGACGAGGCCGTCATGCCCATCCCCAAGAACATCTACGGCGTGACAAAGATCGCTGCGGAAGATGTCTGTCAGCTTTTCCACAGGGAGCATGGCTTGCCTGTTCTCGTGCTTCGCGTGAGTCGCTTTTTTCCTGAAGAAGACGACGACGAGGACAGACGCAATGCGATGAGCGACGAAAACCTCAAGGTTCTAGAGATGGCGTATCGCCGCTGCGACATTGCCGACATTGTTTCGGCCACTGTGTGCGCGATGAACAAGGCGAGGCAGATCGGATGGTCCAAGTACATCATCAGCGCGCCGCCTCCTTTCGCAAACGACGCCGAGACTCTGGCTGCTTTGGATAGAAATCCAGAGGAAGTGTTTAACAAGATGGTTCCAGCAACAGCCTCCGTCTTTCGTGAGAGGGGATGGAAGTATCTAGACCGGATTGACCGCGTCTATGATTCGCACAAAGCGGTTCGAGAGCTGGGCTGGAAGCCCGAATACACGTTTGTGCAGATCATGGACAGGTTGGCTCGAGGAGAAGACTGGCGAAGCGAATTGGTTGAACAAGTGGGACGGAAGGGTTATCATGCAGTCAGCCATGGCGTATATACTCAGAAATAGGCTGCAATCGACTTGAAGAGGATGAGTCGGACAGCGATCTTTGCACACCTTCCGGAATCTTATGCTCTATTTCCCAGCTTACCAGACTATTGCAGAAACTCATGTCTCCCCTGGTCCTTCAGCACGTCGTGCACAGCCTTGAGCACTCTGTCATGAGCCTCTGCCGGCGCAGCCACGAACCCAAAGTTGGCACTCATCTTCCTCCCGGCCGACAAGTCAATGTCCCTGCCATGCACGTCCGTGATCTTGCCGCCCGTCTCTTCAAAGAGGAGCATGGCGCCCGCGTGGTCCCATACCTTGGCATAGCGGTCGCGGCGCTTGTACACCCAGACGGTCGTGTTGCCGATGCCCAGAGCCATGGAAGCCCATCGCAAGACCCAGGGCACCAGATCGCTCCCCGGGAATGAGAGGCCCAGGCGCTGAGCAACCACCTCGTGAACGCCGTCGAGGGCCGAGTCGACGAGACCAGTGCACGTAACGAAGCTGAGATCTTGGGTGGCGGTTTGCTTCGGCAGCTGCGTCACAGACGACGACTCGCCGTGTAAAGGCCGCGCATAGGCGCCATGGCCCTTGATGGCATACACGATGCAGCCCTTGCCGTCAGGGTCGATGTCGCTGTTACGCAGGGGGCCCTTCTGATTCAGCGACAAGTTCGGTCCCGCGACAACACCAAGGGTCTGTTTCCCGTCGACAATTAGGCCGACGTTGATGGCATACAGCTCGCCTCTCAGATACGTCTTGGTGCCGTCGATGGGATCAAAGACCCAGACCCTGCCCGAGCCCGGGCCCCCCGGACGGCTCGTTCCCGCCTGGTCAATCAGATCGCACATGTGGTCCTTGGATTGGGGCAGCTTGCAGGCGCCTCTCTGGGTGTCGTCGTCGTGGGCAATGGTGTTGAGGAGGTCCCAGACGCGGCTCAGCAGCGCCTCGTTGGCTCGCAAATCCGCGGCATCTTCTTCTCCTACAAACGTGTCCTCGGGGAATGCATCTTTAAAGGTAGAGATCAGGAGGGCCTGGATGGCGAAGTCGGCAATCGTGACTGGACTGAGATCCTCCTTTGTGACGGTGCCCTTGTCGTGGGAAGAGATGACGAGCTGGCTGAGTTTGGCAGCTTGACGGAGGGCTCCGAAGGCCGTGTCCAGCTCTTTCTCGAAGCCAGTCTCTGAGAGGCTCATGGTGTGAAATTCACATGAATTTGTCTCTGAAGCAGATGAGAGGGATGGAAGTCGAGTGACATCTGTTTCTGATTCAGTTTCGTTCGCGGCCTGCCCGTTCAGCATGCCCCGATTGAGACAAACTCGGATAGTTGCATCGGGCAATTTAATGTTAGCTGCTCCGCCATCAACGCCATCTGCCCCATGAACCTACAACGGACTTCAGTCAATCATTTCAACCTTCACCGTGATATCACAAGAATTGGCAAACTGTTACCATGACTCTCCCAATCTGCAACGACAAATAAAGGGCAAGTTCTACTCTCTGCCAAAATGCCAGTGCGCACAAGGTGTGTGCAACAATGGCCCGCATCAACCCTGCCGCCATAACACCTGCGCCCAGCCAGGAGCCATTCACGATCCAGCCCATCATCAGGGAGATGCTCGCCACTCGCCGCTGCACATCAGATTCCATCTTCATCGTCGAGGGCATCGATACCATTCCGGTGCCCGCCGAGACGCCTGACGACGACGACAGTTATGCTGTTCGACTGGTGCTGGGGGACGGGGAGCTGTGCATCCAGGCGTTGCTGCACCCGGACATGTTTCAGCTCGTCGAGAGGCGAGATGTCTTCGTGGGATGCTATGTGAAAGTGAAGGATCTCATCTTGCGGTTTGAAGAGCCCGAAGACGACAGCGTTGGACGGGGCTTTCTGGATGACGATGGCGAGGAAGCAGAGAAAAAGAAGGAGAAAGACGCCGAAAAGCCGATGGTGTATCTGATTTTGAACGAGCTGGAGACGGTTGGCTGGAACGAGTCGTACATGGCAATGTGGCGTCGCCATGAAAAGGGAAAAGATGTCGAGGAGCCAGCTGCAGTCACCAGCACGACCAACACAAAGGCGGAATCAGTACCCGAGAATAAGACGAAAACGCCCACGAAAGAGACAAAGGCGACTCCAACTGCTCCCTCGTCGAAAAGAGGCGCCGTCAGGTTTGAAGATCCACAGACTCCCGCAAAGATCAGATCCCAGGACAAGGGGAAAGCCAAGGCCAGCACTTCCTCCAGGCAGTGGGGGGATAACGCACACGGGGAGGTCGACGAGGAGGATCTGGAGGACGCGTTCGAGGCCTTTGAAGCACGCACCTTTCCCTCCAGGAACACGACGCCAAAGAAGCCCACGACATCCGACGCAAGGGCGGCATCCGCAGCCAGTGGCAGCACCGACAAGTCCCACCATCAGCAGCAGCAGCAGCAGCCACCGCACATGCAGCCTGTCGCTCTGCCCAAGGACTGGCACGACCCCCAGACGCCGCTCAAGCTCACGACCCTACGGCTAATTCCACACCTCCCATACGCACAGAACTGGTCCGTCAATGTACTCGCCATCGTTACCTCGCTCTCGGCCGTCGAGCCGTCTCATCTGCCGCCCGGCAAGCAGCGCACGGCACGCATCGCCGACCCCTCAACGTCCAAGCAGGTGCACCTGACGGTGTTTCTGGACCCGGAGGAGTTCACGCCCAAGGTGGGCAGCGCGGTGCTGCTGGTGGGTGTCAAGAACCACCGCTTCGACGGGGGCAGCTTGAAGAAGTATGCCAGCGATGGGAGCAGGGATATAGGTAGGAGATGGTGGTTTGAGGACCCGTGGGAGCTGGCGTGGCTGAACGTGGCGGGGATCAAGAGCTGGTGGCAGAGCATGGGAGAGGGGGAATCCACCTCTATATGAGAGAATAATAACAATATTTGTGTAAAACCGCCTAGCATTACTACGACCATCAAAGGCAATGGATTGACATTATGTTGGAGTTATGACTTGCAACGTGTCTGTTGCATATTCCCTAAGTGTGGTGAGCATAAGACGGGTGTGCCATCTCTAGCAATATTCAATTTTGGATACTGACCTGTAGATGACTGCAATTGCCTATACATAACTTTCTTCCTGAATGCCTAAGGTATCCATACAATTCATGCTGCCCTCGAGGTGAGCGTGCACGGTGGCTAAGCCGAGCATCTCCTAATGTTCGCCTGGTTTTTACACTTGAGAACGGGTGCTGGCAGTGAATGTTCGTAGCATTTTCCGTGTCACCCTCCTTTCCGTCTTCTGTTCAGGCGTGTTCTAACTTTGGCTCTCGAGGTGAAGTGTTCTGGACAGAATTAGGGTTGTCATCGTGTAATTGCCCATGCATGTCTCAGACATAGCTCGTTACATGTAGTATACATGCCCGGGGAGGCGGCCGAGAGTTTAACACAAGTCCGATCTGGGAGACTGTTGTGATACATGTAGTAGGTACTAGTGTGTTGTCCTATACAGGGCACAATAGACGGCATAAGGCTATGAAACATGAAGTGAGTTATCTGATCGGTGAGTTTTCGTTCACATCAGCGGACAACCTTCAATCGGTCATGCACACGAGCCAAAGAGTTATGAGGACTTTGTCTCTGGCTTACACCTTCAGGCGGAATGACAGAGGCATGATTAGGATGAATGAACTGATGTAGATAGCATAAATGGCCACACAAGACTGCGACCGCAGTATATAGTTCATGCCCGAGTGTAAAGCCCCGACAGCCGAGTCGAGACCCAAGGCCTCCATGCTAGACACAGACGATCGCCGCGGAAAACCACGATAACCCCAGACATATCTATGGCCAGCTGTGCCGATCCCGCCTAAGAGAAGATTTGCAGATTACGGTACACAGAGAGACGCAGATGGAGCACAAATGCAACTGAGTCATTGTTTAGTGACAGACAAGTCGACCGGGCATCAAAAGGGTGAGATGGAAGGACAGAGAGAGAGAAAAGCGGAGGATGAGCGCAAGGGCGCGCAGCTGATCTGATCTTGGCAAGGAACCCGGGCCGTGGCAGCGGTACCTAACCTAAGGCAAGGTGAGTCGTGTTACAGGTATGTATGTATGTACTTGCATGTGATGATTTTCCGTGGTGGTTCACTTGAGAGAGAGCGTCAGTTGAAGCTGGTGTTGTGGGATATAACCAGGCATTCAGTATCCTATTCATCGAAAGCGAGCCTTTTCCCCTCTTCATGTCCCCTCTATGGCGGTAAAGACTATGAGGTACCTTTGCTGGATTCTGCCATTTTTCTTCCAGGTCCCGTCCCTCTTTTTACAGTACGCCCCCTCTCGAGCCGCCCAAGCCCACAACTTCTCAACCTTCCTCCCCCCCTCGCCTTTCTGATACATCACTTTCAATAACCTGGCGCGCGCATGCATTGGCAAAGCCCGTCCGTCTCAATCCGTCCCGACCCTGGCTCGAGTCACCAGCTCGTCCCGCCTCTCTGCCTGCAGCACTAATTGAAGCCGGAGAGACCTTCAGGTACCGGTGCGCACACGTGACGGCCTCTGCAGCTGCACCAGCCTCACTGCCGCCGTGATTTGCTGGGAGCCCGCAGCCATCGGATGACTTTTGAGGCTTCAGCTTACCTTGACAATTCGTCCTCCGTCCGTCTTGTCTCTTGCTCTGCCCGCCCTCTGACTGCACGACTGGGCTCTCCCACCCATTTCGCTTACAAGGTATCAAAAGGTACCTATCTTGTGGCTACCTACCTGAATCTCTGCACCTGAGTTGGTCTCACACATTTCCTTCCGCCTCGCCTCGTCCCTCTCTTCTCCTCTCCGTCGACTGCAGCCAGCTCATTTCGTTTTCGACTCAGTCCCGACTCTTGCACATCCCGGCGTCTTCTCTCACCGTGACCACGGAGCAGAACCAATCAATCAGGATGCCCTAGCCATGGTCTCGCTGCCCCCGTCTCCGTCTCTGTCTCCGTCGCCTCCCTCATTGTCTCTTCCCTCTGCATCCTCATCGCTTCTTCCCGCAGGAGAGCCTCCGGAGCACAGTGCGAAGGACAAGCCCCAGCAGCAATCGGAGCAGTCGAAGCGCCTCTCGACAGGGCTCACCTCCAAGCCGCGGCGGCGCAGAGAGTCGCTCGACGCCCTGCTCGACAGCCTGTCGTCCTGGGACCTGCTCTACGTGCGGAACCGCATACGCGACGGCCACGTCAAGATGGACGGCTTCGCCAGCCTCAAGGAGCTGCCGCCAGAGGTCTTCGACTCCATCGTGCCTCACCTGCGGCTCCAGGACGTGCTCAACTGCTACCTCGTCAGCCGGGACTGGCGCGAGACGTGGAGGAACGGCGCCGTGGCCACCGCCCTGTGCCGCCGCTTCTTCCCGGGCCTCCTGGAGCTCTACGGCGGCGACGTGCCGGACCGCCACGAGCTGTTTGTCGCCACGGCCAAGTGCTATCTGCGCAAGCACTTCATGAGCCGCACCAAGCGGTCCTTTGTGCCGTGGGACGTGGGCTGGAGCTCCGACTACTTCACCAACGTCCAAGTGCCGCCGCCCAGCCGCCAGCTGGGCGACCTGCGGCTCGTCGACTTTGGCTTTGCGCCCCTGACCATCTGCTACTCCAACGGCAAGATTGCCTGGCAGCCCGACAACTGCCACATCATCGTCGATGACTTGTACACACGCGAGAGGGCCCGCTTCAGCTTCGGCGTTGACTACATCACCGGCCGGCCGCTGCAGCTGCAGGCCGTCACCGATAGCCTCGTGGTGCTGGCGTCGAGTTCGCAGCAGACCCGTGAAGCCCGGTCCACACGTATACTGGACAACGGACAGACCATGTATGTGGTAGAACGCGCTCCGTTGCGCCCGCTTTACGATCTTGCTGACAGTCGGACTGTAGAACCGTCTTCCATTTGCAGTATCGGCGATCCAAGAACGTTGTCCTGCCGGGCAATCTGGCACAGTGCTACGCCTACGGCGACATGGTCGCCTTTGTCACCAAGCAAAGACAGGTGGTGATCTGGGGCTGGAGTGACAGTGCCTACGAGCTAGAGCTTGATTACCACAGCGAGACCCTTCGGCAGCCTCTGAGCTGGGACAGGGACCTGGGCGGCGTGCCCGGCATCATGTTCCACCCAACAGACACGGACATTGTCTTTGCAGCGTGGATGTACTCGCCTGCGCCACCTGGTAAGTCTTCAAGTTGTGAACCAACAGGCTCAGCATTTACCCTTTTTTTGGCTGGGTTATGGCTTCTGGGTGCTAATTCTTGCCGTGTTACCCATCGTGCAGATCCTCGCATTCACACCATCATCGTCGTCAAATTTGAGCGTGGCTTGCCCGTGAAACGGTATGAAACGGACCTCTCACACCCAGAGTACCGGCGCCACCCCAGCAGTCGGCACTCATGTCCTTCCATGCGCTTGACGCTCTCTTGTCACAAGATGAACGCTCACGGCGGTTACTCGATTGGATTCGTGCAATACGTGCTCCTCGAAGAAGGCGCCGCCTGGGACGTGAGCGAGGCCACCAAGAATCCCGAGTGGCTCTGCATCTGCTTCAACGTCTTGACCGAGTCGTTTCAGCTCAACAAGTACGAGAGCCACCGGAGACCGCACCCGCCACATGTGAAACCCTTTGACTTGTGCGTGTGGGATGACGAGTTTGTCATTGCCTGGTACGACGAGTACCTCGTCAGCAGGCACTACTCGTACGGCATGCAGTTCCTGGAGGCGATCCCGGTCGACGAGGATGCCTCTGGATGCCCGCGCACCACCGAGGTTGACCTCGCCACCCGGCGCGAGCAGGCCGACGTGGCAGGCTACATGCTCGAGATTGGCTTTGCCCGAAGGATCTTTGTGGACAACGACTTTCTCATCATCACGACGGGCCAGGGCTACATGGTGCTCACGTGCACCGACGGCATCGAGCTTCCCGGCATCGTCACCGTCGACGAGCATGGCGTGCCCAAGATGTCTGAGAACCCGCCGTGGCCTGTCGCGGGGGAGCGGATAGAGCCACCGAGGCTACCCGGCTCGTGGGACACGAGAATGGTGACGAGCCTGCAGAGGATCCCAGCGGATGGGGACGATGTCGTGTGAGGCTAATGGGGCATACCTTATGAAAAGGAGACTGCGTGGACCTGATGACTGGACGACGAACTGTACAAGCAGGGAGCAGACTTGGGAAATTGACGTGACCGAATCAGATTTGAAGCTGGAAAAACGGTTGGCATTGTATCTGGGAGTAGCGAGGCGCGATGGCATCAGCATGGAGGGATCTTTGTGGCATTTTGACAAAAAGTATGTGATTTCTCTTTCTCACACACCGCGAGACCATGACCTGGTCTCTTCTCACCTCCGTCGAGAGAGGCGCGGGCGATTAAATACCCGCACAGCCAGGCTCGTTGACGTGATACCAGGTCCAGTGCTGTGAGCTCACGAGACTCGGTCAGATGCGCGCGCATGACGATCCATTCCTCAGCACAGGCCCCCGATTACGCGCCCACGATCCCCCTTATCAGCTTCCATGAGCATCAACCGACCCGCATCCACTGTAGCACTGGATCGTCCCTGCTGGAGCAGCCCCCTAGCACCCCCCGAGTCTCCACTGCGGGAACCACTACGGGGGCCGCTGAACGGACCACTAGGGGCGACGCTACGGGGGCGCAGGCGCCATTGAGGCCCGCGTCTCGGCGGCCGTTACAGGGCTCAAGGCTCCCCGGACTTTCAGCGCTCAATCAGCTCCGACTTCCAATTGTGATGGATGTGACGCTATCGGCAATGCAGTCACGCTATCGCTGATAAGAGCTCGGCTTGTCTCACCTCGCCCAATGCGAGCTGCACCCTTTTGTCCTCTGCCGTCCAACTCAATTCCGTCATCTCCTCGTCCTACATACCTCTCCTCCTCACTGCTGTCTGCCACCCTTCTCCTTTCTCTCTCTCTCTCTCTCTCTCTCTTGACTTGCATTCTTCTTTTCCTGCCATCAGTTCTTCGCCTCATTGCCATTGCCATTAGCGATGCAAAGTCCTTCATAAGCCTCTCTATCCGTCCGACCGATCCGTTCCTCGAGCCGCGCCTTTGCGGTCTCCCCTCCCTTCCGTCTCCAAAAGCCATCGCGATGCCGGCCTCGCCTTCGCCCCCCGACCACCAGCAGTTCATCTACCCGACAGCTCCCACATCTTTCCACGATGACGACCGCTCATCCGTCTCCAGCGATGACGAGGGCGATGCCTCGTCCGGCGCCTCCGACCCCGTGCAGCGCCGCCGCCAGATAAGAGCCAAGCAGATTGTGCGCTTCGTGTCTCTCGTCTCCGCCACCATCGCGGCCCTCTGCGCCGGCTCCATCGTCGTCTTCTCGCTCTACGCGCCCAAGTTTTTGTCGCGGCTGCACTACACGCAATTTCAGGTCAACGGCGTCGCCATCGGCAGCTCGCTCGCCCTCTATCTGCCCATATCCATCATGGGCTACGTTTGCGACCGCGTGGGCGTCGCGCCGCTGGCCCTGCTGTCGGCGGTGCTGTTTGGCGGCGGCTACGGCCTGGCGGCGGGCATCTACAAGAAGCTCGACTACGAGTACAACACGCTGGGCAAGTCCCACGGCGCCGAGAACGGCTGGTCGTATCCGCTCATGGTGCTGGCCTTCATCATGATCGGCGCCGGCACCTGTGCCATGTACATCAGCTCCGTGTCGACGTGCGCCAAGAATTTTGGCAAGGGCAAGTATAGGGGACTGGCCCTGGCCATGCCCATCACCGGCTTCGGCCTCAGCGGCATGTGGCTGAGCCAGTTTGCCAGCCGCTTCCTCTACGAGAAGAACCCTGACGGTTCCAAGGGCGACGTTGACGTGTTCCGCTTCTTTGTCTTCTTGGCCGCGCTGCTGTTTGTCATTGGTATTCTGGGCGTCTTCACTCTCAAGGTTGTCGACGAGCAGGACCTGATTGAGGAAGCCATTGAGGAACTGGAGCAGAGCGGTCTTCTCGATGGAAGCTCCCTGCTCGCGCGGTCCGAAAGCCGGAGGTCCGTCTCGGGATACGGCGCTATTCCCGCTGATGCCGAGGAGGATGGTGAGGAAAACGCCGGCGACGATGCGCGGTGGAAGAAGAACTGGGTGCTCAACGCAGAGACGCGCCGCTTCTTGGGCGACCACACCATGTGGCCGTTTGCACTGGCTTTCCTGCTCATGATTGGCCCGGGCGAGGCCTTCATCAACAATCTGGGCACCGTCATCGGCACGCTCACGCCTCCCATCACCGAGGACGTCAACCACAAGACGTCGGCTGCCACGCACGTTTCGGTCTTTGGTGTTACCAGCACCCTGGCGCGCCTCATGATTGGCACTCTGACGGATATCCTGGCTCCGGCGCCAGAGACGCAGCACATCCAGGTCGCTCCCCAACGCCCTGCATCTCCGCTCAAGCGCTTTGCCATTTCGCGCGTCGTCTTTATGCTTTTCTTTGCGCTTCTCCTCGCGATTGGTCTTTTGTTCCTCGCCAGCGGTGCGGCTCAGAACCATGCTGATCGATTCTGGATTGTGTCTGGTCTTGTTGGGGCCGGCTACGGTGCCATCTTTAGCCTGACGCCGCTCATTGTGACCATTATCTGGGGCGTCGAGAACTTTGCTACCAACTTTGGCATTATTGCCATGCTGCCCGCTTTCGGGTCGACCTTTTGGGGCCTCGTCTATTCGGCGGTGTACGAAGCTGGGGCACGGCACACGACCGTCCCGTCACACCTTGGTGGCGATCACGGCGACGGTGGTGACGGCGGCTCCGATGATTCTGTTTGCTACGGGAAGCACTGCTACGCGGCCACTTTTTGGGCCGAGGGGCTCTGCGTTATCGCTGCGTGCTTTATGCTGCTGTGGGCTTGGAAGGGCAAGGGAGGCTGGAGCCAGCGAGGCATCGTGATATAGAGCCATTTGACCGACGCTGTTTTCCTTACTTTTCTGTGTTTTCTGTTTCTCATTTTTTCTTTTTCTTCTTCTCCTTTTGGCTTGTTTGGCCATTTAAGCTTACTTGGGTTCGGGCATCTGAAAGAACGTTGACGAGATTGACCTTGGGTTCACACCCCGCATTCAATGTTTCTTGAGCTTTGGGATTTACCTGTTCGAGCGTTGTGCCGGCTGAGATATGGCTAGCGATATACGCATCTGGTGCTGGTGGCGTTAGGAAATGCTATCACTATGATCATCTTGGCCTTGTAGAATTTCCCCAGTCTCTCAATCACCCGTAGTTTGTGCAGCCTCCAGCCACTCCGTGATCCTTTCATGCCATCTACATACATGTACTCTGCCGATGCATGTTGCACCACCCCGTTAGAACGCACCAGCAGCTCCATCCACGCAGCAAGACGCACGATTACATTTACACTTGGACTTTGAAGCATGCCATCAAGATCTGAAAATATTACATCAAATCACATCCATTCGTCGTCTCATATCAGGTCATACAAAAGAGAAATTGGCGGTGTGACGAAGCACGCAGGTCGTCTAGATAACGAGACGGGAGGGCGGCGGCCAATAGACTTGATTCGTGGGCAAGTATGGCGTGCGTTATGTGAGGGAGACGGAAGACGTGCCGTGTCTGAGGGGGTGGGCGTGGGGGGGAGACTGCAGGTCGGAAGTTTGGTGGAGGTGATAGGCTTGGTTACTCGGGGGGTTTTTGTGCTTGTGAGGCGGGATTTGTGCTTTGTTTGTGCTTTGTATGGTTGGTTTGATGGATGTGATTTGTGTTATTTATGTTGAGGGTTTGTGAAGGGTGATTGTTGAGAAGTGCGAATTAGACGGATACCTTATGGTAAGGATCCTTTGGTCAGTGGTCACAACGTCATGACAGATGCATCTAATCTCCGGCTGTATCTACACATCACCATCCTCTTCATCTTCATCATCGTCCTCATCGTCATCGTCCTCAGAACTAGATCCAGCTTCAACACCCTCTCCCCCCTCCAACCTCACCCCCTCCCTCAACACCCTCCTCACATGCCTCACCCACTCCTCATCCATCAAACTCTCCCACGCAAAGCAGTAATAATCAAGATCCCTCTCATCCATCCGCCCCTCCCCCAAAAGCCCCAAAAGACACAATCTCCACCTATCCCACAGCGCCAGCCCAAACGGCCTATAAATGTCCATCCTCGCATTCGTAATGGGCAAGCCGTATCTACTATTTCCATCAGTATAATGTCGAAGCGTAGTCACCGCGGGGCTTTCATTCTCGAGACTGCTTCTTGCTTGGCCGCGGAGAGAAGACTTGCTGAGTTGGGGACCTGAGGCACGTTGGAGGGCGGACGGGGGAGGGCGGAGCTTGACGGTCTTGTGGCCATAGTCGTAGATGATTCCGATGCCGCCCCATGTTGCTTCACAGGGATCGGGGAGGGGAGTGACTGGGTTAACGGGCTTTGCGTCGAGAGGTAGCTTTGGGAGTTGGTAGAATGGTTCTCCCTTGTTTGTGATGCCGAGTTTCTCAAGATATGCCAACACGGTCTGTATCTCTTCGGCACCGCTGTTCATGGTGCCATCCTGAGGAACAGCATCCGCGTACTTTGGCAGCGTCCTATTGATATCATCATACGACCATCCCGACGCGTTCAAATCTTTCAATACGAGGCAGCGCACGCCTCCAACCAGCTGAATAACCCACAACGCGCGCACAACACGCATCTCCTCCACCCAACTCGGCGGCCCGGCATCGACGACGTCATAAGGCAGTCCGAAAAAGACCTGATGCCATGCAGGCGTGGTGTCGCCCTCTGGAGGATTCGAGCCCCGCGGGAGGTACTTTGGGAGCGGGAGCTGCGCATGTTGAGGGTGGAAGATGTCGGGGTTGTGGATCTGGGGGAGGTAGAATGATAGACAGGCGTGTGCGAGGGCGGAAATGTGATGCGCTGTTGCGACGGCGGAGAGATATACTGAGGGTTGTATGTCGTGGGTTGTCAGAGTGTCGGGGCCGAGAGTGATGTTTGTTTTGTCTTTGATTCTGTGAACGGGTACTTTGTGCTGTATGAAGCGATACTTGAACTCGTCCAGGTTCTTGAATAGAAGAGCACCGCTCCTCGTGAGAATCACAGCACGGACAAGTTCTTGTATCTTGGGAGGTAGAATCGACGTCGGGCTGGCAAAGAGTTGTTCGATAATGGTGTGCGGCTGGCTGTTGAAGAGGCGGAAGCAGCGCGGTGATGCGGCCAGCAGGTTCCAGAGGGTCTCGAGGCCGGGGAGACGCGTGATGATTTGCAGCAGAATCTTGTCTGGAATGTTTTCTATGTTGGCATGACTTGGGGACTGGTTGGGGAATGGTTCTATTATCTGGGGGTTGAGTCTGCGTCGCTTGGAGCGCTCTGACATGATGGACGTTTGGTGAAGAAGAAGAAGAACGGACTGAGTCGAGAGACAATCAGCCAAGAAGAGGCCGAGCTTCATGACTTGTAAGATGACGAAGATGACGTTGACGTCAACTTCTCCCGTCTTGTCATCTTCATGTGGGCCAGACTAAACCTCCGTCCCCTGACTAGTGAATGGCTTGAAGATCCATAGCAGAAAAGCTCCATGTAAGAGCTATCCTCGATTGAGGCTGGAACAAAGAGAGCTAAATTCCGGGGAAGTTATGCTAGATCTCTAGTGATTACGGAAACCCGCAACATACCTAGGTATCGTCCTGCCTCCGATCTCCCGAGGCCTGTTGGATTCGTTGAGAAGATCTGAATGGGGCTCGGGGGTTGAAGACGACGGTCGGGGTGAGCAGTCCATGGCGCAAGGTTGCCGAGTCATGGACTGTCAGGCTTGACATTGTGTTTTGTCTTCCAGTGAGAGATCATCGGCGTCATTCGTAGTATTGAAAAATGAAAGTGACGTTTTGTCGTTTCAAGCCTTTACCTGAGGTATATTAGGTGGCCATGGCAATCGCCGTGGCTTCTGAAGCTATAGTGTCTCATCTGCTGGAGAAACAGTACGCACGCTTATTCAAGATCATTTACTTTCTTTTCTTTTCTTTTCTCAGGTCATTTTGTTAGCCTCGGCTTATGCAGCCTGAGGTTGCCTAATGCACAGCATCTCATATATTTGCCGTTCACGCCCATCCGTGAGCAGCGAGCTGTATTCGGACGAGAGGGATCGCCGGCTGAATGATACCCAGAATGCCCGGCCTCGACGTGTGTATCAGAGGTGGAACATGCTCGCATACGATTACCCAAGGCCAAGACGTTTTCACAAACTGAGAATGATCTTTACTACACGTTCATTCAAGGGGCAATTCGACTCTTGACAGCCTTACTCCGGTTGCTTCCAAACGACCGACTTTCGCACATGCCAAAATCCCGGTTTCAACTCATGGAAAACAACATCACTTTGCCTCTTCGGTATACTCCATCAATCACTTCCTACCATGCTCCACGCCGCCTGTGCCGCATGCATATGCAGCCATATACGATGCATGGTGAACAATCTCATGACTGGCAGCTCGTTGTCACTCATTGGCTGAAGCCTACATATGCATCTCGGCGCCGCAACTGAGAATCGGCCCTTCTAGGATTGAAGCGACAACAAATCTTCATGACTGCTCTTCAAGTACCTGAAGATACAAGCTGCATATCAAGTCCATCGAATGGTGTGTGAAAGTGCGCGGGACATGTCCGAGGAGAAAACAAGGTGGCAGTGAAGGCTCGTTTGATGTCTGCTCTCTATTACTACTCGCTCGACAGAGCAAGGGCTACGCATAGATAGATCTCAAGGCATCATTGCCTTGACCATGGTAGATCACAAGTATAAAGTGTGCACGGTTTCCCTTGCTTAACCGTGTGTCTACCTTTCTTTCTACTTCTACAACTACCTAATTACATATTTGCAGGCCGAGATGCGCCATGGGGAGATCAATCATGCTATTGTATCATTTGCTGGCCGAGGGTCTATAAATAAGGCTTGTCAGTAATCCACCAGGCGGCGTCTCGCTCACATTACTTTTTCTTGAAAATTCATCCGGGCTGGACGGGAAACTCAGCGACGACGGAATGCATCCGCTGTAACTTCTAAAGAAGCAGAGATGTTCATAGCATGTTGCCAGATTGGACGGAGAACGGAGGTATGAAGAGGGGAGAGGGGAGGGCTTAGAATTGAGGCGGGACTGCCGGTGGATTTGTATGGTATGGGAGGGAAGGCGGGTTATTAGTTTCACGAATGATACTGCGGGATTGTGGAGGGCAGGTGGCGGGAGCCTGAAGGATTGTGTGAACGGTTCGGGTACATGTATGCAATCTTGGGTATAACTGCAAGTGATTGATCCACTGTTGGTTGATGTTTTACGAGACAACCTATGAGATAGTCTCTACCTGATTTGCCGTCCATCCATGTCCATCCATTGGGTACAAACCTACTCCAACCTATGCAAGGGCTTCGTGCCGGGGTGGCCCAACACAGCGCCAGAATCTACAACGGTCAGCGAGCGTCATCACAGAGCTGAGAGACGAGGGGACTTACCGACGACAATCTGCTGGCCAGTCATGGCAGAGTTCTTGGCCAACGAGACAAAGGCATCGGCACAGTCATCCAATGCAACCTGAACCGTCAGAATGTATCCTGTTTCAGATCACACAGCAGAGTTCGTCATACCACGTCTCGAAGTGTAGATATCCTTTTGTATCCTTCGATGACTTCTTCGGGAAACAGTCGCCCCTGTGCAAGCTGGTAAGCGTCTAATAAGAAGAGATGGCCGGTGTGGTATATTTGCAACACACCCATTCGGTCAACAACAGGCCAGGAAGGACAGCGTTGACTCGTATCTTGGGGCCTTGTGTGTAGGCCAGATTCTTCATGAGCTGAAGCCCAGCGGCCTTTGTTACAGAGTACGCCATGCTGCTGCCGCTCTGTGAGGTCCCCTATTTATATGTCGAGTTAGCTTTATGCGAGTTGCGTCCATCGCAGGCATGGTGAATTCTCTGCTTACAGCAATAGAAGAGGTAATCAGGTACACGCCCCCGTCGGGATTCGCATTGAAGATGGGCGCTGCTTCTTGTATGAGCTGCAGATGAGACATGACATTGACTGCCCAGCACTGCCAACGTCTTTAGCTGCATTGCATCCCTTTTTCTTCCATGGTGCAATCATTTACCTTGTTCCACTCCTCGTCCGTCAACGCGTGCAAATCGGCAAATGCAGACATCTTGGTCCATCCGGCATTCGCAACGAGGATATCAAGTCCGCCGAGATTCTTGACGGTCTCCTGGACGATACGGATATTATCTTCCCTCTTCTCAGCGTCCTACCACTCGCAATGTTAATTTTCAACAAGGGTAGCAGAGGATTTTAGAGCACGAGTGATATTAGATACATACACCCTGGACAATGAATGTCTTGACAGAGTACGGCTGTAGTGAATCAGCCACTTCCTGGGCAGCGTCTGCATTGGAGAAGTAGTTGATGGCAACATTGGCCCCCTCTTCGGCGAACTTCCTGCAGATGACGGCCCCGAGGCCTCTTACTTGGTTGTTAGCGAACTTCAGACCTGTCGTCACGGCGCAGAGAAGACGGATTCTACTGACCTGGAGCCTGCAGTGACCAAGACGTTTCTTCCTTTGAGGGAGTAAGGCATCGTAACTGCGAGACTTGTACAATGTTGAGGAAGAATTCGAACAGAAATTCGTTCTTTGGTTGCCCTGGTATCATGTACAATTTCTACGGACATTTGTCTGTCCCTCTAACCCCGCATATAGCCCCATGTTCTTGATTACATTACCTAGTATGTGTGTTGATCGGCATCGGCCAATCGGGCTCTGCCTCTGCCATCTTCCCCGTAATTCTCTCATCCACCAGTTCTTCATAAATCAGGTATGGTGTCGAAGATTGGGTACGAATAGTAAATAATCTGGTCAAGTCGATATCTCCAAGCTTTGTCAATACTATGCTGGCTGAGCCTTGACCGAATGGCACGCCGCCCCGGTTATCAACCAGTTACGTCTCTTGGACTCATAATGTTGGCAAAAAAATATAGACAGAGCATTGTATGAGACTGGTTTCTATACGCGAGTGCTGTTTTAGCTGCTGATAGCCAAGATCTATATATATGTATATATATATATATGCTATAAGAGTCAAATCTAACCACGAGGCTCTTATTCTCTACCGCAGGAATTGACTGAATCTAATGAACGGTAACAACATCTCTCGGCAAACCGTCAGTTACTGCTGCACAGGCTCCAAATATCCAACCGTAAAAGTTTCCTCCTTCGGATTCTGCCACTCGAGCTTCTTCACCTCCCTCGTCTGATCAAAATGCACCGACCCGTACCGCAAATATGCGGCAAACGTCCCCTCCTCATGGTCCTTGTCCCGATTCTCATCCGCATCCCACAAGTCCGCCAGCATTTTCACCTTCAACCCCTCACCACCCGGTCCATGCGGGAACTTGAGCATGGCCGTCTTCGCCAGCAGAGTATTCACAAACTCCTCAGCTTCATGCCACTCCTCATTAACAACCGCGCCCTCTCCGGAGCGCTTCAGAGATAGAAGCCGGAACTGCTTCTCCACGTCCCATTTCGTAATGATCTGGGCATACAGCATCTCGTCCGCCGCATCAAATATGAGCATGTGCTTGTCGTACCATTCGGGACCGTTGAAGCCGTCGTTGGGATCAACGAGTTTGCGGATGCGCTCCCCACACAGATAATGAGCCACGTAGTCGGAGAAGAACTCGGGGTCAAAGTTGACGTCGTCCTCCAGGTTGACCGTGGACATGTCAGGCTTGAACAGAGGCAGATGTCGGAGCAAGGGATGCTTATGAAATCCCGTTGCGTTGGTAACCCCGTCTTCCCACAGCGCGAGATAGACGTCGTGCCACCTCTTGATGAATGGATTGCCGCTTTTGGTGCCTAGGAATCCGTTGAGAGGGGTGTAGGTGCCCGGCAAGTGCATCAATGCCACGGCGCTCAGTTCGTAGGGCGACTCCGGATCCTCGATGCGCTTCCAGCAGATGTCGTCAACGTGCCGCAGCAGGATGAGGCCCACGTCCATCCACACGCCTCCGTATTTCCAGAGTAATGGCAAACGAACCAAGTCTCCCATGTGAGCCTTGTGGCCATCCATTGTGCCCTCAAGGAACGTCTTCGGAAAGTACGACTCCTCGACGTAGTTCAAGACGTTGGTCTCTGAGCCGTCTAGTCGGTCAACAATGTGGACGTTCCACTCGGGGCCCAAGCGGCGGACCCAGTTGATGACATTCCGCTGTGTCCAGGGCTTCATGTTGGCGAAACCATTATGCCAGAACCCCCAGATGTTCTTTTCCGAAGTTACGGGATGGCGCTTCTGGAGCCATGCCGCGATCTCCGCGTCCGTTCGATGATCGAGCTTGTCGGGGGATAGGAGTGTTATTCCGTCGGGGAGTCCCTCCGGTAGGTATTGCTTTGGAACATCTACTGGGATATCGACAATCGTCGAGCGTGCGGTCGCTTTATCATCGAGCATGGTTGGTTCTAGTGAACGGCGTGGCTTGAAGATGTGTTGATCCAGGTCCCGATTCGACCACTGTCCTGTTTGATCATGCTTCACTTATACTGCATCTCTCTCACGTCGGTGCCTAGTTCTTTCTCCTCCTCGCGATGCAAGGTAGTACACACGTACGCCTGCGTTGGTACGACAGACACCTCACGAAATGGGTAACGTTGCAGCTCTGTAAGACATGATCATAGAACACTGAGGTCTCATTCCGCGCAGCAAGATTTTGCACCAATTGCGCAATAAGTGAGATTTCGACCAGACATGGGGGGCGGGCCGAAGCTGACGGTGGCTGGGATATTGTGCATCTCAGATGGGAACATGCAGTGGATTTATGTAACATCTCGTGGTTGAGCCAGCTGTTACTAGGATGGAAGTAGGCATCTTCGCGAACAGGTAACATTCTGCACGTCAGGCACGCCGAATCCTATACCATTTCATATCAACTATTCGACCAGTCCTGCAGCAGTTGCAACGATTCCATCCATAGAAGGATTCCTAGGGCAGTGTCTCAACGAGCTTACTATCGTTGTCGTATGTTCCACTTGATATGCAGATGCTGTGGATCGAGTAAGACGAGAGACACTATACAGGGCAATTATAGGAGGTGCTACCTTAAATAACCTATACACCCTAGTCTAATATAACCTATACTTTACTTTTCTAAATTTTTTACTATATTAAAAAACCTTATATAACCTATACTTTTTATAATTTAATTAGCTAAAATTTTTAAAAAGTAAAGTATAAGTTATATTAGCTTTTATATTAAAGTTAAATACCTCTTTAATATATTAACTATTTATCCCTTTTTTTTTTAATATATAACCTTTAATATTAATAACTTTTATAATACTATAATATTTTAATATAGAGTATTACTATACAGGCTATAATATATTACTTAAGGGGCTATAACTAGCCTAAATTAGCCTAGCTGTTTTATTATACTATACTGCCCTGCTAAATTATAGTATAGGCTATAAAATTAAAAACTATATACTGCTATATTAAGGGAACTATCTTATTAATTAATTCCTTTAAAAAATGCATTTCTTATTAAATTAAATATATATTTATATATTACAGCCTATTAATTAGTTTATAGCCTCTAGCTATAATAATAGCAGCAGTAGCTAAGTTACTAAAATAACTTCTTTAATAGTAGAAAAAGATAGTGCTATTAAATATACACTGCTATATTTATAGCCTTATCCCTAGCCTTATCCCCTTCCTGCCTCTTATCCCCTTATAGTTATATATATTTAAAGGCGCTTTATAAATAGCTATATAAATAACTAGCTGGCTTAAGCTGCCCCTGCCTTAATCTTAGCTATAGTATGCATTTAATAAAGACTTAAGTTAAGGCGCTAGGTGCTTTAAGTTAAGGTTAGCAGTAATAGCTATAATAAAGTTAGCAGTAATAAAGTTAGCTACTATATTAAAGTTAGCTGTATTAAGGCTGTTATTAAGCTTAAACTTATAATTAGCTAAAGAGAGATATTAATAAGCTACTTATAATTTTAAAGTAACTGCAGCTAGCCTTATAGCTTTTTTATAATATTAAGGTTATAAATTTAAAGTAAAGGTTTAGTAAGGTCTTAGTATACTAATTAATAGCTTTTTTATATAAAATAATAAAGAAATATATTAAAGGCTTATTTAACTATTACTAAGAGTAAATTAACTTTTTTATTAAGACCTTATTACTATTAATAACCTTATCTTAAAGAAAATATATATAAGGCAGTGTAAATTATTATATAAAGTTATAGATTATTTTATAAGGCATTATATTATTATTTTTATTTATTAAGGCAGCTTTAGTGCAGTAATACTCTTAAGTAAAAAGCTTAATAGCTTTATAAGTAACCTTTATTAAAAGCTAGCCTAGCTAAGCTTAGCTAATAAATTTATAGTAAAGCCTTATCTTTTAGCTAGCTACTATTTACTTATAATTATATTCCTTTTTTTAAAGTATTTAGTAAATAGCTTTATAAAAATAAAAAAGGTCTTTAATTTTAATTAGTAAAAAGGATTTAATATTTTTATATATAGTTTTTATTAAACTATTAGTTCTTTAACTAAAGTTATAATAGCAGTTAATGCAGTATTTAAGAAATTAGTTAGTATAAAGAAAATACTTAAAAATAATATAATTAATAATTTTATACTAATAGTTACTAAAATAAGTAATAAGCCTAGCTTAAGCTATTTTATAGTTATTCTCTATTTTTATATATAAAACTATATGCTATATATATTTAAAGCCCTTTTTACTATTTTTATAAAAAGGCCTAATGCCTAACTATACTGCTATTTATATAGCTATAGCAGGGCTAGGGTTACTAAGCTTATTAGTATTAAAGTTAGCAGCTAGGCTGCTTATAGTTATATTACTACTACTAGCTATAGCAGCCTTACTATTTTTAGGCTTTTTTTATTATAAGGTTATCTTTATATTAATATTTATATTAATATAATAAAGATATAGCTGCTGCTATATATTTAAGAAAGTGTATTAAAGGGTGTTTTTTAAGGCTATTTCCTTATTTATTATAATAACCTATAGCACTAGAATCTTAAGCTAATATTAAAATATATTAAGCTAGGTATAAAGCCACTTATAAGTTAGCTGCTTTTTACTATTTATAAAGCTAAATATAAAATTTATAATAAAACTTTAATTTATTATGCCTATAACTTAAAAAAGATATATTTTAAACCTATTTATTTTATAAGTGTTATTTATATTAAGTACCTTTAAGAAGTGTTTTTATTACTTCTTATAGTATAGGTATATTTAAAATACTGCCTTAACCTTATAAGGATTATTATCTTAATAATAAATAATATAGCAGAGGCCTTTTTTTTTTAAGATTTTAATTTACTACTATATAAGAGTAAGGCTATTAAGCTTTAATTAATAAATAGACTAATAATTATTATAAATATTCTTTAAGTAAAAAAATAAGCCTGCTTTACTAATAAGTATATATATAATATCTTTTATCTTTTAGGCGCTAAAGGCATGCTATAAAAATAGCATTTTCTTAGCTTCTTACTATATTACTATTTAATAATAATAAATAGCATAGGCTAATGCATTAATAATACTAATATAGTTATACTGCTTTTTATAAACTTTAAAAGTTTACTTTTAGCTAGACTTTTATAAAGCAGAGGCTAAGATCTTAAAGTTATAGTTAAGCTTAGCTATAGTAGTCTTTTTAATACTATTATTATAAGGCAGTTATAAGGTTCTGCAGTTATAAATAAGGTTATAATATATAAGAAACCTAATGCTATTAATTATTATATAGTTTCTTATATTCTTTTTAATAAAAGCAGCGCTATAGTTATAATAAAATACTTAAAAGAAGCTATATAGCTTATTAAATAAGTTAAATTTTTATAGTAGTAGTAAAGGAGGAATCTGTTTATTAGCTTTCTGCAGCAGTAATAGTAATAGCAGTAAGGAGTCCTGCTATATAGCTTAATTACTAAGTTTATAATCTTTAGCCTTTATAGCAGCTAAGGCTTTAGGTAATAGTAATAATAATAGGTAATAGTAATAATAATAATAATAATAATAATAATAATAGTATTTTAGTGTTTTTAAGCTAGGCTAATAGTATCTCTTTTAGAAGTGTTATAGACCTATACTATAATTATATAGTATAGTATAGCATAAATAAAAGCTAGGCTAATTTAGGCTAGTTATAGCCCCTTAAGTAATATATTATAGCCTGTATAGTAATACTCTTAATATATTCTTAATATATTTTTAACTTATTTTATATATATTACTATACTATATATATTAATTATATTAAAGCAGTATAATATTTATATTTATTATAAGGCTAAATAACTAGCTAATAGTAATAAAGCTAATAATATATATTAAAAAAAATTAATATTATTTAAATATAAAGTAAAATTTATTAATATATTTATAATATATTTATAATATATTATAAAAAGCTAATATATTTATACTTTAAAAAACTAGTAAAATTATTTTTTTATTTAAAAAAGTATTTTATTATATACTTATAAATAGTAAG